ATTATTAGTTTGTATACAACTTTTAACAATAATTCGTCCAGTGTTGCAAAAGCAATAACTAGCTGCATAAATTACGCCCATTTAGCACTATGTGGAAAAAGCAAAAGTCTCGTGTGAAAATTTTCAGATTGAATAAAAAAATAGTTACCACAAGAATAAAAAAGAAACAAACGTCACGTCATCTCTCTCTCTCTCTCCTCCACCACTCCACACAGCTTTCAAATATCCCCTGCGAAGAGCAGAGAAAGAGAGAGACTAGTGAGAGAGTCCATCGCTTTCTCTCTCTCCCTCCATCTCCAACAGAGGCTTTGAAAAGAGAGATCCTCACAAAAATGACAGTGAGGGAGATTCACCGACACAGACGATGGCATTTTCCCCACCTTCTTCTTCTTCTGATCACTATCTCCTATTCCGCAGCGTTAACCGGTGTTTCGTCGGAGACAGACGTCGGAGGATTCGATTACGGTGAAGCATTGTCGAAAAGCTTACTCTACTTCGAAGCTCAGAGATCAGGTCGACTTCCGTACAACCAACGTGTGACATGGCGTGATCACTCCGGTCTCACCGACGGTCTCGAGCAAGGGGTTTGTTTCTTTCTGTTACAAACTCAAATCATTATTTTCATTAAATGTTTTTTTTTTTTGAAAATCCAAACCTATTTTACTTCACTATCAGTAGCTTTGAAAAGAGATTTGAAAAAAAACTCTTCTGTAAATTAATACATTAAAAGCTAATTAATATTGAGATTTATTGTTCATTTACTCAGTGACGTGACTTTTATATTTGCAACTGTGGTTTTATTTCTTCCTTTTCAAAGTTAGAGGATTAATATTGAAATTTATTGTTGATTTTATAATTTGAAAGAAAATATATTCTTCAGTTTTGAAAGTGACTTGAAAATCTTTCATTTAATTAAAAAGTTTAATAAAGAATTAGTATTGAAATTCATTGTTGATTTAGTCAGTGATGTGACTTTATAATTTCTATGATTTTGAATTTTTGTTTTGTTTGTTTTGGTTATAAAGGTGGATTTAGTGGGAGGATATCACGATGCCGGTGATCACGTTAAGTTCGGACTTCCGATGGCTTTTACGGTGACGATGTTGTCGTGGAGTGTAATTGAATACGGTGACACACTAGCTTCCACCGGCGAGTTATCTCACGCGCTTGAAGCCATCAAATGGGGCACGGATTACTTTATCAAGGCCCACACAAGCCCAAATGTTTTATGGGCTGAGGTAGGCGACGGAGACACTGACCACTACTGCTGGCAGAGACCGGAGGACATGACGACTTCACGGCGAGCTTTCAAGATCGACGAGAACAATCCTGGATCAGATCTCGCCGGAGAAACCGCGGCGGCAATGGCGGCAGCTTCGATCGTATTCCGTTCAACGAATCCACATTACTCTCACCTTCTCTTGCACCATGCCCAACAAGTACATACACATTTTAATTTTATTTAATGTTTTAAATGTTACAGTTGGAACCGACATTTATTTAAGTTTTATTTATTTATTTTGGGGTCGGAGAATTAATTTAGTTATGGTATACTTACTTGTTGTTTTTGGTGTAGTTGTTCGAGTTTGGAGATAAATACAGAGGAAAATACGATGAGAGTCTAAGAGTTGTGAAAAGCTATTATGCCTCGGTGAGTGGTTACATGGACGAGCTTTTATGGGGTGCCACGTGGCTTTATCGAGCCACCGACAATGATCACTACATGAGTTATGTGGTTGACATGGCTCACCAACTCGGTGGCCTTTCTTGGGCCATGTCCGAGTTTAGCTGGGACGTTAAGTTCGCTGGCGTTCAACTCCTCGCTTCCATGGTTAGTACTTTTTTTTTATTTTATTTTGTTTTATCATTCACATAATTAAATTAAGAATCTTATTATTGGGTTATGCAAAGGGGATTATTAAAGCTTTAACTTTCTCACGTTTGATTAGGTTATACCCCAAAGTAAGGTATCACCCACCAGTCCACCACATGTTACATAGTCAACAACTATTCAAATACTTTATCTTTGTAATGCAACAATTTTTTTTTTTTTTTTTCATAATTAAAAAATTTAGTGATAGAGCAGAAACAGAACTAAAAGTCACGTGCTTATGTTCCTCTCTTTAAATGGTTCTGTTATACCGCACATGATTCTAAACCTACTTACTAAATCCGTTTTCTTATGCATAGTCAACGATAGTTACTCGAGAATTAAGCAATAACACTACAATTTTAGGGACTGGAAAAACCATTTAGAAGTTCTAAAATATATTATCTCTTAACTTTAAATAATTATATTGAAATTTACTTGAATAACTAGAGTATTGTTATTATATTCTCTTAACTGAAATTCAGTTTGTCTTTCTTTTTAATTCATTAATGGTTTGTTGCTTCATTTTTCAGTTGATCAAAGAAGAAAACCACAAGCAACATTCTAAAGTAATACGAGAATACAAATCAAAGGCGGATCACTATCTGTGCTCAATCCTCAACAAGAACATTAACGGCACAAATGTTCAACGAACTCCGGCCGGTTTACTCTTCGTCCGGCAATGGAACAATATGCAATACGTTTCCACCGCAGCATTCCTCCTAACCGTATATTCCGATCATCTCCGAAAATCAAACTCCGATCTCGAGTGTCACGAAGGAACCGTGACTCCTGACGAGATGCTCGTGTTTGCGAAATCCCAAATCGACTACATTCTAGGGTCAAATCCGATGAAAACAAGTTACCTTGTCGGATACGGTCCAAAATATCCGACTAGGGTTCATCATAGAGGAGCGTCGATTGCTTCTTATAAAGATAACAAAGGGTTCATCGGTTGCACTCAGGGATATGATTATTGGTACGGACGGTCCGAGCCTAATCCAAGTGTTTTAATCGGAGCTTTGGTAGGAGGACCGGATCACCTAGACGATTTTGTTGACCGGAGGGATAATTATGTTCAAACGGAGGCTTGTACGTATAATACTGCCCCTTTGGTCGGTGTGTTTGCGAGACTTATAGAGCTTGAGGAGCAAAAACTCGAAGAAGAAGATGTGAGCTTGGTTGCAACATATAAGAGATAGATAGGTTTTATAAAAAATGGAATACAAAAAAAAAAAGTGGTTTTGTTTTTCACTCATTTGGTCATTTCTATATATATATTGTTGGAGTTTTTCTTCTCAACAATTTTTATCGAGTGAAAGTGTGTATAAATATTAAATTTTAATAGAGAGTAAAGTTTTTCGGTCGATTTTGTTCGTTACAAGTTAAACCGGTCTCTTCTTGCCTCTGTTGGTTCAATCTCTATTAATTTTCTTCACAATAGGATTGAAGAGACCGGTTTAAATTAACAGTCAGAGAGATAGGTGTCTGACTTTAGAAAGGATTTTTGCCTTGTAGAAAAAGATAAAACAGAACAGAGCAGCTTCATACTTGTTTTTTTGAGATATGAATGGATAAGGAGAGAGTTCTTATAGCTTTGACTCTGTAGAGACTACTGCCATTGATAAAACATAGAGAGCACTGAAGCAATTATTGTTCTTAGAGAGGTTAGGGGATCATTAATAGAGATGTAAATCAATACAACTACAAGTTTGCTTTATTGAAAAGGAAATAGAACAAAACAACATTACAAAAAAGAAGAAGAAGAAGAAAGAGAACAAAACATAGATAAAACATATACAAACATAAGGAACTGCTTCAGTACAAGACCATCAACCGCTTGACAGATATAGTCAAGGATAAAGTGAAAAACCGAAAGAGTACTAACGGTTCCTGCGCTTATTATGACCAACCATCTTCACGAGCCACTTTGGCTTGTATGAAGCAATGACTTGTGATATTGCCAATCCAAGAAACACTCCAGGCGCATACCCTATCGCCGTTGCTTTCCAGTTGAACACTTCTTCATCTTCTTCCTCTTCATCCTCATGCTGTTGTGTCGGTGGCGCGAAGCAACTTTCCTCGAGAGGAAGTCCACAAAGCCCTGCATTCCCTTCAAAGGAGGACTTAGATTGCCCAATGATCTGTGGTCCTTGTGGTATCTCACCTTTGAGTTGGTTATGAGACACGTTTACGTGCGCCAAAAACGAGAGGGTCTTGAGTCCATTAGGAATTTCCCCAGAGAGTTGGTTTCTTGACAGGTCAAGTGACTCCAGCTCTGTGAGATTGGCCAAAGACAGAGGGATGTGGCCTGTGAAGTCGTTGTTCGATAAGTTGAGCGCTATCAGTGTCTTCAAGAGACCAATGGATTCCGGAATCTGTCCTTCAAGTTTGTTCCCAGAGAAATCAATGGCGCTGAAGAAGGTGAGGATTCCCATTTGCTCCATTGATAGACCTTTGTACTGCAAATCCATAAGATCCTCAAATGTAGATGCATCGACTTTTACATCCATGTACATCCTCCCACCTAGATCAATCTTGAGTGATGGTGATTTCCAGTTCACAAAGTAGCTTTGTGGCAAACTTCCGGTAAAGTTGTTATCAGATATCTCAAATATCTGCAGCTCAGGAAACGCTAAAGGACCTTGATCAGGAGGAGATATTGGACCATAGAATTTGTTTGAGCGAATCTTGAAGACTTGCAGATCAGGCAAAGCCTTGAGCCTGAAAGGAAACGTGTCTTCGATTCTGTTGTGGTCCAGGCTTAGAAACCTCAGAGAGGAGCAATTCAGAAGAGATCTCGGAAGCTTCCCGGTTAGTTGATTGTATCCAACGTCAAGTGTCCGCAGAGAGGTGCCGAGGTAGAACATGTCCGGGAGACTTCCTTGCAAGTTGTTCTTCCGTAGTTTCACTACCGTGAAGTCATTCAGACATTGAGGAACTGGACCGGTGAAGTTGTTGTAGGAAAGATCAAGAACAGTAAGAAATGTTCGGTTGCAGATCAAAAGAGGTATGTCTCCTGAAAAACTATTGTTTCTTGCATACAAGGTGTTGATAGAGAGTGGTGGGAGAGGAAGTGCTCCTTCAAACTTGTTCGACTGTATAATTAATATTCGCACTGACGAATTTACTAAAACTTGTGCAGATCCTTCGAAACCCTTGAAAAAATTATTACTAAGAATCACTATTCTTAGATGAGGAAGTTTCCAAAACCACTCAGGGACTTTCCCTTTGATTCTATTTGAGGACAGGGTTATAACCCGCAAGTTGTTAAGTGTCTTTAAGATGTTTGGGAACTCGGTGATGCCGCACTGCCTTAATTCCAAGGTTTCCAAGTTGGGTGGGATGTCGGAACCTGTACCTAGACTAGTAACCAATAAACTATTACCAGGAACATAAAGGTCTACCAAAGATTTGAGAGAGGAGAAGATTCTTAAGTCAATTGGGTAGCTGATGTTTAGGAAAGAAAGGTCGAGACGCTCGAGGTTGATAAACTTGGAGATAGGCTCAAGGATTTGTCCTTCAAAGTGGTTATAACCAAGGTTCAAGAACAGGAGTGTAGATGAAGTAGAAGAGTTTGGAACTTCAAGATGACCCGTTAGATGGTTGTCTTTCAAATTAAGATAAAACAGAGAAGGCATAGTGAGGAGAGAAGGAGGAACGGTTCCAGTGAGATGATTTTTGGAAAGTTCTAAAGCTGAGAGCTTGGTAAGATTTCTTATAAGTGGGAAACTGCCAATGAGCTCGTTCTGGGAAAGGTTTAAAACGGAAAGTAGACTTAGGTTACTAATTGAGGAAGGAACTTGTCCACGAAAGCCGTTAGAGGAAAGAATCAAGACCTCTAACCTGTTGAGATCACCGAGACTGGAAGGGAGTGAAGAGGAGGCGAAGTTGTTGTTACTGAGTTCAAGGTGACGGAGTTGATGGAACCCGAAGAGGCTACTGTTGGGCTTCAGAGTTCCACTCAGACAGGCCTTGAGCTGTAGCTTTGTGACCGCACCGGTCGAGTTGTCGCACCACACTCCATTCAAGTAGTCACTACGTTTGCAACCACGAGTATCGAACTCGTTCTTGAATTGCTCAAAGGCTTGAATCTGGCGGGGACGACAAGGACCAAGACCAACCACAACATCATGTGTATTGAATGTGAAGAAGCTTGAAGGGGAGACACAATATAGTAAGATTAGCGAAAGAAATTGCAAACGCATAAGCGATTCCGACATGGTCATCATGATTTTTTTTTTTTTTTTAAGAAGAATTGATTTTGTTTTAAGAAAGTGAGATATATTAGGTTTAAATAAACAAGGACATGTGGTTTTTGGATGGGAACACAGACTTAGAAGAAGCTAGAGCAAAAGGTCTTTGTAGTGCCAAGTCAATGGGAAGTGACTTTGAAATTTCTCACATATGTTCAAAAGTTTAGCATAACGACATACACCTTAAAAACGCCAGCCCTTAATTGCAGAAGCAAGGTGTACTGATTTTTGTACGTTTGTGGATCAATCAAAACTTCGAAGCTGGGTTAAAGTGGCGATCACGTTATTGTTAAACCGGAGTACATATGTGTATATGATGCCTGCCCAAATTAACTCTGCAGATTGATTATCAAAGATTCTGAATCAGAACAAAGTGTGAATCCAAATTATTTGTAATCCTGCTGAAAATTACAGGCGGGGACGTTTATTAGAAATTTGTTGAGCAAAAAGACTGGGAGGTCTCAACAAGAAGCCAGCAACGGAAACTGATTTCGTATCCCTCAGAAGTCTAAACACACTCTTTCTCCTTCAGAGTGGATAGATAGATATGGAAGCCAAAAGCAAAGAAGGGAACAAACAAGGATTAGAGCTTATTTAGCTGCTTCAAGTGCAGAAGCTCCTGAGATAATCTCGATAAGCTCTGTTGTAATGGAAGCTTGACGAGTCCTGTTGTATGTGAGGGTGAGACGGTCAAGCATTTCTCCTGCGTTTCTGCTTGAGCTGTCCATGGCAGACATTCTCGCTCCCATCTCACTACACGCATTCTCCAGCACCGCATTGAACATTACCTAAGCGAAGTTTACAACAACAGCCCAAATGTCATTATGTTTCTTTCTTATGTTTTAAACACCTTATATGAAGTTATTATGCTTCTGGTTACTTACACAAGAGAATTGGAACTCAGCAAGATTCTGCAGAATCTCTCCCTTTGTTTCACCACCTTCAATCTCATATGAGTCAAGCTCACCAAGTTTTCCTCCCAATTCAGACTCCTTCTCAATAACCTTTTCAATACAACAAAGAAAGAAAGAAAACACGCACAAATAAATTTTAAGTTTATAGTTAAAGCAGAATGTGAAATACTAAGCATAAATCTTAATCACATTTGAAAAGTGTGACAAACCTCAGGTGACAAAACAGTGGCCACAGTTGGTAGAAATGCGACAACAGAATGGAACTTGTTGTAGACAATGCGCAGAGCATCGAATTCAACGTTTTTCAGGATGTCATCAGCTAGAACTGAGACCTGAAGCAGCAAGGAAACACAGGAAATAAGTAAAAACAACAATGCACAGCTCGAGAACGAACACACTCGGGGAGAGCAAGTAGTGCTCCGAACTATTAGCAATTATGACCCACCTGAGCATAATTGAGTGGGTTCTTATTCAGCTCTGTTACAGAAAGGGAGATGTCATTCTTTGAGTCACGGAACATTATAGCCTTTGCTTTCTCTCCGACAATAACAAACTTAACATCCTTTTCAGGACCTGCAGTGATATACGAATTAGTATCAGATATGGTAATTTAGGAAAATAAAACCATGAAACCATCCATAGTGCTTTCAAAACATACCAGCATTCAATTTGTACAGAGCCCTGCTCACTTTAACAACAGTGGAGTTAATTCCACCACAGAGACCCTTGTCAGAAGAGAGAGTGACCACCACACTCTTCTTTACGTCAATGCCTGGTTTTGTCATTATGTAAACGCAAGAAATCATAAATACACCCAAAAGCACAAAACAGAGATAGCAAGAGGATGGATATCTAAGAAGAGTATCGTAAGAGCAAGAGATTGTTCGTCATCATCAGTTGAATGCAGATCATGAGATGATCCACAAGACTAGTATCAAAATGATTTAAAAAAAAACTACTCTTTATTGCCAACCATACTGGGATTATCTCCTAGAAGTGCAGTGAATGGCTGCCAAAGTCCACGGGAGTTCTCAGCTCTGCCTTGAACTGCTCTCAGCTTTGAAGCAGCAACCATCTTCATGGCCTTTGTGATCTTTTGGATGTTCTTTACACTCTTCATGCGGTTACGCACTGCACATAGTATATATACATTAAAAGCAATTCATGGAGATTAGAACATCTTAGACTTTTTAAAAACACAATCCTAACTAGCCAAAAAGTATCTCCAGTTATCAGCTGATACTTACCCACTTGAGTTGAGATGGATCGAACTCCAAGAAGTCCTTCCTCCCTACAAATCAAACGCAGGTTAATACTCATCATCTAATCAGCACAAAACGACACCCGAAAACAAAAATGTAAACCGTATAGATATTGGCAAATCAATCGTCAAAAATGAACAGAGTATGAATCTAACGAACCTAGACAACATACACAGTGTCAATATCACCAAGTTTATGCTACAAGGCAAAATGAATTCATCTGCGACAGAAAAATGAGGTTTCCAAAAGAAACAAGCTTTCACTTAGACGTTTCTGAGTCTCAAAACTCCAAATAGAACAGCACAAAAAAAATCACATTCGTTGGCAGCTTCAGAGTCAAAGTAACCAATTCGATCAATTATCATCAAATTAAAATTCAAGAATATAACGCCTTCTCAGGGTACGAACGTTAACCCTAACGATCATTCATCAGAATCAGCAAGCATCAAAGACTCAATCGGACCAAACGATTTCAAATTCGTAATAGTAACACGGAGGAACATCGAAATGCTGGGGATATACGGGAGGTTAAGAGTGAAGGATAAAGAGATCTCACTGGTCAGAAGGGAGGGGAGATCGGATGGCAGCGACTGGGCGAGCGGCGATTGAAGGGAGGAGACGCCTCCCTTCGCGACGGAAAACAGCCATTGCCATTGATCAAGGATTGACGATAAACAGAAACCTAGCTCCGGCGAATTTCTCAGATCGGTATTCTTCTTCTCGACTCGGATTGTAGATTCGAGAGAAATGACTGCTATAGCGAAACTAAGGGCTTTATTTGTCAGAACGACGACACACTTCCACGACGTCGTTTTAACTCTATTTACCAAAATATCCCCTGGATTCAATTTGGGCTCATACTAATACTTCACTAGCCCGTTTTGTATGTATTCTACAAAGGCCCATACTAATACTTCGTGAGGCCCGTTTTGTATGCATTCTATAAAGGCCCACACGTGCATTTCATCTCCTCAATTTGCCATGTCACCATTTCTGTTGTTATGTTCCCTTTGAAAATCTGAGTTTTGACTGTCTTCTCCATTCGATCCAAAAATATACAAAATAATGCGACTTGTTATGATACGTAACAGACCCATAAATGTGATAAAGATAAGATGAAAGTTTCAACTAACTATTGAAGGCCCACTTATTTATTTCTTGTATATCTTGTTGTATTTGAAGACCAAAAACCAATAACTACTTAGACAATATATAAAGAAATCTTGCTAAAAAATTTAATATTAAAAAGAAATTGCCATCATCAGATTAACTACGTTGATTATGTTGGTTTCTCTTCTAGCTAAACTAGTGTGAATATGTGAACCAAATGTGGAATTTATGTTTTAAGAATTGTCATTTCGGTTTTGACAAAAACAAAAAGATTCTTTTGACTCCGATGTTTACACAAACATTCATTTCTCAGTAGAAGAATAATTTGGGTAAACAGAACTTGAAAACCATTTTCATTCATCGTTTTGTAAAATGAGTTTAAATAAATTGTTTTGAACTTTTAAAGTTTTGTGCAAATATATATTTATATAGTAGTTTTGGACTAAATATTATTGACCTATTCCTATCAAATTCTATCAAAGTAACGTGTACTTCAAACTGATTCAAATCCAATGAAAAAGTCAACTGTTAGCTGAACAGAAATTTTTATGTCCAGACAGAATCAAAGAGTTGTCATGTGAGATTATTTAATATATTGTGTGATTCGTAGAACGTATACATTTGTTAATACTTAAGATTATTAAAGTCTATACTGTATGGCGGCTTAAAAATAAGATATATATACAATATAACAAATATGTTATATGTCCAATTTTGGTTCAATAATTTCATAAACGTTTTCAATAACAAACACCATGTCGCTGTCGCAATCGCGTCTGCCTTTGCGTTTTCTCTCTTTACTCTTACTCTACTGTAACATCTTTGCTTCAAACTTCCTAATGATCAGTGCTCTTAGTTGTCGTTCAGACCAGATCCAAGCTCTAATGCTATTCAAGAACGAGTTTGTATCCAACGGTTGCAACCGCAGTGACTATCTCAACGGAGTCCTGTGCGATAACGCGACTGGTGCAGTCACGAAGCTACAGCTTCCAAGTGGTTGCTTCACTGGAACGCTCAAACCAAACAGTAGCCTCTTCAGGTTCAACCATCTTCGTTACCTTAATCTCTCTCACAACAACTTCACATCTTCTTCACTTCCTTCTGAGTTCAGCAATCTCAACAGATTAAAGGTTTTGTCTCTTTCCTCTAATAGCTTCACTGGTCAAGTCCCTTCCTCATTTAGTAACCTAATCCATCTCACCCATTTAAACATTTCCCATAACGAGCTCACTGGTAGTTTCCCACTTGTGAGAAATCTAACAAAGCTCTCGTTTTTAGACATTTCTTACAATCAATTCTCAGGAACCATACCTTCTGATTTACTACTCACTGCACCCTTCTTGTCTTATCTTGATTTGAAAAAGAATCTTCTCACTGGTACATTCGAAGTTCCCAACTCTTCTTCTTCTTCATCTAGGCTAGTGTATCTATCCCTTGGGCAAAACCTATTTGAAGGGCAAATCCTTAAACCTATCACAAAGCTCATCAACCTTAATCATCTTGACGTTTCTTCACTAAACACAAGCTACCCAATAGACTTAAACATCTTCTCTCCTCTCAAATCTTTGTTGGTGCTTCATCTTTCTAGAAATAGGTTATCACCAGCTAGTCTAAATTCTTCAGACATCCCATTGAGCTTAGAAAGCTTGGTTATGCCACGATGTGACATTACTGAGTTCCCAAACATCTTAAAGACCCTTCAGAACTTGCAGCATATAGACATTTCCAGCAATAGAATCAAAGGGAAAATCCCTGAGTGGTTCTGGAAACTTCCTCATCTTAGCCTAGCGAATCTTGTCAACAATTCTTTCACCGGCTTCGAAGGTTCCTCAGAAGTTTTAGTTAACTCATCAGTGCAGTTACTAGATTTTGCGTACAACTCCATGACAGGAGAGTTACCTATTCCACCACCTAATATCATCTACTTGTCAGCGTGGAACAACAGTTTCACAGGGAAGATACCTCTTCAGATTTGCAACCGAAGCTCTCTCGTTGTTCTTGATCTCTCCTACAACAAATTCACCGGTCCGATACCTCAATGCTTGAGTAACTTAAAGATACTGAATCTCAGGAAGAATATCTTGGAAGGAAGTATACCTGATGAGTTCTATAACGGTGCCTTGACACAGACGCTTGACGTTGGCTACAATCGACTAACCGGGAAGCTTCCAAGATCTCTTCTAAATTGCTCCTTTCTCAAGTTTCTAAGTGTTGACAACAACAGAATCGAAGACACGTTTCCTTTCTGGCTCAAGGCTCTACCCAATTTGCATGTCTTCACTCTCCGTTCGAACAGATTCTTTGGCCATCTCTCCCCTCCGGATCAACAACCTCTTGCGTTTCCCGAGCTGCGTATACTTGAGTTATCTGATAATAGTTTTACTGGAAGCTTGTCACCAAGTTACTTTCTTGACTGGCAAGCATCATCATTCAAGATAAATGAAGATGGACGTATTTATATGGGAGACTACAAGCATGCTTATTATATCTATGAAGATACTTTAGATTTGCAATACAAAGGTCTGTTCATGGAGCAAGGGAAGGTACTTACTTCCTACAGCACCATTGACTTCTCTGGAAACAAACTTGAAGGACAGATTCCTGAATCCATTGGTCTTTTGAAGGCGTTGATTGCGCTCAACTTATCAAACAACGCCTTCACAGGCCACATTCCTCTGTCTTTAGCAAATGTTACGGAGCTCGAGTCACTAGACCTGTCAAGAAATCAACTATCAGGTGATATTCCAAGAGAACTCGGGAGCCTCTCGTTCTTGGCGTATGTAAGTGTGGCTCATAACAAACTCAAAGGAGAAATACCGCAAGGACCACAGTTCAGTGGGCAAGCTGAATCATCATTTGAAGGGAACGTAGGTCTATGTGGTCTTCCTCTCCAAGGAAGTTGCTTTGCGCCACCAACACAACAGCTGAAGGAAGAAGAAGACGAAGATAAAGAGGAAGAAGTGTTGAACTGGAAAGCAGTGGTTATAGGGTATGGGCCTGGATTGTTGTTTGGATTGCTAATAGCTCACGTTATTGCTTCATACAAGCTAAAGTGGTTTGTGAAGATAGTTGGTCCTAATTAAAAAGTACAAGGAGTAATTCCAGTTAGATTGTTTATGTCTGTGGATTCAACAAGATGGGACAATTTTAATAATAAGAATAGTGTAGAAACTAGAAAGTAATATGTATAGTATGTTGTTACCTGATGTAAGAGAGGTAATGCCTGATGTAAGAGAGGTAATGTATGAACATGAAAACTCTTCTCAAGTAACTTGTCTCGATTATAACTGAAACTAATCCTTACATATAATACTACAGCCTCATGGATTGTTATAGATTGGTTAAAGGGAAAGAAACCAAGAAAGATATATATTTTCAGATGAGTGGTTGTGCAAAGCATTATTTATTCACAAAATTAAGCATTTCTTGCAGAGAAAGTTTTGAATAGTGGAAACAGTTAAAGTGGTGAGTACTCACAAATCTGTCGAAGAATAAGCAACCAACATGTCGGGTGGAAACTCATGAGTAAAGAGAGTGCCTTTTTCTATAACTAGAAAGGTGATCTTTATGTAGTTATGTTCATCACACATCTCTACAGTCTGGTGAATAGAGAGATGTGTGAGAGGGACTTGGAAAAGCCAGAGTATTTCATCAAACTATTTCGTCAGAAAGCATTAGAACTAATGCTGTTAATATATTTGCGCTTGATCTATAATATTCTGTCAAAGTAGTTCTAGTTTTTGTTATTAAGCATCATAAGTATCAAACACGTTTTTCTCCACCAGCTTTCCTTTATACCACCAAGTGTTTAAAGAACTTCAGACAGAGCTAAACCTTAGAATCCAACTCACTGATTGATTTCTTTACATGATTATGTCAAAACTAATTGACTTTGAGTTGGTGTTTTTAACTAAACAAACAAAGAAAATTAGCACAAAAAATAGTATTTTAACTAATGCGAATTGTTGTTATGTAACGTAACAAGCTCATAAATATGACACTGGAAAATTCCAAGATAAAGGTCAAAGTTTCACCAAACTATTAAATGATCTTTTAAATACAGTTTTTGGAAACCAAAAATCGATATGTAGATTTGATTCAATTTGCGATATGCTAAGCTAGTGTGAATGAACTGGTAATTGAAACTTCTTTCTTTGAATCCAATGAAAATGTCAAATTTAAGTTGAACACATAGTCAAGATGCCCACGTGTCATATACTTCTTCAACTGCGTGAATCTTAGACATTTCACGTGGCATTCACTCCCTACTACACATTTATTTAATTCATTACTCGAGAGGTTCAATCATTATTTCATGAGAATTTCATCAAACTTTTTCAATCACAAACACCATTGTCGATGATGCAACCGCGTCTGCGTTCGCGTTTTCTTTTTATACTCTTACTCTTCGCTTCAACCTTCTTAGCGATCAACGCTCTTGCTTGTCGTCCCGACCAGATACAAGCTATTCTGCAGTTCAAGAACGAGTTCGAATCCGGCGGTTGCAACCGCAGTGACTATCTCAACGGAGTATTGTGCGACAACGTGACTGGTGCGGTCACGAAGCTACAGCTTCCAAGTGGTTGCTTCACTGGAACTCTCAAATCCAACAGTAGCCTCTTTGGCTTCAACCATCTTCTTTACCTTAACCTCTCTCACAACAACTTCACATCTTCTTCACTTCCTTCCGAATTCAGCAATCTCAACAGATTAGAGGTTTTGTCTCTTTCCTCTAATAGCTTCACTGGTCAAGTCCCTTCCTCATTTAGTAACTTAATATTTCTTACTCATTTAAACCTTTCACACAACCAGCTTACTGGTAGTTTCCCACTTGTGAGAAATCTCACCAAGCTCTCGTCTTTAGACCTTTCTTACAATCAATTCTCAAGAACCATACCTTCTGATTTACTACAAACTATGCCCTTCTTGTCTCATCTTAATTTGAAAGAGAATCATCTCACTGGTCCTATTGAAGTTCCCAACTCTTCTTCTTCTACATCTAGGCTGGTGTATTTGTCCCTTGGGAATAACAAATTTGAAGGACAAATCCTTAAGCCTATCTCAAAGCTCATTCACCTTGAATACCTTGAGCTTTCTTCCCTAAACATCAGTTATCCTATTGACTTAAGCATCTTCTCCTCCCTAAAAGCTTTGTTGATTCTTGATATCTCTAAGAATAGGTTATTACCAGAAAGTTTAAGTGAAGATTCAGACATCCCATTGAGCTTAGAAAGTTTGGTTTTGTCACTATGTGACGTTACTGAGTTCCCAAACATCTTAAAGACCCTTCAAAACTTGCGTCATCTAGACATTTCCAACAATAGAATCAAAGGGAAAGTACCTGAGTGGCTCTGGAAGCTACCTCAACTTAGCATAGTGAGTCTTGTTAACAATTCTTTCACCGGCTTCGAAGGTTCTTCAGAAGTTTTAGCTAACTCATCAGTGCAGTTACTTGATGTTGCTTATAACTCCATGACAGGAGCATTCCCTATTCCACCACCTAAGACTGTCTACTTGTCTGCATGGAACAACAGTTTCACAGGGAATATACCTCCTGAAGTTTGCAACCTAAGCTCTCTCGTTGTTCTTGATCTCTCCTACAACAACTTCACTGGTCCAATACCTCAATGCTTGAGTAACTTAAAGGTAGTAAATCTCAGGAAGAACAGCTTGGAAGGAAGTATACCTGATGAGTTCTATAGCGGTGCCTTGACACAGACGCTTGACGTTGGCTACAATCAATTAACCGGGAAGCTTCCAAGATCACTTTTAAATTGCTCCTTTCTCAAGTTTCTAAGTGTTGACAACAACAGAATCGAAGACACGTTTCCTTTCTGGCTCAAGGCTCTACCCAATTTGCAAGTCTTTACTCTCCGTTCAAACAGATTCTTTGGCCATATCTCTCCTCCTGATCAAGGTCCTCTCTCGTTTCCTGAGCTGCGTATACTTGAGTTATCTGATAACAGCTTTACCGGAAGCTTACCACCAAGTTACTTTGTTAACTGGAAAGCATCATCACTCAAAACAAATGAAGATGGGCGTCTGTATATGGGAGACTACAAGAATGCTTATTATAGCTATCAAGATACTTTGGATTTGCAATACAAAGGTCTATTCATGGAGCAGGGGAAAGTACTTACTTCCTACAGCACCATTGATTTCTCTGGAAACAAGCTTGAAGGACAGATTCCTGATTCCATTGGTCTCTTGAAGGCATTGATAGCACTCAACTTATCAAACAACGCCTTCACAGGCCATGTTCCTCTGTCTTTGGCAAATGTTACGGAGCTAGAGTCACTTGATCTGTCACGGAATCAACTATCAGGGGATATTCCAAGAGAACTCGAGAGCCTCTCGTTTTTGGCGTATGTAAGTGTGGCTCATAACCAACTCAAAGGTGAAATACCACAAGGACCACAGTTTAGTGGACAAGCTGAATCATCATTTGAAAGGAATGCAGGTCTATGCGGTCTTCCTCTACAAGGAAGTTGCTTTGCGCCACCAACGCAACAGCCTGAGGAAGAAGAAGAAGAAGAAGAAGAGGAAGGAGTGTTGAACTGGAAAGGAGTGGTGATAGGGTATGGGCCTGGATTGTTGTTTGGACTGGTAATAGCACACGTTATTGCTTCATACAGGCCAAAGTGGTTTGTCAAGATAGTTGGTCCTGAAAAGCACAAGGAAGTAAAGTCAGTTAGATTGTTCAAGTCTCTGGATTCAAGATGCGACAGTTTTAATAGTAAGAACAATGTAGAACCAATAAGCAAGGCGTAAATATAGTATGTTAGTAACAGGTCTTACTAGTTTATGTAACCTTTGTTGTCTTAGAAGGAACCTCTGTTTTGGCTGATGATGTCCTGAAAAGATACTGCTTTGGCTCTTCTCTGATTCTTAACACACGGCTTCGTTTTTCAGCTTCCTGTTAAAAACAATCTGGATCAAGTGAAACATAAGAGAGTCAAAGACTATAAGATTATAATGTAAATGATACTACTCACAACTGATTCAAGTAAGATTAATGTGAATAAACAAAGTCATATATCATATGACCTACCAAATATAATAACCTGCTTCACAATCTGAACTAACTTTTTTTTTTATGAAGAACACTATTAATGCAAATTGTATTGTATTATGCAATACATGCATGTGTTCATGAACAAGCCCGATTCTTACAGTATTACTATTACTTATAAGAGATGATATTTTTATTTGTTTTACAGTCATTCTCCTTTTCATAGACACTTAGAGGCTCCTCATGAGGAAGCCTTCGAAGGTGATTCCCGGTCCGAAAGCTAGGCCCAGACCCCACTCTTCTCCTCCTCTGCCTTTCTTCTTAAGCTCATCCCTTACTTTTTCCATTATGTAGAAAATGGTGTTGCTGCTTGCGTTCCCATAATCCACCAAAGCCCGTCTGCTGCATTCCAGCTTCTCCGGCTTCAGCTTCAGTTTCTTCTCCATCCCGTTTAAGATGGCTGGTCCACCGGGATGAACTGCCCAGAACAGGTCATTCAACTCCAATGAGCCAGAGCCAGAGCCAGCCTTTGCCATTACCTTCTTGCAGAAGTCCTCTATGTTGTCTTCAATCTTCTGAGGGAGGTCTCTTCCTAGCTTGAAGCTTATCCCCTCTTCTGACAGCTTCCCGTCGATCACCCCATGTGTTCCGGGGAGAAACTGCTGCAGAGCGTAGTGAAGCTCCATGAAGGGAGATTCTGATTCTGTAGGGTCTGCTCCGATGATCAGTGCAGCTGCTCCGTCTCCAAAGAGAGCAGCTCCGACTAAGTCGTAAGGACGAGCTTTGTTTGGCGGACGGAACCCGAGAACCATAGTCTCAGAGGTGGTGAGTAGCACACGGCTCCCTGGGTTGTTCTCAGCAATGTCTTTGGACACACGCAACCCAGTCACACCACCGTAGCATCCAAGAAAATAGAGCATGACTCTCTGTACCTCGTTGCTAAGTCCCAGCTTTGCCGAGAGGTAAAGGTCACCTCCGGGCAAACGGAACTCGCTGGAGGAAACATAGACAAGGTGAGTGATATCTTCCACTTCCCTTCCCCATTCCTTGATGCAAGCCAAGCTGGCTTCATATGCCATTTGCAAAACCGCCTCGTTTGCAATCTCAAGCCTCTGTTTGATCGTTGGTGAACCTTCGGTTGCTAGCTCAGGGTATTTCTGCATCGTCTCCCTTGACATGACCGTGTAGCGTGTCTCCACAGTTGTGGTTTTACCTAAAACCACCAAGGCAAATACATTATTATGCGGTGAAAGAAAGAAAAAGTTCTGTAAAAGAAAGTAAAGAGGGAAACTAATACACAAGTGTTGGAGCTTGTCTTTAATAGAGAGGTCATCGCATTTGATTTCACGGAGATACTCTTCCACGAGATTCTCTTGAGAGACAACATTGCTCGGGAAGGCCTTACCGAGAGCAAGCACTGTTGCCTTTCCCTGATTCGCAACACGCCTTGTCCTTTGGGCCAACATCTTCGTCAGGTTTACAACACAAAAGGATTAGTTAGTGGCCTTTTAATTCATGGATTGTGGAAGATAACAAAAAAAAAAGTAGAGAAGAAAATGTGGGTGGTGTGTTTGTAACAAACACAGACAAAAACCCTAAATAAACTCAAGGATCACACTTTAAAGGAGTGAGTGAGAGAGAGAGAGATGGTGTTTATAATACAAACACACAAAGAGTCAGTTATACAGAGAGAAAATAATAGAGAGGAAGAAATCATTCACTGGACTCAAAAACTAAGTAGTCTCCTCTGATGTCTTTGGCCGCACACCATCCATCCAATTTGAACTCAATTTTCTCAGATAACAATGAGATAAAGTATGCACATGAACGGCATTAAAGGTTACCGACTTTTTTGAAAATTGTCAATGTCTTCTCCGTTCAACCAACAAAATTAATGCCATTTCAATGCAAAGCCACAAATTCTTAGATGTAACAGAACAAGAAAATTCAAAGAGAAAACAAAGTTTTCAACAAACTATTTAATTAGGGTTGCTTTCTCTTCATTTTTTTTTTATAACTTTATCCCATATATAAATCCCCTGTTTTGGCAGAAATGATAAACAGCCAGAGAAGCAGAGTCACGAGATAAATGAAGAAGGGATTTTATTTAAGTTACCTAACATAAATGATTGATTGCTCTCTGGTGGAGACAAAGACTTCACCCAGAACTTGTTCCAAACCAAAGTCAAGTTGTGTTAGGGAAGATATATTTCTTTAATGCATGATTCACACGTATCTTCAATTCTTTATATATATACCAATCTTGTCCGTCTCTTTGCTTAAAGAATATTGTTTCTCTTAAAAGTTTTCAAGACCACCATTATTATGTCAGGACTACTTCGTCTACCTTTTCGTTTGCACGTGCACCTCTTGCTCTGTTGTATCTTTGCTTCAAGATCCACTCTTGCTGTTGGACTTGCCGGTTGTCATCCCCACCATATTCAAGCACTTGTGCAATTCAAGAACGAGTTTGATTCCAGCGGTTGCAACCAAACTGACTACTTCAATGGAGTCCGGTGCGATAACACGACGGGTGCGGTCACAGAGCTACAAGTACCAAGTGGCTGCCTCACTGGGACTTTGAAACCAAACAGCAGCCTCTTTGATTTGCATCATCTTCGTCACCTCAATCTCTCTCACAACAACTTTACATCCTCTTCACTCCCTTCCGAGTTCAGCAATCTCAACAGATTAGAGGTTTTGTCTCTTGCCTCTAATGTCTTCATAGGTCAAGTTCCTTCTTCATTTAGTAACCTAACCAACTTAGTCCAGTTGGATCTCTCACATAACGAGCTCACTGGTAGTTTACAAATCGTCCAGAATCTCACCAAGCTTTCCATTTTAGACCTTTCATATAACCAATTCTCTGGAACCATCCCTTCTTCTCTACTCATGATGCCTTTCTTGTTAGACCTTGATCTTAGTGGAAACCATCTCACCGGCCCTATTAATGTTTCAAATTCCTCTTCATCAAGGCTCGAGAAGCTGCTCCTTGGGCATAACCCTTTTGAAGGACAAATCCTAGAGCCTATCTCAAAGCTCATCACCCTCACATCTCTCGACCTTTCTTTCCTAAACATAAGCTACCCAATTGACATTAGAACCTTCTCGTCTCTCAAATCTTTGGTGCAGCTTGTTCTTTCTGGGAATAGTATATTGCCAACTAGTTTAAATTCAGATCCAGACTTCCTGTTGAACCTAGAGAAAGTAGTTTTGTCGGGCTGCAACATCAGAGATTTCCCAAACTTCTTAAAGAGCCTTCTTCATTTGGAGTTTATAGACCTTTCCAACAACAAAATCAAAGGAAAAGTTCCTGAGTGGTTGTGGAGCCTTCCTCGTTTGAGCATGGTGGCTCTTGTTAATAACTCTTTTACAGGTTTTGAAGGTTCTGCGGAAGTCTTGGAGAAATCATCGTTGAAGATATTAGATTTGGCTTTAAACCGTTTTACAGGACCATTGCCTAATCCACCACGCTCTCTCTACGTCTTATCTGCATGGAACAATAGTTTCACAGGGAACATACCTCTGGCAATCTGCAACCAAAGCTTTATTAGTCTTCTTGATCTCTCCTACAACAACTTCACCGGTCCAATTCCTCCATGCCTGAGTAATTTTCGAAGCTCACTCATTGTTGTGAATCTCCGGAAGAACAACTTGGAGGGAAGCCTTCCAGACATGTGCTACGATGGTGCCTTTCTTCGGACAATCGATGTTGGTTACAACCGACTAACCGGGAAGCTTCCGAGGTCTCTTCTGAATTGCTCCTCTCTAAAGTTTCTAAGTGTTGACAACAATAGAATCAACGACACATTTCCTTTCTGGCTTAAGGCTCTGCCTGATCTGCAAGCTCTTACCCTTCGTTCAAACAAATTCTATGGTCCTATATCTCAATCTGATCAAGGTTCTCTTGCGTTTCCACAGCTGCGCATACTTGAAATATCAGATAACAAATTTACAGGAAGCTTGCCCCCAAATTACTTTGTGAACTGGAAAGCAACATCACTCCAGATGAATGAAGATGGGAAACTATATATGGGAGACTACCACGAGATTCCAAACTATATATATGAAGATACCATAGATTTGCAATACAAGGGTCTATTCATGGAGCAAGGAAAGGTTCTAACTTCCTATGCCACCATTGATTTTTCTGGAAACAAACTTGAAGGGCAGATTCCTGAATCCATTGGTCTCTTGAAGACACTGATTGCACTCAACTTATCAAACAATGCCTTCACAGGCCATATTCCTCTGTCTTTAGCAAATGTCACGGAGCTCGAGTCACTGGACCTATCAAACAACCAACTCTCAGGGGATATTCCAAGAGAACTCGGGAGCCTCTCGTTTCTGGCCTACATAAGTGTGGCGCATAACAAACTCAAAGGTGAAATACCACAAGGACCACAATTTAGTGGGCAAGCTGAATCATCATTTGAAGGGAACGTAGGTCTATGTGGTCTTCCTCTCCAAGGAAGTTGCTTTGTGCCACCAACACAGCAGCCTAAGGAAGAAGACGAAGAAGAAGAGGAAGAAGTGTTGAACTGGAAAGCAGTGGTTATAGGGTATGGGCCTGGATTGTTGTTTGGATTGGTAATAGCACACGTTGTTGCTTCATACAAGCCGAAATGGTTCGTCAAGATAGTTGGTCCTGAAAAGCGCAAGGAAGTCAATCCAGTTAGATTGTTTAAGTCTCTGGATTCAAAATGGGACACTTTTAATAATAAGAGTAGTGTATAAACTAAACTAAAGAGTAATATGTAAACATAGTAAGTTGATATTTTGTTACTGATGTAAGAAAGAGGTCTTAGTGTCTTACTAGTTTCTGTAACTTTTCTTCTCATAAACTGAATCTCTCTTTTGGCTGATGATACCCTGAAACGGCTTATTATATACTGCCTTGGTGCTTCTCTGATTCTTAAATTTACTCGAGCTGTAGTTTCTTGACGCATGGCGTCGTTTCTTAACTTCCTCTTACAACAAAACTGGAGCAAGTGAACAAAAGAGAGTCAGAGACTAAAAGATTACACAGGTCTCAATTTTTCAATCTCAGACTAGACACAAAACAGTTCAGCGTGAATAACACAAAGTCATTTATCATAAATTGGTTAAAGGGAAACAAAATAAGAGAAATGTATTTTTCAAATGAGAGATCGTTTCTGCAAACTACTACTTAGTAAAGTGTACTTATTATTTATTCAAAAGACTCGGCTTTCCCTTATATCTGAAGACCCTAAACTCTATAATATTTTTCAATCCGAGTTGCCAAAACCTATAATCCAATTGTGTGAAAACTAATTGACCTTGAGTTGTTGTTCATAGACAAAAATCGGCGTTTGAATTATAAAACTAAGAACTTGCGAACCGAAAGCAGTAAAGAGCACTTACAGGCGGTATCAAGAGAAAAAAAAAAAAAGATGGCAACAATGAAATCACCTGGAGCTCCTTGATGACTGAAGCCTCCACTCCACCAAAACTCCGGCGAGGGGACGAGTGTGAGTGACGGTGATCGTAATCTCGAAAATCTCCTTCTCGATTTGTTTTATTAGAGGACCGGACTTACCCAAATAATATAACAATTTGGTTAAATATAATTATGCATACCGGTTAAATGTTAACCGAATGTAGCCTTGGTCCTATTTTCATCCCACTGAAAACAAAACAACAGTTTTGATCTGCAACTTCTATTTTCAGCTCATATAGGAAAATATTGTATGTATCTATGCTAAGTTGAATTTGTGTAAATTTGGACATATGTGAGAAATTTCAAACTGATGTGATACCTCACATATAAGATGGTAAGGTGTCTTGAATCATTTATTTTGCAACCGTAGAAAAATCTCACTTTACTTTTGAGTTTCAGTTACCACATATATGAAGTAGACGCAGCAACAACAATCTAATGGAGATAATAAGATTTAAGTATTACTAATATCGGTACAGCAAGTCTGAATAACTAAAAAAGAAAAAGAAAAAAGCTCTGGAGACATCTAGCTAGTAGTACCCAACAAGATCCTAAACACTTGTGCCTAAGGAAACAATGTAAAGAAAAAACAGAGATGGACAATGTGTTTCTTCAAGACTCTTCCTTTGGATTCTTCAGAGTCATGTTCCATAAGGCATCGTTTAGTGCAGAGGTTGTCACCAAGGAAGCTCTCAACAAACTTGTCGCCTGATTAGAGAAAATCAGAATTTTAGTTGGAAGAATCGTTAAATGTTTCTTCAGTTCTACTTGATATATACCTGTGTTTTGCTGATGCTTATTTCTTGCACCTCGAGATCCTTTGCTTCAATCTGCAACTTCTTCAGTATGCAAAAGGTTGAGGTGGAGTTCATCGGTGTTATGATCAGATCATCTGATACTATAAACTTGGCGTCTCTCTTCACGAATCCACTTCTCGCTTTTGGCGGATCGCATCCATGAGATCTTGGATCAATCCAAACCATAGCGTCCGTTCTCTGATACGGCGGACGCTGCGTAGTGTTGATGTTGAGCAGCTGCTTATGACATATGTAGTAGTGAGGGAGCAAGGGTTTGGATGCTGAAACTTGTGTGGCACTCAAGGCCTGGAAGCTTTTGAACAGGTTTCCAATGCACCCGAAAGTGGAGCTGTCACCAGAAGTTTCCACTACATATTCCAGCGGAAGAGCAAGAAAAGTGAAGACAAGGTCAACAAAGTCGTCTCCGCACTCAACATACAAAACTCTCATGTCATGTTTCCTCACGATGGCACTGAGAGAGTTATCACTTGTTTCGGTTCAGCTTCGGCCTCCTCTACGTCTCTCTCCATATATGATCTCGGCGTTTCACAAGTCTTCATCATACCTTGTGGGCTTTGCTTGTTCAAGAACGTGTCCGTCAAGGGAGCATTTGAGGAGAAGATACATTGCAGCAGAGTCATTACCTATGTATCAAGACCAAGAAGGCGTAGTAAGCGGATGAGCATAAAAGAATAAAAGCAGAGCTTAGAAGCAGAGTTATATAATACCTCTTCAAAACCGATATTAACAAGCGTTTCCTCAAACTTGCTAAAATCGCCACAGCCTACGGATTTGAGCTTTTTCAAGACAATGTCAGTGGACCTAACTGCCACTTTTAAGTCGTCAGTTATGATGAATGAAGACCTGCCTCTAACATATACCCCATCTTGTATGCTGTCTACAACTTTTGCTCCTGCTACTGGAATATCATGCTTCATCAACTTTCCACATCGACATATAGAAGAGCTAAAGTTACTGTACGTTCTACAGCTTATCCAAGTAGGACACGCAAACAACTTGTTGCTCTCAGTAGGGTGTAAGTTGAGCTTAAGCCTCTTGTACTGGACATCCCTCAAACTCCTGGGATAAAGGAGCATCTCCTTACATGCTTCGGTCTCAAATTCATCACTGCCCATCTCCACAACACTTTTGTAGAGGTTGCTTAAGCAACCAACCTCTGCTTTTCGGTGATTCTTAAGCAATCTGACAATGGTGCCCATCGGCAGCGTCACAAGGCTCAAGAGCACATCAACAAAGTCACTACAAGCCTCTGCCAGAACGACCTTCTTCTTCTCTTCATCAACCACAAGTCTCAAAGTAAACGTAGGCTCCAAACAAGTCTCAGCCATTTCAAAGCTATAGAAGATGAAGCAAGAAAAATTAAACAAGAAAGCAAAATTTCCCAAGGACAGTAACAACACGCAAACATTCCATTATGATTCAAAGATTTTGAGTAGTAATTCACACACAATCAATCTGTTCCGACGTTAAATACAATTAAACGGGTCATAATCAAAACCCAAGAGTTAACAAAACAAGAAACCACCCTTTGAAATAACCACAAAAAAACTTGGGAAAGATTGAGTAGAAATTACCCGTGTCACTCTGCTTGCAGGTCCCTTGATAAAACTCTAAAGAGAGAATATTTATGTTCAGAATATATATATATACAGAGAGACTAAAATAAGCAAAACCCCATCGCAATAGAAAAAAAGGAAACTAGGGTTTTTAAGTAACCATTTTAGAAAATTGTCAACAACACCTTTCCTTAAAAATATGGGAAATATTTAGTTCATATAGGCTAAAGTTGAACGTTACAAAAAGAAGAAAAAATGGCAAGTAGCTAAAATTTGAAAAAATTAGAGAAAGTAGATGTCCAAGAAACTACACTATAGCACCTCAAACAGTCAGATGCTAATCAAAAGATTGTCAACTTTGGCAAGCACTTGAAGTTTCGGGATAAACGGCTTTCAGGAGCACTTGTTGAAGCTGATTCCATAGCTAGAAGACCAGTGCTAAGGCAGAAAATGCCACCAATGAAGCTCCTAGTAGTCTGATGACCTGCAAATGCATGCATATACAGTAGGATCAATGGATTTGGTAAAATATGTTATTTTGAAATCAAACAAGAATCTTTGACAAGCTTTACATGGAGTAATGATCAGGTCATCTGTCACCATGAACTTTGTCCCTCTCTTCACAAACCCACTTGATTCACCAGTGCTGTTGCCTTCGGATTTTGGATCTATCGAAGTTACAGGCACCAGTTTATCCCAATCATACACTAGTTGTTTACGAAACAGAGGAAATACACAGAGAGAAAGCAGATCCACGGGATGTTTGTTTCAGTTCCCTGGTAACACGAACTAAAGCAGAGTTGGTCTTTTTCAACACAAAAATTTACATAAAAACCAAATTTACTTTTACAAAAAAAGAATAAATATATTCCGAAACCTCTCTCTCAGTATTACATTCTGATCAAAGACTCAGGCTTTCCCTTAGAAGACCCTAAACTGTATAATATCTTTCAAACCGAGTTGCGAAAACCTATAATCCAATTGTGTGAAAACTAATTGACCTTGAGTTGGTCATACCCAAATAATATAACAATTTGGTTCATTTAATTATGCATACCGGTTACATGTTAACCGAATGTAGCCTTGGTCTTATTTTCATCCCACTGAAAACAAAACAACAGTTGTGAGTCTTGTGACTATGCAGTATGTATAGGAATTAAGTATTGTATGCAGTATGTATATGCTATTTGGACATGTGAGAAATTAATGACATATGTGATCCCCCACCTGAGTGAGCTAAGTTGACTTTGTGTAAATTTGGACATATGTGAGAAATTTCAAACTGATTGTGATACCTCACGTGGATTCGAGTGGCACTGTGCTACTTAGCCATACTTTTTCTCCAAGCCAAAAGTCTTTGACTTAGCTGTAACATCTTCCAAGTCAAAGTGATTCTTCGATGCAAAACCACATATCTTATATTTATACCAAATCTTTTCTCTCTCTTTGCTTAAAGAAAATTGTTTTCATGACGAACATGTCGGAATCGCGTCTGCGTTTGCATTTTCATTTTCTCTCGCTACTCTTGCTCTGTTGTGTCTCCCCTTCAAGCTTCGCCGTTATAAAGGATCTCGTTGCTTGTCTTCCAAGCCAGATACAAGCTCTTACGCAGTTCAAGAGCGAGTTTGATTCCCACAGCTGCAATCAAACTGACTACTTAAATGGAGTCTGGTGCGATTACACGACCGGTGAGGTCACGAAGCTACAGCTTCCAAGTGGCTGTCTCACTGGCGTTCTTAGGCACAACAGTAGCCTCTTCGAGCTTCACCATCTTCGTTACCTTGATCTCTCTCACAACAACTTCATCTCCTCCTCACTCCCTTCCGAATTCGGCAATCTCAACAAACTAGAGGTCTTGTTTCTTTCCTCTAATGGATTCCTAGGTCAAGTTCCTTCCGCATTTCGTAACCTAACCCTTCTTACCAAGTTAGACCTTTCTCATAACGACCTCACAGGTGGTTTCCCACTTGTGCAAAATCTAACCAAGCTCAAAACCCTGAGTCTTGGGGATAACCATTTTGATGGACAAATATTACAGCCTATCTCAAAGCTCATCACCCTCAAATATCTTTACTTGTCTTTCCTAAACATAAGCTTCCCAATCGACTTAAGGCTCTTCTCTTCTTTAAAACTTTTGCTGAGACTTGATGTTTCCGGTAATAGTATATCTCAGGCCAGTTTAAGTTCACATTCCGACATCCCATTGAACTTGGAGTTCTTGGCCTTGTCAGGTTGTGATATCAGAGAGTTCCCAAACATCTTTAAGATCCTTCGGAACATAAAAGGGATAGACCTTTCCCAAAATAGAATCAAAGGGAAAGTCCCTGAGTGGTTGGGGAACCTTCCTCGTCTTAGCATAGTGAGCCTTTTTAACAATTCTTTCACCAGTTTCGAAGGTTCTCCAGAGGTTTTGGTAAATTCATCGGTGCGTTTTTTAGATGTACAGTCAAACTGTTTTCAAGGGGAACTTCCTATTCCACCACTCTCGATCAACCACTTGTTAGCATGGGGAAATGGTTTCACAGGGAACATACCACTTTCAATCTGCAACCGAAGCTCTCTCACACATCTTGATCTTTCCTACAACAACTTCACCGGTCCAGTTCCCAGCTGTTTGAGTAACTTTAGGATTGTAAACCTCCGGAAGAACAGCTTGAAAGGAAGTCTCCCGGACATGTTCTATGCTGGCGCTTCGCTGCGGACACTTGACGTTGGATACAATCAACTAACCGGGAAGCTTCCGAGGTCTCTTCTGAATTGTTCCTCTCTGAGGTTTCTAAGTGTTGACCACAACAAAATCGAAGACACGTTTCCTTTCTGGCTCAAGGCTTTGCCTGATCTGCAAGCTCTTACCCTCCGTTCAAACAGATTCTACGGTCCTATATCTCCTCCTCATGAAGGTCCTCTTGCGTTTCCACAGCTGCGCATACTAGAAATGTCAGATAACAACTTGAGTGGAAGCTTGCCATCAAGTTACTTTCTGAATTGGAAAACGTCATCACTCACGATGAATGAAGATGGGAGTATATACATGGGATACTACAAGGAAACTTATGACAAAGCTTTCTATATCTACGAAGATACTTTAGATTTGGCATACAAAGGTCTACGCATGGAGCAACAAAGGATCATCACGTCTTACAGCACCGTTGATTTCTCTGGAAACAAACTCGAAGGAGAGATTCCAGAGTCCATTGGTCTCTTGAAGACATTGATTGCACTCAACTTATCGAACAACGACTTCACAGGCCACATCCCTCTGTCTTTGGACAATCTCACAGAGCTGGAGTCACTAGACCTGTCAAGAAACCAACTCTCTGGGGAAATTCCTAAAGGACTCTCGCGCCTCTCGTTTTTGGCGTACTTAAATGTGTCTCACAACCGTCTCGAGGGTGAAATACCACAAGGAACACAGATCACAGGGCAACCTAAATCCTCGTTCGAAGGGAATGCAGGGCTTTGTGGGTTTCCTCTCGAGGAAAGTTGCTTCAGTACTAGTGCACTTCCTCCTCCAATGCAAGATCAGACGCAAGAAGACGAAGCCCAAGTGTTGAACTGGAAAGCAGTGGCTATAGGTTATGCTCCTGGAGTGTTGTTTGGATTGGCAATAGCACAGCTCATTGCCTCATACAAGCCGGAGTGGTTTGTCAAAATCATTGGTCCTGAAAAGCGCAAAATCAAATTTTCAATCTCAGACTAGACATTCACGAGATCCCTTTTTACAAGTGTAAATGCTACTCACCACTGATTCAAAACACAAAGTCATTTATCATATGAGGACTTATCCAAATATAACAAATCTGTTTCGCAATTTCAGATATAACGATTCGATTACAACTGAAACTCCAGTCTCATGGAAACTCACCAGTTGGTTAAAGGGAAACAAAGTAAGAGAGATTGTTTCTGCAAAGACTCGGCTTTCCCTTATATATCAATCCGAGTTGCCAAAACCTATCTAATCCAATTCTTAATACATTGATTTCTTTTCATGATTGTGTCAAAACTAATTGAGCTTGAGTTTTGGTGTTCTTAAACTAAATCGGCGTTTGAATTGTAAAACTACGAACTAGCGAACCCAAAAAAAGAAAGAGCATTTACAGAAGATTTTTCGATTATTCGTTATTTTTGGAATCAAGAGAAACACACAAAAAATAAAAAAAATGAAATCACCTGGAGCTCATTGATTTCTGAAGCCTCCTCCACTCCACCAAAACTTCGACGAGAGTGACGGTGATGAACGTAATTGCTTTTCCCTTGTCGCGTCTTAAAAATCTCTCTCCTTCTCGACTTGTTTCATATGAGGACCGGACTTACCCAGAAATCACAATTTGGTTCATTAAATTATGCACACCGGTTAATTATCAACCGGATATAGCTACATAGCAGCAATTGTATATCAAAACCAATCATCTTACGGATCGCAGAAACAATTAGAGAGATGGTGATGCAGACTTGAGCCCCCAGTAACACTCTATCTTCTTTATGTTTCAAATCTGAAATCTCTAAGATGTGATCCACACGTGAGTGAGCTAAGTTGAACTGTGTAAATTTTGGACATATGTGAGAAATTTCATACTGTTGTGCTTCCATTTCCAAAGATACACGCTAAGCCAAATCAAGTAACGTGGATTGTACGTCATGATTCGAGTGGCACTGAGCTACTTATCCATACTTATCTCCATGCCAGGATACAAATACTTGACTTAGCTGTAACTTCTTCCAAGTTTCAAGTTGTGCTTCGATGCAAAACCACACATCTTTTATTTATACCACCCTTCTCTCTTTCTCTCTGCTTAAAGAACATTACTTTTTTCTAAATCGCGTTCATGACGACCATGTCGGAATCGCGTCTCTTGGTGCTCTTACTTTGTTGTGTCTTTGCTTCAAACGTCTAAATGATAAATACTCTTGTTGCTGGACTTTCTGCTGCTGCTTGTCGTCCCGACCAGATCCAAGCTCTTCTTCAACGAGTTTGAGTCCAGCGGTTGCAACAGCAGCGACTACTTCCACGGTGTCGTGTGCGATAACAAGACTGGTGCGGTCACGAAGCTACAACTCCCAAGTGGCTGTCTCACTGGCGCTCTCAAGCCAAACAGTAGCCTCTTTGGATTCAACCATCTCCGTTACCTTGATCTCTCTTTCAACGACTTCACATCCTCTTCACTACCTTCTGAGTTCAGCAATCTCAACAGATTAGAGGTTTTGTCTCTTTCCTCTAATGGCTTCATTGGTCAAGTTTCTTTGTCATTTAATAACTTCAGCCAGCTTTCCTATTTAGACCTTTCCTATAACAACTTGTCTGGAACTCTGATGAACCCTAACAGTAGCCTATTCGAGTTGCACCACCTTGTTTACCTTGATCTCTCTCACAACAAATTAGGTTCCTCCTCAATTCCTTCTGAGATTGGCAAACTCAACAGATTAGAGGTCTTGTTTCTTTCCTTCATGGGATTGAAAGGTGAAGTTCCTTCCTCAATTAGTAACCTAACCAACTTAATCAAGCTTGATCTCTCACAGAACAAGCTCACTGGCAGTTTCCAACTTGTCCAGAACCTCACCAAGCTTTCCATTTTAGACCTTTCAGATAACCACTTCTCTGGAGCCATCCCTTCTTCTCTGCTCACTATGCCTTTCTTGTTACATCTTGATCTTGGTGAAAACTATCTCACTGATCCTATTAAAGTTTCCAACTCCTCTTCATCTACGCTCGAGCATTTGCTCCTTGGGGATAACCTTTTTGAAGGACGAATCCTAGAGCCTATCTCAAAGCTCATCACCCTCATATCTCTCCACCTTTCTTACCTAAGCATAAGCTACCCAATTGACATTAGAACCCTCTCCTCTCTCAAATCTTTGCAGATCTTGAATCTTGCCGGTAACACTATATCACCGGCCAGTTTAAGTTCTGATTCAGGCATTCCATTGAACTTGGAGTCATTGTGCTTGCCGGGATGCGGCATCAGTCAGTTCCCAAACTTCTTAAAAAGCCTTCTTCGCTTGCAGTTTATAAACCTTTCCAACAATAAAATCAAAGGAAAAGTCCCTGAGTGGTTGTGGAACCTTCCTCGTCTGGATATGGTGTCTCTTGCCGGTAACTCTTTCACCGAGTTAGAAGGTTCGGCGGAAGTTTTAGAGGATTCATTGGTGACGATTTTAGATTTGTCTTTAAACAATTTTAGAGGACCACTTCCTAACCTACCACACTCTCTCAACGTCTTATCTGCATGGAACAATAGTTTCACAGGGAACATACCTCTTGCAATCTGCAACCGAAGCTCTCTTAAGCTTCTTGATCTCTCCTACAACAACTTCACCGGTCCAATTCCTCGATGTTTGAGTAATTTTCAAAGCTCTCTCCTTGTTCTGAATCTCCGGAAAAACAAGTTGGAGGGAAGTCTTCTAGACATGTGCTATGATAGGGCCTTGCTTCGGACCATTGATGTTGGTCACAACCAACTAACCGGGAAGCTTCCGAGGTCTCTTGTGAATTGCTCCTCTCTAAACTTTCTAAGTGTTGACAACAACAGAATCAAAGACACATTTCCTTTCTGGCTCAAGGCTTTGCCTGATCTGCAAGCTCTTACCCTTGGTTCAAACAGATTCCACGGTCCGATATCTCCTCCTAATCAAGGTTCTCTTGCGTTTCCCGAGCTGCGTATACTTGAAATATCAGACAACAATTTTACTGGAAGCTTGCCCCGAGATTACTTTATGAACTGGAAAGCAACATCACTCCATATGAATGAAGATGGGGGTAGTATCTATATGGGAGACTACACCGGGATGTCCCACTTTATGTATGATGATTCCATTGACTTGCAGTACAAAGGTCTGACCATGGAGCAAGGAAAGGTCCTTACTTCCTATGCCACCATTGATTTCTCTGGGAACAAACTTGAAGGACAGATTCCCGAATCCATTGGTCTTTTGAAAGCATTGATTGCACTCAACCTATCAAACAACGCTTTCACGGGCCATATTCCTCTGTTTTTGGCCAATCTCACGGAGCTCGAGTCACTAGACCTGTCAAGAAACCATCTCTCTGGGAGGATTCCAAATGGACTCGGGAGCCTCTCGTTTTTGGCATACGTGAATGTGTCTAATAACCAACTCAAAGGTGAAATACCACAAGGACCGCAGATTACTGGGCAGCCTAAATCCTCATTTGAAGGGAATGCAGAGCTTTGTGGCCTACCTCTCGATGAAAGCTGCTCCGGGACTAATGCCCCACCGACACAACAGCCTAATGAAGAAGAAGAAGAAGAAGAAGAGGAAAAAATGTTGGACTGGAAAGCAGTTGCGATAGGGTATGGGCCTGGAATGTTTCTTGGATTGTTAATAGGTCAAGTATCCGCTTCATACAAGCGCAGAAACCGTTAGGATCGGTTCAGGTTTTGCGTTTCATCTTTGTCAAGTCGTTGTAATGAAGCAGTTCCTTGTGATTACTGTTTTTTTCTTTGGTCTCTTTATTCGAAGCTTAGTATTATTTCCCTTCTCCATAATGTTTCTGGATTTTCTCTAGTCATATTTATAGACATATCTGTGCCCAAGGGATCAAGATCGAAGAAGAAAAAGTAAATTTTGTGTTGACGCTGCTTACCTTGATGTATCTCTCTGTCATAACAGATGACACACATTTCAATTCCACAGAGAGAGTAGAGAGAGCAATTATCAATGATTTTAGACCATAGAAGTATGTGTGAAATCTTTCTCAAGTATTGACTTGTTGTGTCTCAATTACAAACCGAAAACAAATGTACAACTCAAAATCCAATTTTCATTGATACGCATAAACAGAAGAAGAAAAACAAACTTGACTTTACCAACACAAGCGGAGAGATTGAAATAGAAAGTGATGACTACAATAACCCTAATTTTTACTAATTTCCTTGAGTTGATAACAGTGATCCTACAGTGAGTGTTGTTGATCTCGGATGCTCTGCCTCCAATGGTCAAAAAGGGCGGATGCGGAATTGCAGATTTGGCGGCTTTTGTGCCTCGTGAGATTCGCAAGCCTATCCATGACCCGCCTCGTCTCGGGATCTGTTGCGCTTATGGGGAAACCGACGAGCAGGGAGAGAGATTCTACGCAGATCGATGCCTCTTCTTTAGCCCCGAGAAGTCCCTTCGCGTTCGCCACGTCTGCTGATTTTTTTGCTACTTCGAAGAGCTCCAACGTCTCTGTCGCATTCTTCTCCACGGCTTGACGAGTTTTAGGGTTTCCAGAGACTTTGGGAGGCGGCGGATGCTGCTTCTTCATCTGCGGAGGAGGCGCCCTTGATGATGTTGTTGTTGTTGAAACAGACTCGCAAAAGCCAGACGGCTTCTTCAAGTTTTTCTTAATCCCTTTTGATTTAGGGTTTTGAGAAAGCTTAGCGGATTGCTTCTTCGCCAGGACAGACCTAACTGCAAAAGACTTACAGCCATCATCGGCAGGATTCTTCATCATCATCATCACGTGTTTGCTGCTTTGTTGTTGATTATCAAAGAGAGTGAATTTGGAAAGAGGCGATGTTAGCTTAGGGTTTCGAAGGCTTTTGGAAATCAAAATATGGAAATTGTGAGAGAGAGAGAGAGAGAGAGAGAGGTAGTGTGAATCATATTATATATAGACCGTAGAGAACCAAATCAAAAAAGGAAATTAAAGGAAGTTTCCTTCGATCCCAAGACTTTCACTCAGGCTCTTCGAAACAAAGGTCTTTCCTTTTTTCTTCGTCGGAGGGTAAATGCGTCAGATCAATATTTCAACGTTAACAATATGGGACAATTTAGAATTTATTGGAAATTTTAAAAAATCTCTTTCGTCGGTTTCATTCTCTTAATCCGTTCCTTTGATTCCCTACAAAACAGAGGATATAACAGACAGAAAGCAGAGCCACGGGATGTTTGTTTCAGTTCTCTGGTAACACGAACTAAAGCAGAGTTGGTCTTTTTCAACACAAAAATTTACATAAAAACCAAATTTACTTTTACAAAAAAAGAATAGATATATTCCAAAACCTCTCTCAGTATTACATTCTGATCAAATTTACACAGAGATCCCACCACCGCCTGTAACATCATCAGGAGGACTGATGGTGATCCAGAGCAGCGACACAGTGATCGACACAAGACCGGACCAAACATACACAATCGTCGGAACCTTTCCTCTTCGACCCATCAACCCTTTAGCAAACGGATACATATGCGTCAAAACCCACAGGCTAAAGAATATACCTCCCAGCAACTTGCTCCATTGCGGGATCACACTGTATATCGTCCTCGAAGCTCCGATCACAATCGCCACAAGGTTCACTACGATGATCGTAAGCGGCATGATGAACAGCCCCGTCCATTTCACGATGTAAAGATCCGCAAAGACGTCGTCTTCGTCTTCTCCTGACGATTTCGATGTCAGTGTGAACGAGATTTCGATTCCCGCGATTACTTTGAGCAGTCCTTGAACGACTGCTGCAAGATGAGCGCTCGTGCCTCCGATAAGCCAGAACTGCTCGTTTCTCCACCATTCCTCGAGTCCGATTCCTGACCATTTGACCTCGAGGAGGGAGATTAGAGTCAGAGTTACGGTGATGCTGAGGAGGTAGGAGAGGAAATGTATGTCGAGGCTCTGGACGATGAATTTGCCAGAGAAGAGACAGAGAGCAGGGAGGAAGCAATAGACGACCAAGAAGATGGATGTGAAAGGGTAGATCCCGACGTTGAGGTAGGCCACTCGCTGGAGAAACTTGAGCCGTCTTGTGGCGAACATGGCGTTGTTCTTGGAGAAGAAGATCTCCACAGAGCCAGTGGCCCAACGGAGGACTTGGTGGAGACGGTCAGTGAGATTGATCGGAGCCGTGCCGCGGAAAGCATCGCGTTTCGTGATGCAGTAGATAGACCGCCAACCGCGGTTATGCATACGGTATCCCGTCACCACGTCTTCAGTGACCGAACCGTAGATCCATCCGATTCTGTCTCCCCACTCCGTATTGTCTTCATACCTGAAACCCCCAAATTTAAACTCTACAGTTCTTAACTACATAACCGTTGTTATACTATCCATCGTTTTGAGACCTTACCAGCAGGAAATGACAGCGATGGCTTCAGCTACGGTAGGAGCATCAAGGGGAGGTCGTGGGAGGAGCAAAGCGCCGGGTGGTCTTCCGTTTTTAACTGACATGTGATCTGCTAGAGGACGTCCTTGGTACTCTGCGATTGGGATAGTGTCTGTGAACATGGTCGAGTTACCAAACTTTTTGGGAAGACCAAGATCTGGATCATCGGTAAGAGGCTGTGTATCGGACTCTAGATCAGACGCTTGGGATGTTTGTGAAGCTTGGGACTGAGTCCGGACATGCATAGCCGGGGCCTTGTCCTGACCAAAAACGCCTGAGTACTCGTTGGCTCGAGGTGGGTTGAATCCATAGAGAGCATACCTTCGGAACATACACCCTGTTCCCACATAGACCGGACCTTGTAACCCATCTAGTGCTCTCATGTTACCTGTTTCAGAGATTGGAGACTGTTAAGCTATGGTGGCTCGTGACAAAATGAAACTCAAAAACAACTCACCGTCGAAGAAGACGGTATTGTGATTTGCATATCGATCCGATGGGTCAATTCCTTCGAACCGTTGTGGGAACTGAATGTAACAGATTCGATCGCCACCTCGGTCCATCATGAAACACATTCCTTCTTTGATAGCTTTGGAGTTGTAGATGTAGTGATCACAATCCAGATTGAGGATGAAGGCGCCATTGGACAGTATAGCTGAAGCTCTAACCATACCGTTCATGGCACCAGCTTTCTTGTTGTGGTCGAAACCTGGACGTTTCTCACGTGATACATACGCAAACATAGGTACTCGGACATCAATCCCTGTGAAATCCAGCGCGCCTTCATTCGGTCCACCCATCACCGGTTCAAGCTCAGGAACTTTGCTCATGATCTACAAAATTGGATACAAGTTTTGATAGGTTTCTTGGTTTTATTCAAATTAAAGCAAAAAGTAAAGTTGATGGTTCGTACCTGTAGGATACCGGCGTGGTCTCCTTTTGAGTGATCAGGTTTAGGTTCAAACCACGTTCCTGGCCAATGTGTACCATCAGCCATCCACGTTGCTTTGACCACCTCAACCCCATCCGGCGGCAACACACCGCCGTTTTTCTCTCGGGCAATCCGTTTTTCCTTGAGCTCTTCTCTCATATTGAATTGCTCAGCTCTTTTCTTGATTTGTTCTGGAAGACCATTGATCCTGACTTTGAATTCGTCATACTCACGCTTGATCCAACGACGATCTTTGACAAAATCTTGCTTCTTCTTGTTTTTTGTCGGGTCTTTTTTCAGGCTAAAGTAACTATCCGGGTTCCTCGGCTCTATGTCATGTTTTCTGCAAAATGGCACCCAATACTGCAAACAAAACACACAAGCCATATCAGTTTTTGCCTTTATCTATCAGAAGACTAGATAAGAGGGAGAGCAAGCGAAAATGAAACCTCGGCAAAGCGAACAGCTTCAGCCATGGCTTCAAAGGTGAGAATTGCACCACCATCGTCTGAAATGTAGGCCGAGAGCTTCTCGATTGGATAATCCACGGCGAGGATAGAGAGAAGGGTGTTTGCGGTGACTAAAGGCGGTTCTTTTTCCGGGTCAGCCGTGGAAACGAACACGTCAACACCGGGGAGATCAGAGCGACCAGTGGGGTTCGACGGAGAAGGCTGCTCAAACTTGTCATGCAAGGCAGCAAGATCCGTGGCTCTGTTTATAGGGTTTAGCTTCGGAAGAATGTCAAGAATCCAAGAGAAAGCGAACCAAATCTCGCAGACTATCGATAGCCCCCATAGCCACATTGCATCCTCATTAGGATTCGTAACACGCCACCAGAGGAAGAAGAAGAGTATCACAAGACGAAACACGATTAGTAACCTGTAGGGACTAAGAACTTTGGCCGGGATATTAACTTTCCTCGTGAGAGGCTTCCATGGCTTGTCGAAGAAATCCGACATGCTAACGCCACCATCGTAGGTATCGTCTTCCTCGGACCAAAACGCGTTTCCGATTCCGTATTTGCCTTTAGATTCAAACAACCACCTGTTATGGTCGAAATCTCCGGTCTGGCTCCTCAACAACATTGATTTGTTATTAGATTTCATCACAGATAATCTTCTATCCAGCTTATTCCCCATCTTAGCGCCGTCTCCTCCTCCTCCGCGGCGGTTAGCATCGGATTTTGACTCAGGGGTGGACCCGGAGGAGCCAGCAGGTTGGTTGTCAGGTGTAGGAGGCATGAGGACGGTGTAGTTGATGTAGTCGCTCTGGCCGGAGTAATCGCCAGAGACGTCCATGTCATCGTCGCGGGAGAGGCTAACAATGCGGCCACTGGACGTCCGGCGACCAAACTTGACGGCTTGTGGAGGCCGGCTTACGGAGGAGGATTGCGAATTTAAGGTCTTCTTGGGTGGTGGACTTGAAGCCATTACAAACTTATGGAAATTTCTGTTTTGGGTCGTTTGGTTTCTTCAGCGAGAAACTGAACCCATTTCTTTGACGAAACCTGATTTGGGAAAATAGAAATTTTTTAAAAACAGAGGAATGTGTAAAAAGGTTAAGAGGGAAAGAGAGAACGAAAAATGTATTAGAGTTTAGAATTTTCAACGGTTGATAAATCCTTTCCTATTATAAGAAAAAACAAAACTTAAAAACTGAAATCTATGAATTCTGATATCTCCTTTCTTTAAGCTTTGCCTCTCTCTCCCTCTCCCTCTTTTCTCTATTTCTTAACGTACATAGCTATATGAATGAAGACATCATAATAGACCCATCACAGCTCTGTGAAAACTAGAGATAGCATAGATAGAACAACAAAACCACTCTAGGAACAATACCAGAGTCTAGAAATAAGCGTCTAGCTTCATCAAATTTCCCTAATTTAATCAACCAAACAAACAACCATTGAATCTCAGAGTGGAGTGATCAGTGACAATACCAACGAACGCAGATTAAAGTTCCAAGGCTTTACCCCAATCTCCGTATCAATGTGGGTCGAACTCATCCCCGCGCACGATAGCAGAATTGGAAAACCGAAACTGCCCTTGAAATCGAAGAACAACCATCGAGAAGACCCCCCAAATTACCTCCCTAGCAGAGTTACAGACCTAGAGCTCAAGCACAAGGACCAGCGTTTTACTCTCGAAGCGACGGAGACGGAGGTTTCTATTTGAGTAGTCGGATACATGAGCGCAAAATCGAAAACAGTCCCGAATTTCACAAAGTTTTGACACTAGAAAAATAGTAAACAAGCGATTGATTCCGGAATTACGGAAGCAGGAAAGAAAGGTTTGATTGAGCAAATATGATGTTGCAGCAATGGAAGGGTGATTTCGATAACGACGAATTGTAAAAGAAGGCAAAAAGTAAATCCCTCAGATGAACGAACCAACGAGCGAACCAAGATTTTAACCGGTTTTAATAAATTAACCGGAGTCTTTCTTGAACCGGTCAGACCCAATCGAGTTATATTCATATGAACCGGGTAGACTATGCAAGCAATTCGCAAAAGTGAAAGTGAAAAAAGACCAACGCAATCACAGGCGTTCAAATCAGGTTCGCAAGAATCAGTGTTGGTAGCAGCAAGAGCAATGTTGCAAAATGACGAATATTAATACAAAATATGTAAATAAATGGCCTATACAAAACCAATTTCAAAAAGTACAAATCTAAGCAGAAACATAGCATGAGGCTTTAGAAACCACAAAAAAAAAAAAAAAAACGAAAGTAGCACAACGAACTGAATGATGATGTCTCTGGAGACGGCGAAGAAATGTTTCCAGACTTATTTGCCACAGTTGAATCCCCCACAAATTGAGAGGACGATGATGAGGATCAAGGCGATGATGATTGCTAGGACAATGAGTTTTATCTTCATGTTCTGAAACCACATCTTTCTTCTCATCTGAGTTCCCTGTGTTCTGAAATCTTGCGCCTGTACACAGTTTTGAGTTCAATCAAAAGCCCGAAACAGTAAGACAGAGGTGAAGAGAGAGAGCTGAAACTCAAAGCATGTCTGTGTGTATGGACTTGGAACCATTTGCGTAAGAGAACTAACCTGTGAGCGAAGGTTTTCGGTTTTGTCCACCAAAAGTTCAATTTTCTCACCACGGTCAAGAACCTGTAAATGAATGAGTGTTGATGCTTTAGGAACCAAAAGATCCTGGTACTTGAGTCATACTAGCTCAAACGTTACTGGAAATAGGTTTAGGAACCAAATGATATCGGCAAAGACAGGACATTCAGAATCGAACCTTCTCAATGTTTTCCATCATGACACCTTTAACTTCAGACACTTGAGCTTTCACCTTAGCAAGCTTGCTAATCTCATCAGGATGATCCATGCAATACTGCATGTGCTCTTTCAGTTTCGACCTTTAGAGCAGCCAAAGAAAAAAGAGTCAATGACTATATATGTATACACGCACATGAATCACAGAAAACTTATCAAAGAGATGAGATAAGGTACCCAAACTCTTTGTTCAAGCTGTTTGCTTGAGCAGTTGCAGCCTTTCCACCGCCATACCTCTTGTTGAAATCCTCCTTCACTCGTTCCAAGAAGGCCATAGGAATCTGCCTCCCAGCAGAATCGACTGCAACAACGCAATACGCTGCACACAACAAGAACAAAAATAGCTTTAAACTTTAAGGCCATGTAACGAGATAGAAGCAGAAGATAAACATGAATAGAGATCACTAATATATCACTTATATATCCCAAATTTCGGAAACAACTCCCACAACGATAAGAACTGTACTACAAATAAATAAGCAAAGCAAATCAGGAAACCAGTAAAGAACGCAGAATCACAGATCCACAACAAGTCATCTTCTTCCATTTAAGATCCCCCAAACATATCACGGATGAGATCTAACATCAATTTTAAGATACACATACCAAAACATAAGAACTTGATTTCAGTTAACTCGTGGAGATATCCAAATTGCTCAAATAGGTAGAAAATCTACTCCAAACGATGGATAAATCGCTCTATCTTACGCAAAGGTGGGGGTACAAAGGGAAAAAAAATTCGAAACGAAAACAAGCTATGCGCATATCAATACACCAAATCGAGCATATAGATCGAGCAACAATCTGACTTACTGAATCCGTTTTCAACGAGGTAATTGAACGTGTGACCGTCGCAATTGTAGGTAAACTTGTTGTTTGAAGAAGGAAGCTTTTGAAGGCACTGTGCAGCGATGGAGGTGAAATTGCCTTTGAAATCGGTGAACTCCACGAGGATCACCGTGCCGCGAGCGACGAAACTGTAGATCAACGACTGTTGCGCCATTTTTTTTACCCTCAAAAACGATGGTGTCCGATGGATTTTTACGAACCGATCAGAGACTTATGACGGCGTGCACGAAGCTAGAGATCTAGAAGACTAACGCTGAAACGCGTAGAGAATCGAGGACTAAGTGGGAGAGAGAGAGAGAGAGAGAGAGAGAATAGGAGAGATCTTAACGTATGTGAAGAAGAAAAATCAAAAATCAAACCCTTCAATTAAAGGACTAAACAAGCAAAAATAGAAAACTATAATCAAGTTGTGCAAATCAAAACCTTTAGATTAAGGACTATATAGCAAATTCGGAAATTTATATGCAACTTGTGCTTCATAAAAGTTGGTGATATTGGTATTGATAGTTTCAACTTTCAACGAATATCACAGCGATATTTTGAATTGGATAATTAAGTTTGAACTTTGAATAATGAATTGATAATGGTCGTTCCGATATGTAAGAAAATATCTAACATGTTTTCTATCACTAAAATTTTACCATTAAGGTTGGGTAAATAAGTTTAGATAAGATAGTTGTGAATTTGGGTTCTTATAGAATTTGTTTTATACATGAATATTTTTTGAGTAATTAAATAGGATATAAATTTGATATTTTCAAAGTTTATGAGAAGTTTGAAATGTTTTTTAGTCACCCTACTATCTAACTACATGCACACATGTCCCCTCTTATTTCTTTATTTATACATATACGTTTACTATTAGAGATTATGTAGATACACATTCTAATGAACGCTTTTTCATTCAATAAGTTACATCGGAATTCGGAAGGTAGCAGTAGCTCAATTCGATTCGTAAAAAGTAAAAAGTAAAAAGTAAAAAGTAAAAAGTAAAAAGAGGAAAAGGGAAATGGGGTGAGGGAGGCTCGAACTCCCGACCTCAGGATCACTCAGTAGCTATGAGACCTACGCGCTAGCCAACTGCGCCACCACCCCAATTGTTGTTTCTTGATATTAAATAAGGTTAATTTATTGTAACTATGAAACACTATCAAATGTCAGAACTCTTGACTTTGTGAAAGTTTGACATCTCCATCGAAATCTAAAAAAGTTGATGCTACCAGCTGATAATTCAATAGTTTCCAGAAGCAAACAACTGGAACTCGAGAAGAAGAACATTATTAAATTCGTATAAAAATTTAAAGATTATCCCCCTTCACGTAAAAAAAAATACTACTAAACACATGACCTGGTCAAGAAGACAACAAGACTCAGGCAAACATTGGTTGTGCTTTATTCAAAAACTATAACAAGCTGAAGAAAGTGAACAAAGAGAGCTGAGATGAAAATATTTGGAGAGTGAAAGGGGCTTTGGTGGTTGTAAACATCTCTAACGAGCGTCCTTGGACAAAAAGCCTTGCGCTTCAACTTTCCTGGCGTTGCGAAGCTCATCAACTCCATCTCCTCTCTCAAACACAGCCGCTGCACCCATCCCCGTCCCTACCAGATTTTTTTTTTCAGACCCCAAAACATTTTCAGTCACCAAACCAGTTTAGAGGTGGTAAGAGTGAGAATATAGAATAAGAAACAGAAAGCATACCAATGCACATTGACACTACCCCGAAGCGACAGTCTTTTCCACGGCGTTTCATCTCGTGCAACAATGTAGCAACGCAACGTGCTCCTGCGAGAGATTTATCAGCCATTAGCTAATGTTTACGAGCGTTTTTATGATAAGTTTATAGCACCATGTTCTCATCAGATATACCTGTCGCACCCAAAGGATGTCCTATGGCCATTGCGCCTCCGTTGACATTGATTTTCTCCGGGTCAAGTCCCAACTTGTTACGGCAATAAACAAACTGAGATGCAAATGCCTGACCACACAAGGATTCGAAACGACGTTTTTCATCAAAATGTTTGAGAAAAGATATGCGGTAAGAAGATGGAGGAAATGTTTGCTTTTTACCTCGTTGATCTCAAACAAGTCAATGTCATCGAGTTCTAGACCAGCCGCCTTAACTGCAGCAGGAATAGCAACTGCTGGACCGACTCCCATGATTGCTGGGTCAACACCCACTGCAGAAAATGTCCTGCAATTTTTCCAATAAAACCCAGAAATGATGGGGAAATACAGAAAGAACAATGTATGTTTATGGATGCTAGTATATCACAAGCATCTGCATTTTTCAGTTTTGAGACTTCAACCGTTATAGTTTTATCAGGAATTATCACCCACCTGAATACACCAAGAACGGGAAGTCCTTTTTGCGTTGCAACACTTCTCTTCATGAGGAGAACAGCTCCTGCACCATCACTCACTTGGCTGGAATTTCCTGTTTGAGACAGAACAAATGCCGCAATGGATTATGGATTCAACATTGTGATAAAAAAAAAAAAGTGTTGTGTTCTCTACAATGACACAATTGATTCGGTAAAAGTACCAGCAGTTGTGGTTCCATCCTTCTTAAACACTGGCTTCAGCTTCCCAAGAGTAGCAAGGGTTGTGCTTGCACGGATCCCATCATCAACAGAAACTGTAATGGGTGTCTCATCACCTGTCTTCGGGTCAACAAGCTGAAATATAAAACTCTTATTATTGACTATCACAAGAACATGAATGAAGTTCAGTAACTAAATTCACCATAATAAGTCTCAAATGCTACAGTTGTTGTATGGAGGAAATGGAAAATACCTTGGTTTTAACAGGAATGATCTCATCCTTGAATTTACCAGCAGCAGTAGCAGCAGCTGCCTTTCTGTGCGAGTCAACCTAGCAACATGACTCGATAGATTAGCACCAGGAGATCAAATTTATTGGTAATCTAAAGTATACTGAAAAAAAAAAATAATCAGTTGCCTTACAGCAGCTTGATCTTGCTCCTGCCTTGACACACCAAAGCGCTGTGCTACATTTTCAGAAGTAACACCCATAGGAAGAAGACAATTCTGTGCTTGTGCAAACTTCTTCACCTGCAACAACATAATACGCTTTATAGTGCGCCATAAACTTAACAGAGGCAGTTAAAACTCCAGAAAAGAGAGAACTAAGAGACAGTACCGCTGGGTTCACTGACCCTTCCCATGCCATTGGATTGGTAGTCATGGACTCTAATCCAGCCCCAATACCTGCACTCAACAACATTATCGTCAGATAAAGTTCTTCATCAAACCAAAGACAACAATGCAATCAAAGAAAGTTATCATCTTACCAATATCATAAAATCCAGCTTTTATGGCAGCGGCTACGTCAGCAACAGCCTGAAGACCAGATGAGCACTGTCTGTTCACGGTTCTTACGGCCACGGTTTCTGCCAAAGGACATAACAGCATGAGCATACAACATATAGTAACAAAGATTTGCATCTCTTTTACATAAAAGAAACATACCAGGGAAACCAGCATAGAAAGCAGACATCCTGCATTCGCTGGCTCTCTGAGATCCCGGAGCCAAAACAGTACCCACAACGATGTCACCAACTTCACTTGGGTCTATATTTGTCTTCTCTATCAATGCCTGCACGAAGACGATAACACCATACATAACTAGAAGTACGAAGGAATTAATACTAAAACCAGAACAGAAAAAGAGATAGCAACAAACCCTCAAAACGGGTGCAAGAAGATCATCAGGATATGTATCCTTGAAGTTGCCACGTTTCGACTTGCATAGCGCAGTCCTATGTGCACTGCAATATAATCAAAACGCGTGAGTTTACCACAAGAATCTTACAAAGTGACAAGGAGTCTTCATAAGTTCTTGACAAACCAAATACACAAAAGAGCAAACGCATAAGAGATGGACTTACGCCACAATCACTACATCATCTCCATACTGAGAGGTCCTCTGATACGCAGCACTGTCCCCAGCCAAGCAAGCAGAAGCCTGATAATTTGGAGAGAACCGCGTTATAGAGATGATACATAGTAAAGCTTTAAATTGTAAGAGATCAATGAAAATGGTGAAAATAAACAGATCATCAAAATTCGTTTGCACAAATGACTGATGATTCAACCCGACCGCACGAAGAACCAAACAACCAAAACGCAAATACCCATCTCAATCCAGTCAACCAAAGTTCCTCTTAAATTCGATCTCAATCGAGCTGAAACCGTAATTTTTTTCACTTATAGACAGTGCGCATCAAATCAGATTAAATAATTCAATATCAAAATCATAATCTAAATCTAAAATTGCGTACGATGAATCTAGATCGAGAACAATCCGGAATTGCGAAGCCTAGAGATGGCGATAGATCGAGAGAGAGAGAGAAAGAGAGAGGTCGAGAAAGCTTACAGAGAGAGAGCCCTCGAAACTGTGTGAGGAAGACGAAGAAGGACGGAGATGTTCAAGAAGAACTCGTTGTCTCTCGATCGCTTTATCCATTTTTCTTTGCCGAGAAAGATAAAAACTCGATCTGTTTTCTCAGAAAGGATTTGTTGTTCTACACGAAACTACACTATCCTCGGCCTTGTGATCCATTTATAAGGGAGGACAGCTCACCGCTTTGCCCGTAATAATCAGAAAATAAGAAATGAAAAATCATTTTTGTAATTATATCTTTAGCATTGACCATAAACTTTATCTAACCTTAACAATGTTCACATATACCAAGAAATATATGTCTGTATGAGAGTGATAACAAAAAATTGGTTTGGTTGCTTAATAATTAATATGTCAAATAAAATAAAAATCTGATTTGTAAACTGAGAAAGAGCCAAGAAGATAAGATTAGGCGTGACGTTTGCCCCCGCCCGTTTTGGGCTTTGAAGTGCGTGCATCTGGATCTTCACCTTTTTTTTACATTTGACGATTGACCCCCAACTTTTTTCGCTAACTTTATTTACGCCTCTAATTTATTATTAAGCCTCAAAGAACCATCTTGCAATACATATTTTCTTCAAATCGTGACTAGCGATAAAAAAAAAAAAAAAAAATTCGATTACTAATAGAAAAATATTTGAATTTTGGAAGCAAACATATGACTTTCTGTTTTTACAGAAATAGTACCAACAACATTCCTCTAACTACAAACTGCCACGTGTCTGTATATGTATATTTACTAATTTACAACAAAGTTTCAGATTTACAAAAACCACCCTTTTAATCTTTACAGCTTTACAATGATGATTCTTCCTCTTTTTTACTTCATCTGACGGCTTAAGTTCGTCGCTTGGATTGCAAGGCAGCTGACATTGACCGGAGCCGATCAATAATCTCCGTGAACGACGGCCGTATCGCCGGATCAAACGACCAGCATTGCTCCATCAACTCTCTCCATAGATTATCACATTTTTCCGGCACCGAAGGTCTCAACGTATTGTTCACAATCCCACCTTTCAACATAACCCATCAAAAATCAGAAAAAAATTGCTTATGCAGAAAGATATAAACGAAAGAGGAACCATAAAATAATTAATACCAATGATGGCACCACAATGCATATCTGCGTAAGGTTCTTTGCCTGTTAAAATCTCCCACATCGCAATACCAAATGAGAAAACATCCACCTGCAAAAGAAAGCTATCTCAATAATCTCTTTTAAAACTGTTGTTGCGGTCTTTGATTGATCTTGGAAGTGTTTGTATGGTACCTTCTCAGAGACGCGGTTGCTGCTTCCATTTAATAGCTCTGGTGCCATCCATGGAAGTGTTCCTCTAACTCCACCAGACACAAGCGTGTTGCGTTTTATTCTCGACAATCCAAAATCACCAACCTGCAGCATAACCACAAATATGAAACAGATCATGATAGAGTCAAGACCTTTTCGAGATGATGATATCATCCGCTTTCTGGAAATGTTACCTTGCATACTGGTCGTTGTGGATCTCTCAGGTTAACAAGCAAGTTATCACATTTTAGATCGAAATGAACAATATTCTTCATATGTAAATACTCCATGCCGAACGCAGCATCTAGAGTTATCATCAGCTTTTTGCGCCTATCAAGCGACCTGTGTGGATTGAATACTTTCATCATTATCACTCACAAGCAGAAGAAGATACGGTCTGAGAAAAGAAAAAAGTAACTGTACCTATCTTTTCTCTGCAAGACATGTCTCAAAGATCCGTTCACCATAAACTCAGTCACAGTGGCCATAGTTTCACCAGGTCCTTTTGGTACAACCCCATAAAAGGCCACCACATTTGGGTGATGAAGATTCGCCAAGATCCGAGCTTCTCTCCAGAAATCTTTCGTCTGTGTAAAAACCATTTTCAGCCATCAGTGTGAAGCTTATTGCAAATACACATGAGATATATAACGTTGAGTTAGTTAAGTGAAACCTGTCGTTCTTGTTCGGATGATCTAGCAGAAAAACAGCTGTTCTTTATCCTCTTGATAGCAACATCAGTTCCTCTCCACTTCCCGTAATAAACAGTTCCAAATGTCCCAGATCCAAGCTCGTGTAAGTCCTCGAGATCTATACTCTTTATAATCTGAATTCACAAAAACCAGTAAAAGCACCACGGAACCAAAGTCAACGACAAACAACTCTTAAACAGAACATAATGTCTGAAAACTTTTGTTACCTGTAAGTTATAGATTCCAGCTTCAGCTTCAATCATCTCTCCGATTGATTTGTCAGTATTTTTGCCTTCTTTATACTTTTCCTGCATAATAAAACATACCATCACGGCCAAAAAAAAGTCATGAATCGATCAGAAAACTACAATCTGAAAAAAGAAAAAACTGAGAAGACATTACCTCCATTACGGATTCAGAACCAATACTTGTATTCTCTCCTTCTCTTGTATATGACTTTTTATCATCTAACTCACTATGTACATGAGGAACAACAGTAGCTTCTAAAGGTACATCTGAAGTTATAACATTCGCCACATCTTCAACTATGACTGGTGGACCAAGAAGTTTATCCTTGCAAAGAGCATCTGATGATCTCTTCACATCTTCTTTACTTTCCACTTTCTTAACCGGAAGTTCAAAAAAATTTAAACCGTCTTCTCTGGTCAAACCATCAGCAAGATTCTCGTTGGCATTGGCAGATAAGGAGAACACAGAGGTTCCCGAGTCTTGTGAACCGATTGAAGTAATCTGAACAGCTCTTTGGTAATTCGGACTGAAGGAGCTACTAGTTTCACTTACTCCAAGTTGTTTTGAAGCCAGATCGAAAGAACTTGGATCCTCACTGTTCATCCAGTTGTGAACTTCTTTGTTGAATTGAAACTCGTTGTTTCCCAACTCTGGATTCTTGAAAGAAAACTCACTCTCTTCCCATTTCTCTGAGCAAAACGACATAGCCAAAGAAGGTGATTTCTCTCTCACCATTTGCCATGGAGGTTTAGTGATTGATTCTAACCGGTTGCTGATCTCGCTCTCATCATGCAACTGTGGATCAGAGATAGCGTTTTTCCTCAGCACCGGTTTCTCAGACCCGGTATAAGGTTCACCGGTTTGAGGATGAGGAAAAACATCCCCACTTGGGCTCCTGTGAAAGTTCCTTTCTTGGTCATTCTGTATCTGCTTAGTAGTAGTCTCAAAGAAGAAAGGATTCTGATGTGGAAAGTTTGGAGAAGCCATGTAAGGAACATTAGTATCATAGAATGGATTAACAAAGTAAGGAATGTCGGTATTAGCTCTCTTGTGAGCTGAAAACGGAGACGATGGAGGAGACTGTTGGCCATATGAGTTCCTTGGTATCTGAATCGCAGGAATATGATGAACAGAAGAAGCAGGCGAGTCTCGATGACTAAACGTAGGGCTATAATCTGAAGCATTCCCAAACTGTGTTGTTGCTTGACTTTGCTCGCTGGAGCTCTTTTCAGGACTCACATCCAAGAAACCATTAAGAGCTGAAACGTACTGATAATGTTGTTGGCCTATGTTCCTGTTTTCTAGCTCAGTTTGAGACACAAGAAACACTCTTATCCTCTTGGAACCAGCCTTGTCTTCAGCGTCTTGATACTCTTCAATCATATGAAAAAGATCTTCATCCGAGCAAACGGAGATCAGTGCATCAAGATCTTCTCCTGGTAACTGGTACTTGATTGTATGAGGATGGTTGCATATAGCGTAAGTCTTTCGCAACAACTCGTTTAAACCAACATGTTTATACGTCGAGATGATCCGAGTCTCTCCACCATTGTACCTAAGCTTCCCATCACCAGGCCTTGGTAAGATCCTTCCACCGAAACTGCAAAGAAGCTTCAGTTTCTCCGGCAAAGAAACATTTGAAGCGGTCCGATACATCGAAGACGAGTCTGAAACATCTGAAACGCCTGAATCAACTCTCTGAATCCCGAGGATTCGATTGAGATCCTCGTAAACTATTCGGTTGTTATGACTGCTCTCAACGTTTTTAGAAGCTACTTGTGTTTTCCTTTGAGCACTATAATCCTTCAAGAACTCATCTGAAAACGCCTCCCTTGTCTGAATGTAAACATTGTCTTCATTACCGTGGAATCTATCCCTACCCGGATTCTCCATTCTCTCTCAAGAAACCAAAACAAGAAAAGCAAAAGTCATATTCATTCTTCCTCTGTACAATCTCTTATATATCAACAAAAAAACAGAACGCAGACGAACGAAGTCTTTTTATCTTCTTCTTCTGCACAAACCCTTGTCTTAATTCACAATAATATATATATCCCCAGTTTCAGATCCATTGTGCTCTTAATATCCCATTAACATATCATCTTCAAGCTATTTGAGAAAAATTCAAGAGAATCTGACACCAACCCATAGATCAAACAGGCACGACAAAAGGTTCTCAATTTAGATTCCCCTGCATATCAGCCACAACGAGGATCCGATTCAACAACAATGGTTACGACAAGAAACAAAGAATCTCTTCTTATTCTTTTTGGAGTTTATCTGCAAATGATCAATAGCCTAATCACTAACTCAATAACGCATACAGGAGAAAAAGGGCCAAAACCGAGGGAACGGGAATCTGGGTGAGATTAACAATGAAGGAAACGAAAGTTTTGGGGGAAAAAAGAAAAAAGAATGTTCCTGAAAATGAAGATTAAAGTTTTGGTTCGTGAGAGAGAGAGAGAGAGAGAGAGAGAGAGAGTCTTCTCAGAATAACGCGGGCCAAACCTAATTCAAAGATTAAAGTTTAAAATGTGTATTTAACTATTTATAATCTTTTGCGATATGCGATATGCAACATAATCTCGTTTTAACGGTTTAAGAGAGTCATTGGAAGAAAATGGAGATATTTGTTCAAGGAACGAACAAAGTGTAAGCAATATACATCAAAGTGTGAGCTTTACTTTCGCGTAGATAATAAACATCAATCTCTAACTATTATCTCTCTATGATCCCTCAATGACATACCTAATCATCATCTCTCATCATTACTCTTGATTGATTCTTTATCGTACGTACTATATTATATACTAAGAGTCTTGTATTCAACACACAGGACTCACATTACTTTGCTACACCCATTTTAATATCTACAAGATTGCTTATCTCCAACATCCATCCAATTTCTAATTTCTTAAAAAGTTAAAACAATCTCATCGATTTATTTTTTCAATTTTACTTTTTTTTTCCTCTTAAATAAATTTAAATAGTGTTTACATTATCTGTTTCAAGAGTATTTTTTATATTTTGAGGAATAATGTTATAGTAATGAAACGCTATATCATTTGGTATTCGATGTTTTGACATTATATCTGCGGCACAGTTTGCTTCCCTCGATATCCATTCAAATTTGGCATCTTCAAATCGAGATGTCCACCATCGGATATCTCTAATTTAATTATGCATTTTGAAGTTCAGTTATGTCCCTTGTACCACCGTTGAGACTTTCTTGCAATCACTTTCAAAAATGATTTTTTTTGTATCTGATGCTCCAACAATGTTGTATGGCTATAAGTAGTGCTTGTAGTTCACCCTTAAAAGCTGATGATACGCGATTCCCTTGTGCTTGTCCTGCTCCTTTATTCTTTTGTGTATGTATACATATACTTTTTGGTTTATCCTTTCTGTTATAAGGAAATATATCTTTTCCTTATTATGATATATATCTAATGAAAAAGTTTAGTTCCAAAATTTGACAATAACCTTTTTATATAGGTTTTCTATTTTTTTGGACAACTTAAATTATATTAGATAAAAGAAACAAAAAAAAATCATCAGAAAATAATAATTGCATTTCATATTGGACAGATACAACAACTATATTTAGGGTAAACATACATATACTCCCTTATCCTAATGTGAGATTTAATTGAATAATACCTACACATGTAAAGTATATACATTTCATATTTATAAAATTATTATACACAGATTTTTAACCCCCCCCCCCCCCCCCCCCCCCCCCCCCCCCCCCCCCCCCCCCCCCCCCCCAAAAAAAAAAATAATAATAATAACAAACTATACAACTATAATGTAAATGTGACTTGTGGCAAAATTCATGACTCAGAACGATCATCAGACATTCGTATTCCAACTTGGAAGTTTTACAGTCAGGTGGAAATCTATACTAAATAAAAGGAACTATTTGGGGCTCTTTAAGCTATCCACCTCAACTTTTCAAACTACTCTAAAAATATGACACATCAGCAAAAAATAATAATACAAATTCCCATTTTAGATTTTTTTGAAATACACATAAAGTAAATAAATAGAACCAAAATTAGTATAGTTAAATACAAGAGTAAATAAAAATAAAATATTATTTTTTGAATCAGTAAAATAAATATTATTTAAATCTATAGCATCAATATATACTCTTTTGTTTGTAATATAACAAATTAACAATAATGAAAATTCTCACTTTAGATTTTTTGAAATACACATAAAATAAATAAATAGAACCATTAAATTAATATAGTTATTAGCAAAAACTAAATAAAACTATATATCATTTTAATCAGTAAAATAAATATCATTTAAATCTGTAGCATTAATATATACTCATTTTTGTCACTAAAATTAATATAGTTACCAACAAAAGTAAATAAAATTAAAATATCATTTTTTGAATCAGTAAAATAAACATCATTTAAATTTATAGCATCAATATATACTTCTTTTGTTTGTAATATAGCAATAATAAAAAATTTCACTTTATATCTTTTGAAATACACATAAAATAAATAAATAGAACCACTAAGTTAATATAGTTATTAAGAATAAGTAAATAAAACTAAATATCATTTTCTAAATCAGTAAAATAAATATCATTTAAATCTGTAGCATTAATATATACTCCTTTTTGTAATATTGTGAATATATTGGACAATAAATTGCTCTAAAAAACTTAAATAATAGTTAATAGAAACAAGATTACAAAATAATAATTTTTAAAATAAAATTTAAAACATTTACAAATTATAAAAATCTAAAACATTCACTTTTTAGAAACATACAGATTAAACATCATAGTACGTTAGATTTATGGCAACCAACAAGACAACAGAAATTATAGGAAGCTTTTCAAAGCATCTATCTATATGAAGATTTCGATCATCGTTACTATTTACATTGCAGAAAATGATAGAAAAAAAGAAGAATTTCATGCACTGATATTTATTCAATGTGTGTCTTAGTTGGCTTAAGGTAGTCAAGTTACTACAAGCGATACATGTCAACACATGAGTTAAATAGTTTATAAACAAAAAAATAAAAGGAACTATTTGGGGCTTCTTAAGCTATCCACCCCAGCTTTTCAAACTACTCTAAAAATATGACACATCATCAAAAAATAATAATACAAATTCTCACTTTAGATTTTTTTGAAATACACATAAAGTAAATAAATAGAGCCAAAATTAGTATAATTAAATACAAGAGTAAATAAAAATAAAATATTATTTTTTGAATCAGTAAAATAAATATTAATTAAATCTATAGCATCAATATATACTCTTTTGTTTGTAATATAACAAATTAACAATAATGAAAATTTTCACTTTAGATTTTTTGAAATATACATAAAATAAATAAATAGAACCATTAAATTAATATAGTTATTAGCAAAAACTAAATAAAACTATATATCATTTTAATCAGTAAAATAAATATCATTTAAATCTGTAGCATTAATATATACTCATTTTTGTCACTAAAATTAATATAGTTACCAACAAAAGTAAATAAAATTAAAATATCATTTTTGAATCAGTAAAATAAACATCATTTAAATTTATAGCATCAATATATACTTCTTTTGTTTGTAATATAACAATAATAGAAAATTTAACTTTATATCTTTTGAAATACACATAAAATAAATAAATAGAACCACTAAGTTAATATAGTTATTAGGAATAAGTAAATAAAACTAAATATCATTTTCTAAATCAGTAAAATAAATACCATTTAAATCTGTAGCATTAATATATACTCCTTTTTGTAATATAGTGAATATATTGGACAATAAATTGCTCTAAGAAACTTAGATAATAGTTAATAGAAACAAGATTACAAAATAATAATTTTTAAAATAATATTTAAAACATTTACAAATTATAAAAATCTAAAATATTCACCTTTTAGAAACATACAGATTAAACATCATAGTACGTTAGATTTATGGCAACCAACAAGATAACATAAATTATAGGAAGCTTTTCAAAGCATCTATCTATATGAAGATTTCGATCATCGTTACTATTTACATTGCAGAAAATGATAGAAAAAAAGAAGAATTTCATACACTGATATTTATTCAATGTGTGTCTTAGTTGGCTTAAGGTAGTCAAGTTACTACAAGCGATACATGTCAACACATGAGTTAAACAGTTTATAAACAAAAAAATAAAAGGAACTATTTGGGGCTCCTTAAGCTATCCACCTCAGCTTTTCAAACTACTCTAAAAATATGACACATCAGCAAAAAATAATAATACAAATTCCCACTTTAGATTTTTTTGAAATACACATAAAGTAAATAAATAGAACCAAAATTAGTATAGTTAAATACAAGAGTAAATAAAAATAAAATATTATTTTTTGAATCAGTAAAATAAATATTAATTAAATCTATAGCATCAATATATACTCTTTTGTTTGTAATATAACAAATTAACAATAATGAAAATTCTCACTTTAGATTTTTTGAAATACACATAAAATAAATAAATAGAACCATTAAATTAATATAGTTATTAGCAAAAACTAAATAAAACTATATATCATTTTATTCAGTAAAATAAATATCATTTAAATCTGTAGCATTAATATATACTCATTTTTGTCACTAAAATTAATATAGTTACCAACAAAAGTAAATAAAATTAAAATATCATTTTTGAATCAGTAAAATAAACATCATTTAAATTTATAGCATCAATATATACTTCTTTTGTTTGTAATATAACAATAATAAAAAATTTCACTTTATATCTTTTGAAATACACATAAAATAAATAAATAGAACCACTAAGTTAATATAGTTATTAGGAATAAGTAAATAAAACTAAATATCATTTTCTAAATCAGTAAAATAAATATCATTTAAATCTGTAGCATTAATATATACTCCTTTTGTAATATAGTGAATATATTGGACAATAAATTGCTCTAAAAAACTTAAATAATAGTTAATAGAAACAAGATTACAAAATAATAATTTTTAAAATAAAATTTAAAACATTTACAAATTATAAAAATCTAAAACATTCACCTTTTAGAAACATACAGATTAAACATCATAATACGTTAGATTTATGGCAACCAACAAGACAACAGAAATTATAGGAAGCTTTTCAAAGCATCTATCTATATGAAGATTTCGATTATCGTTACTATTTACATTGCAGAAAATGATAGACAAAAGAAGAATTTCATGCACTGATATTTATTCAATGTGTGTCTTAGTTGGCTTAAGGTAGTCAAGTTACTACAAGCGATACATGTCAACACATGAGTTAAACAGTTTATAAACAAAAATTAAGTTTTAGATGACAGTTAATTTTTATATATATAAAGTTAGTAAATTTTTAAATTAAATAATAATGCATTTTTGAAAAAATAACATACACATTTTTATGTAGAAGAAAATGTCTAAAAAAATCTCTAATTATCCATATCAACAAAATTCCTTATAAACCCAACTTGAATGAAAAACTAATATGGTTTTTTTTTACTGGGTTAAGAAACTCCTTTAAAAATAATATAATATATATTATTAGTTTAATTATAAAGGCTCATCAAAATTATATGTGTAGTTTAAGAAAAAATGTTTAAGTTAAATTACAAGCAAAAAAATTTACATCTTTTGAGTTTTGAGAAACTCAACATACTTTATTTAACATAATGAGTTAGTATGAAATTGTATTTGTATATGTATTACTTGCCTTATTCATCTATATTTTTTATAGTTTACGTATACTTCATAAACCAAATCAAAGTTGCATTTTATCAATATGATTGTGATTTTTTATACTATGTAAATATTGTATTTATTTATATGAATCATAGTTATTTTATAGATTTATAAGAGATTAGAACATTGAGTGTTGTTTGTATTTGAGATTGCTAATTAAATAAAAACACTACACGAACACAGTTGAAATAAAAATAAAAATCTAAATTAATTAAAACAATAATAATCAAATTTAATCAAAACAAAAATAATTTTAATGATATTTTGAAAGTTAGTAGTGAATAACAGTGAGTTTATATACAAATATTAAATTTTAGATTAACAGTAAATTTTAACATATATCAAGTAGGTAATTCTTAAAATTATATCATGATACATTTTTTGAATACGTTAAAATATTTTTGATGTATAATCATATAAAAACAATTTTAAAAATTAAATATTATATTTAAAATATTAACTTAAAGTGAAAATAATTTAACTTAAATAATAATCAAATATCTATATAAAAACAATCCGTGCGTAGCGCGGAAACATCCTTAGTATAATATAGATACAGAAAGATGAAGAACCATTTAAATTATATACTTACATATTAATTGCCAAAAAATGATCTTTATTCCATTCATCAGATTATTGCTAAATCTTTGAATAGCTATTTTCCATATTTATGTAAACAGATCGCGTTTAACATATTTGTTAGATAAATGTACATCGAATGTCGTATTCTTTTCTTGTTGTCCTCCTATAAATAAGAAGCTCAAACGCTTCACTTTGCTTCAGCTAATCGAAAGGTTAAGGAAAAAAAGAAGAAAAACTGAGATTGACAATGGCGTCTAGGTTTTCGATTTTGTGTGCCTCGTCTCTCCTCTTCTTCTTCATCGCCGTCTCAAGTGCTACGGCGTACGAATATCCCGGCGGAGAGAAAGTCTTCGACGTCAGAGAATACGGTGCTCGTGCCGACGGCAGAAGAGATAACGCTTTTGCGTTCACAAAAGCATGGAACGACGCTTGTCAATGGAGTGGTGGAAAATCAACGGTCTATATTGCTCCCGGAATATTCTACCTCCGTCAAGTAAAGTTCATCGGTCCGTGCAAAAGCTCTATTACTTTCCAAATCAAAGGAACTCTATTGGCTCCTCGGAATCCTTACGCCATCATACAAGAAACGTGGATCCTTTTCATGTACGTTGATAACCTCACCGTTACCGGCGACGGATTACTTGACGGTCAAGGATACTACTCTTGGCCTCTCAATAATTGTCCCGTAAACCCTAATTGTCGTACACTAGCTATAAACTTGGGGTTCGCGTTCGTTAGATCCTCGAGGATTGACGGTCTAAGATCCATCGACAGCAAGATGGGACACATCAACTTATTCGCAGTCGAGGATTTTAACATTACCGGCGTCACCATAACCGCTCCCGGAGATAGCCCTAATACCGATGGAATCAAGATCGGTAAATCTAAGGATATGTATATCCACAACGTCACCATCGGAACCGGTGACGATTGCATCGCAATCCTCGACGGAACTACCAATTTGAATATCTATGATGTCAGGTACATTCTAGTTCAAACTCAAATTTGACTAGCGTTCAAATAGCAAACCGGTTTCAAGAAACACAAAATATGGAAATTATCTATTTGATTTGTTATGTTATATTTTTATGTCGATTCAAATATTTGATTTCTGTGATATCTCCCAACATCAGGTGTGGACCAGGACACGGGATTAGTGTCGGGAGCCTTGGGAGGTACGAAGATGAGAAGAACGTCGAGGGCTTAACCGTGAGAAACTCGGTTTTCAACGGTACAACGGATGGTATAAGGATCAAGACGTGGGGTAAATCGGTATCGCAGATCTCGGTTTCGAAATTCGTGTACGATAATATCCAGATGATAGATGTTGGGAACCCTATCGTCATCGATCAGCAGTATTGTCCACACGAACAATGCGATAGTCCTGGAAAGTATGCTTCGCATGTTCAGATCAGAGACGTGAAGTATAACAATATTTGGGGAACTTCGACGAGCAGAGAGGCTTTGAAGATGCAGTGTAGTGAAACGTTTCCTTGTCAAGACGTTGAGCTCTCAAATATCAACTTAGATTACAATGGGAACGACGGTTTCGTCACGGCTCTGTGTGAAAACGTTGGTGGTTCGGTTTGGGGCAAGAATGTGCCTGATAATTGCCGGGTTTGGTGATCTTAATTAGTTTGGATATATTGTTTTTTTTTAATTATAGGACTATTACTTTTAATAGGTTGTGTTCGATGCAATGCTGATGCTTAAAACCTAATCAAAGATCCAGATGAATTATAAATTTGGGGATGTGAAAGGGTGTTTGCGGTTGCTGCATCATTTTAGTTTTAGGAAAAGAAAATAAAAAGAGTTGACCATTAGTTTTTGCATCTTGACCGACCTCCTTGTTTTTTTTTTTAACTCGGAAATACTCTATATATATTAATGGAAAATAAATTTTGTGAGTTATTCAACTATTATTTAATTTTATTTTATATTATGACTAATGAAATTGTCTATTTTAATCGATACTAGAATAATTGGGATACACATTACATGAGATATTTAACAACTATACAAAATCAACTCATTCAACGTATTAAATATATTTGTGACAATATACATTTAGACAGTGATTTTCTTCCAAAGCAATTTTGTTTGGTATGAATGTTAAGATTTGTTGTTGAACAACTTATTACAAGGATCACTGACTAACAGCTAACAACTTAAGAAAATTACAAAGCAGAAAGACATTTTATCTTTATACTGATTGATCAAAAAATTAGAAGATGTAAAATTGTATTCTTTCCATTTGCTAATTTTCCTATAGAATCTAGATATTTTTATAATTTTTTATTGTAATATAGTAATATTTATATAATTTTTATTTCAAATTTTAAACAAAAACTTTTTAAAAAAACTCTGAATAGCATAAGAGTTTGTAATTTTGATGAGTTTTAACATAAAGAGGTGATTGTGGTGGGATTACCCATGGTTTGAAGTCTGACTAATGAAAAATTGAATGCTTACGCGTTATATTAAAATTTTAATATCGCAGGTAACAAAATTTTTAAAATTTCAAAACTTTGGGATTGCCCATTGTATGAATTAACAGTAACGAATTATTTTTTTAAAATTATATTAAATAGCGAAGTTTTCTGATTTTTTTGAATTTCTACTTTTCTTTTTGTGTGTTTTCAATTTTTAAAGAACAAAAGTTTCTAATTTTATTCGAATCAACAGTTTATGATGAATGATTTATATGTATTCCTTTTTCCTCAGATGATCTTTCTTCTATGATGACTATACAAATCATATTAATCTATACAGAAACCAATATTGCAAAAAAAACAAGTATGCTAAAAGACCTTTCCTTCACGACGGCGCCGGTGGAGGTAAATCGCCGCAAGTGGTGGACACAATTACTTTTCCGGCGCGTTCTCCGGACTCTATCAACATCAACACTACTTCCCTCATCGTCGGCCGATCCGACGGCGAAGATTTCGTACATAGAACCGCGATTTTCGTCACTGTGATCATGTGAGCGAGGATCACATCGTCTTCTACCTTCGTTAGATATGGATCGAGGATTTCGGATGTCAACGAATGATCTCTGATATGGTTTCTAGTCCACGTGGCAAGATCTCCGCCCTGGTCCAACGGCTGAACCGGAGCCTTTCCGGTTAACAATTCGAGAAGAACAACTCCGAAGCTGTAGATGTCGCATTTCTCTGTTACCTTCATCGTGTACGCATACTCTGCAAAACAAAAACGGTTTCAGATTAACGTTCCATAAAACTCAGAATCTAGCCACCGGAATGTGATCGGATTCCTCCGAACGTACCGGGAGCGATGTAACCGTAGGATCCAGCTACGGCTGAGACGGATTTCGACTGTGGCATGTCGATAACTTTAGCCAACCCGAAATCTCCAACATGAGCTTCGAAATTCTCATCGAGGAGAATGTTATTCGATTTGATGTCGCGGTGAATGATCCTCGGTTTACAGTCATGGTGCAGGTAAGCAAGACCTTCCGCCGCACCGAGCGCGATCGCGAACCGAGTCGGCCAATCAAGGCTATGCGATTTCCCGCCGTGCAGCAGCTCGCCGAGGCTTCCCCTCGACATGTACTCGTAGAGCAGGAGGTTCGAGTTCGAGCCTTGGTGGTAGCAGAAACTGTAGAGCCTGACGATGTTCCTGTGACGGATCTTGCCTAGAGTTAGAATCTCTGCTCGGAAACTGTTGTCGGTGTTGTTGTTTCCGCCGGCGCCTTCTCTGTTGGACTCGAGCTTCTTAACCGCTATGGTTTTACCCGACGGCATAACCGCTTTGTAGACCGTCCCGCAGGCGCCTTTACCGACGATGTAGCTCTCGTGGAAGCCTTTCGTCGCTTCAAGAATGTCTTTGACGGTGAATCGTTCTTTCGGGACGAAGTAGATGTCGGATTCTTGGAAGAAGGGTTCCTTATCGTTCACGTAAGGAGCCTTCGTCTCCACGGGGTTTCTCAGGAAATGAACGAGGATCGCTATGAGGAAAAGAGAGATACCGCCGATGACTGAAGACACGATGATGATGATTCTCCCACGGCGAGCAGAGCCTGACTTTAGAGACGAAAGGTCAGTCCAAGAAGAGAGGTTAGAGTCGCAGCTTCTCAAATGTCCGCCGCAGAGTCCTCTGTTTCCGAGGAAACTGGTCAGAGTCATGTTTTGAAAGAGCTGCGTCTGCGGTAGATGTCCCGTGAGGTTGTTGTAGGAGAAGTTGCAGCCGAGTAAACTCGATAAGTTCTCGAATGTGGCAGGGATCTCGCCGGATAAATGGTTGTTGTTGAGAGAAAGGTACATCAACAGATTGAGATTCCCGAGCTCCGATGGTATTTGGCCGCTGAATTCGTTGTAGCTCAGGTTCATTGCGATTTGGAGACTCGAGAGTAAACCGAGCTGAGGCGGTATACTTCCTGAGAACAAGTTTCCTCCCATCTGTAGCTCGGTGAGATGAGTAAGGTTCCCGATGGTGAACGGTATGTTACCGGAGAATCTATTGTCTGAGAGCCTGAGGATCTCGAGCTGATGAAGGCTTCCGAGCTCGCAAGGTAAAGAGCCGACGAAACTGTTCCGGCTCAGGTCAAGCCGTTGAAGCATCTTACATTTGGCTATCTCAGAAGGGATAGGCCCTGTGAGAGAGTTTGATGAAATGTTGAAAGTTACTAGGTTGGAGAGATTACTGATTTCTTTAGGTAAGTTTGAGGAGAACCGGTTAGCTGCAAGATGGAGCCTTTGCAGCTTCTGGCAAGTGCCTATCTCAGGAGGTAACGGTCCGGTAAAACGGTTTTGGTCCAGCTCTATAGCTGAGAGGTTTACAAGCTTGCATAACTCGGTCGGGAACTGACCCGTGAGCCGGTTTCCAACCACCCGAAGCTGTAGCAGCGATTTGCAGCTCAATACACCTGGTGGGATGTTTCCGAATATCCGGTTAGACCCGAGATTCAACAGGATGAGATTGGATTGTTGACAGATGGAAGGCGGTATTTTGCCTGAAAGCTGGTTCTCTGAGAAATCAACCACCCATAAAGGACTGTGCAAACCAAGACCCTGAGGGATTACACCGCTGAGTGAATTATGGAAGAGCTGAAGCTGACGCATTGAAGTAAGATTCTGAAAACCAGATGGGATAGGACCGGTTAAGGAATTGATGGAGAGATCGAGTTTCACCAGATTCTTCAACCTGCTGAGCTCGTTTGGTATGATTCCGGTTAACTTGTTCTGAAACAGATACAATAGCTTCAGCTCACTGATCTTGCTCAGCTCCACTGGAATCTCACCAGTCAACAGATTCTCCGAGAAATCGATTTCCATTGCTCTGGAGAGATTCCCAAGCTCCCTTGGGATTGTCCCATTCAACTGGTTCTGGTACAGATAAAGCTTCTTTAAAGACTTCATGTTACCAATCTCTGATGGTATCGGTCCAACGAAGGAGTTATCATACAAAGCCAGAGTCTCAAGCCTTGTTAGGTTCCCAATCTCTTTCGGAATCGACCCGGAGAGCTTGTTCTGCCACAGGATCACCTCCTGAAGTTTAACAAGCATCCCAATCTCCTTAGGAAGCTCTCCAGAGATGAGATTCTGCGCAAGACCGAGCAACTTCAAGTTCAGGCACCTACCGATTTCAGTAGGGATGCTCCCAGAGAACTCGTTTTGCCCCGCACGAAACGACGTCAACTTGGTGAGGTTTCCTATAGAACGAGGCAATGGACCGGTCAAGTTGTTAGTATAAGCCACAAGCTCTTCCAAATTGTATAAGTCACCAATCTCTTCAGGCAAAGGACCCGAGAGCTTGTTATTGCAAATGTTTAAGCTTCTCAAATGCGTCAGCTTCCTGATCTCGACCGGGATAGAACCACCGAACTGGTTGTTGTTCAACAGCATAACCTCCAGCTTCGAGCAGTTTCCAATCTCCGGAGGAATATCTCCGGTTAACCCGTTATACGTGAGGTTAAGATAGACCAAGTTAAGTAAGCCGCCAATGGTCGGGCTTAATGTACCAGTGAGATTCATGGAGCTCAGATTAAGAGATGTCACCACCAGATTATTAGTGTTATTGCCATTTGAGCTGCAATGCACACCTATCCAATTACACGGCGTCTCGTCATTGTCGTTCCAGTTGTGCAAACGGTTCAACGAATCTTGAAATCCTCTGTTCTTCAACTCCAGGAGGACCAGACCATCGCTGTTCAAACTTTCTGTTGTCCAAACCAGAAGTGTCAAGAGAAACAAAACCCCACCAAGCATTGATCTTGGTTCTGTCTTAAACTCAGAGGTCCCACCCATTGATCCTCTCAACTTCATTCTTGACAAAGAGGTACAATTTACAAAACTCAACAACACCTGCAATTACAAAATATTCACATTTCTTACACACCAAAGAGAATGCTTCGGTTGCAAAAGTTAAATCTTTTCAAGTTAACAGAGACGGTAAAATGCGAAACTCAGAGAGCTTTGAGCAGCGAGGACTAACCCTAACACTACTAGATCTATGATTGATTATGAATTTCTTAGGACATGTAGAGAATGGAAAATTAGGTTCCTTTCATAAATTTGGATCTGAAGAAAATACTGAAAGGTTACAGTTTTCAACTTACGAGCAGCAAAAAACCAATTTTGTCAACTACTTTTACATAAATGAAAAACTAGAGAACGAATACGGGAAGCATACCAATGTGAATCCATAGACGAAGCAACCAAGGAGGAGCCAAAACTGAGCAATTAAAGCTGCAAGACAAAAAAAAGGAATCTTGACAACATGAACTAAAGATTTCAAAATTTTCAGCAAATGAAAGAAATTTAAGATTTCTTACTTCTTCAATTTTGGGACCCAATAGAATATCGCTCAGCTTTCTCTTTCGATTCCTTAAATGGATTCAGTGATTTGAAATAAGACCCAGAGATAAAGAAATCCCATACACTGTTCTGGAATCAAAAGAGGATCATAGTTGATCTGGGAATCAAGCAGAATCAGAAACACAAAAGGTGAAGTAAAAGGGACTTTAAATCCAGTAACTTTTCAGCTCCACGATCCCAAGAATTGAAAAAGAGAAACTAGAAAAAGGGAAGAAAAAGTGAGAGGGGAGATAGTGATGAGAATCGATTAGTGTATATTCCAATAAGGATAAGCAAGTTTTGATTTGGCTTGAGAAGCTCTAATGGCCGACAAGCATGCCTTCTCTCTCTACTGTATTTTGAGAAAACCCCATTTCTCTCTCTCTCTCTCTCTCTCTCTCTCTCTCTTATAGAGTTAATAGTTGAAAGCTTGTTCCTTGTGGGTTTTTCAGCTTTTCTTATTTTTTGCCCATTTTCTTCAGTGCCAAGAACATGAAAAGGAAGTTGTGGAAAAAAAAGAGAATAGAAAGTGGCAAACTTTTCCAGGCCAAGGAAAGTGAAAGGATCTTTTTTTGTTATTTCTCCGCTAAATCTTTTTCTTAAGGGAATAACTTTTTTAGATTTACCGATTGTGACAGTTTAGGTTCTGATACATGATTTTAACAAAAACTAATCATAAAAATTTACTAGGAAACTTTCAGCTATTTAACTAACATATTTGTTGAGTACCTACAAATGTAAGTTGTACTAGATATTTAAAATTTTGTAAATTCAAAGTCATACATTGACTGATTAAGGGGAAAAAACTAGTAAGATAGTTTATCGTTCATTTAATCTCTCAAGAAACAGACTGATCGTTTAATTCAATTTTTCTGTCTTCTGAACTTATTGTTCCTCAATAATGTCTGGTTTAACATGCTGATCAGTCTATAAAAAATGATAACATTGCTTTGAGTTAAAGTTATTTTGCTATGGATGAAAATTGTGAATTGACCTAGCAGATTTGCTTTAAATTCTAAAAGTCTTCATAGTTTATGGGTCCCACGTAGCGATCGTGAGTAAACTGTTCAATGAAAGGCACTGGATGTGGAATTTACTAAAGTTCTTTTTCTTTTTTGTCAATGGAATTACTGAGCCTGAGCTACACAATCTATGTATATAGTTCGATTTAAGAGATACTTATGATTTTAGAATGTGATAAACACTAAATACTTTGAAATTTGATTATGGATCATAGTATAAGCATTAGGATGATTTCTTTTGTTGGTGACACATTAGGAGGTTCATGTTGCTTGACACGCAATGATTAAATTATAAGAACAGAAAGTGCCTTTGTTCTCGAAAGGGGACCCCCAATAATCTTTTTTCGAAAACATTATAAAACAAAATTTCATATGCATAAGAAAATAATATTTAGTTTACACTAAAATTGTTAGATTTTCCCCACTGGTTAACGAAGGCGGCAAATTTAAAAACTGAAATATGAAACATTAACAAAAACCAAGTGGGTTACTTTCTTACATATGCATGATACGTTGGATTTATAATTGGATGTATCGGGAAATAGTTCAGATGAATCTCCCCGATAAGTATCATCTTTTTTCCATCCTGATAGGTATTTTTTTTTTTTTGTTATAACCGATATGTATATTTTGTGAATAATATATTGTCCTGTGACAATCAAAGAGTTCGATACTATTCAGAACAACCCCAATGATAATATTTGAATGTGTAATGAAACGTTCTTAATAATAAAATTGAATAAAAAATGGTAAAGAGTATCTTATATTTTAGATTAGTGTTTACATTAAGACATTGTCTAAATTAAAAATGTACATGTGGTAAGTTAGGAGTACACGATGAAAATTTTAGTTTCTGAATTACAAGTCTATAATTTATATGCTTTCAAGTAATATATTTTTAAAAATATATTATGTTTTAAAAATTATTAACAAAAGTTTTTACTTAAATTTATTTTTAAAAAAATATATATATATATATATTATTTTTTCATTAATTTTTTTTAAAACACCTATCAAAAATGTTTTCATTATATATTATAAAAACAATAAAATATTACAAAATATTTATATACATAAGATACATAAAATATTAATAATTAATCAATAAAACTCATACAAAATGTCTCTACTAGACTTGCTCTCAAGGCCAGTCTAACAGTAAATTGGGAGTGAGTCGTGAGTATAATGAATTTGGCAAATCTAACTCATTATTGATTTGAAGTCTAATTCAAAACATCCGGAAATAGATTGCTTTCGTATACATAAAATGAAACCATTTGTATTTTGGTTTAAAATCCATTACGAAGAATGGTTTTCAACAAACGCCATATATATATAGCCATATGAATTAACACACATGTGTGTATTTTATGGTTTACATATTAAATTTTTCTTTTCAAAGACCTTTTTGGTTGTGTAAGTAGCGAGAGTAGGTCTATAGCCACTATAAGTACATGTATATCCAATAAAGTTTTCAAATCTAATTAGGTGATATTTGGCATTATTTAAAATGTTCGGCCAAGATGAGAAGAGATGCACTAGGAGACTAGTTGCTACAATGGTCACGCTTCTCTTACTCTCCTTCTCTCTTTTTCTTAACATATACTTCTACTGTATAATTTTTAAAATTTATTCTGTTTCTTTTGAATTGGATTGGCCACTTCAACAAGTTAGGAAGGGAATATATATTGATGCAATATCGTTTGCTTTTCCGGTTTCCCTAGCCTAACAACATCCTATTACCTAACTTTTTTTATTATTATATATCAGTTGTGATTGAAATACTTATGAAAAATGTTATCATATTCTATATAAACGTTTAGTAAGACCCATATATAGTATTCTTGTCATCATCATCTAGTTTACTTGTATTGTTGCGGATCGAAACCTTTGATCTTAACTCTCTTCAACTCATCATTCTTCCCTTAATCTTAACTCTAATAAGAATTGAATCTACAACGCATTTAAAATGTAAAAACATAAAATCTTTATAAGAATAGAAGAGAATATAAGTATATGCATACAAGAACTAACGAGACTTTGGAATGAGAATCCTAATCTCGGTCAGACGTCTTACGAAAACATGAAAATCGATCTTTTAAGGTGAAGAAACTAATCGATGTTTTGTTCTTGTTATACGGTTCCAACAGAACAAGAGTTTGGTTATATTCTCGATTAAGCTTTAATCGATATTAAACCGAGATTACTATTGACTTCAGCTAGTCAACAACCTTAATTAAACTGCTTCTCGTAATCAAGCCAACTCCAATTTTGAACCACACAAATAATATATAGATAGCTCAAAATATTAAAGTTGACGCAGGCGGAGTCAAGTTCATTCTCCTTGGGGGAAATAAAAGGATAACGCGTCGTAGTTTTACAAGATCGAATAAATTCAAGCTCTTCTTTATATTTTTGAAATTGAGTTGCATTTCTAAAATAATCTCGATATCCGCAGACGCATACGTAATACGTATGAGCATTAAAATAGTATCCGCATGCATCAATCCCAAGATAACACTTTAAATGTTTATCAATCTCAAAACAATAAAAGTCATTAAGCAAATCTTATTTTCACTACAAGAGTCCTAAGATTACGCCGCCTTGTATTTTGTGGAATATAAAATTAAGAATATAATTTTCTTTACCGTCGAGTATTATAATTTATAAGTATTACAAATTATTATTAAGAGGAACCGATATGATTAATCAAGTGTTTAGTCATATTCTTTATTCATTATATAGAATAGAGTTTAAGAAGTTGAACTTATCAAATAAATCAATATGATTAATCAAGTTAAATTTAAAATTATTTCAATCGAAGTTGCTTTTAGAAGCTCTCGGAGATGTTTTTACAAAAAAAAAAAAAAAAAAAAAGCTCTCGGAGATTAAGATCTGCCACGCTTTGTCTTTGACTCAACAGGCGTCAATAAGTTAAGATTTTAATTGTTATTTGTTTCATATTTATATTTTTGTTATGAACGCATCACACCCACTTATTTTTCTTATAATACTAAAAGGTAGTGATTTTCTAGTAAATAGAGAACTAAGAGAAGAAAGTTGTATATTGTTTTACGAATCTTACACATATACATTATATGTAAATATTATTATTGAAAATAACAATGATTATACATATATAGTAGGGATAATCCTTACCCTTTCATTTGTGCAATCATGCATCTATCATAACTTGTGATAGAGTAATATAGCATCGTATTCACAACATGCAATCATGCATCTATATACGTATATACATACACAAACTGATACACACGTTTCATGTATACACGTATATACATACGTCTCTCTGTAGGACTCACACAGGCGTGTGTAAGGAAGAGATGGTGGATAATGAAGGCCCACACATGTCCATGTCACCTCATCTCCCATTTTAATTTTTTTTTTCCACTTCACCTTGTAAGCTTGTAACCATGTGACTTGTCAGTTGTCACAGACACCATGATTCAAAAACACTATTTATCTACGGATTTTATTTTTCCTTATTGGTCATTACAACGTTAGAATCACGCATAAAAATTTGTCGTGATTAATTCATAATTTGATATATTTCTTCTCTTGCATCCACAACATTATCTGGAAACTACAGAAAAACAAAAGTTGTTTGTATAACAGTGTAGCACAAATGACATTATGGGCTTATGAAAAACTGCACTTGGCCCATAAAATTTTGAAATCGTTAAACCCATAATTCTAATCTGAGTTGAATTGAAACGAACGGTTGAGGTTTCGCCACGTCATCTTCAACATTATCAGAACCCACAAGTCCTCTTACCAATTACACAACATTTGCAGTACTGAAAGTGAGCGGCCATGGAAGTGGTGGCGTTTCCGTACCAACACCGTACGGCTCCGCCGGATCTACCACCACATAAAACCGGAAAGTCAGTAGTGAATCAAATCGGTCTTGCTCTACGATTCAGAAATGTTAGGATGAGAAAGCCGACGTACGAAGGAACGATCTTAACGAAGAAATCAAGAGCAAGAACACTAACTACGGCGGAAGCAGTTTCCGGTGGCGGAGTTTCTCTTCCGCCATTGGATTTGACGGAGGATAATATCCGTCTGGTCCTATCCGAAGCTCGCGTCGAGGTAAGCTTTTCTTTCTCCTTATCGTTTGCTTAATTCTAGATTGGTACGGGAGAGATTTAGAACCGGTTCACGATACCGTAATTTAATTTAACCGAATCGTACCGGCGTTTCTGGGTCGATTTACTTCCTTCTTGCGTTTAGACTCGCCGAGCTAGAGAGTAGACACAAAGCTAAATCTCCTAAATTTTAGAAATGGAAATTGAATTTGATCTTCTCTTAAATCCGATGAGTGTTTGGACCGTTAAACCACTTAGGTTCAGTTTTGGTCGGCCGCATTGTGAATAGGTTCTTGCTCTGAAGTTAAACCGAAATGATTGAAAAAATAATTAACGGTTCCAACTTCCAAGCAACATTGAGAGATCATGCTCTGTTTCAGGTTCTGAATGAGTAAAACAGAGTATTGTTGCTTGTAGAGTAATTAACCTTTGTTCGTTTTCTCCTTTTTTAACAGAACAGAACTAAGATTCCTTCTATAAAAGCAAGTTTAGAGATTGTGAATCTTTTATTAAAAAAAATTCATGTTTTGGATTTGTGAAACAGCTTGCACAACTCTTCGATTTATCGGTTGGGATAACAGGACAAGTAGAGTTAGTGGAACTAGACGGACCGTTCGTCAAGATAAGTCTAAGAGGCAAGTTTTGGCACACACGTGCGATGGTTCTAGCTCGAATTGGAAACTACTTGAAACAGAGGATCCCTGAGATTCTTGAAGTTGAGATTGAAGATGAGAAGCAACTCGATGATAGTCCTGCAAATTTCTAAACTTCATTACTTGTTGAAATTAATAGAGTATCGATCTTTCTTGTCTAGTGTGACAGATGTTTATGAATCTAGCAAAAGTATATAACTCGACGGAAATATGAGTTCATCATTCGCCCTAGCTATACATTTTGTTATGCCTAGAAAGTTTTACACAGAGTCTCATACATTCTTCAGGTTCAAAATCAGACTATACAATATACTCTGGTCTCAAGTGCCTTTTAAGTTTTAATAGAGGTAACATCACTTGGTCGCAATTACAAATATTGATACTTACCTTTTTCTTAAATCTAAAAGAAAATGTATACCTAAATTGTAGATAATACCCAAATGTGATAGTTCATAACTTCATATGATAGACAATAGAGTGTGATGTTATTGTTAAGTCAGCGCGATCAACTGTCACTCTAAACTCTAAGACAGCTATTTTGTGGATAAACGAGAGAAACAGTGATTTCATCGTTGCTTAGGCTAGCTACCAAACAATTCTATACCTTCTCATACAAGAAAAGAAGAAATGATGATGATGATGATAAGAGAAGGAGTATTACATGTACACAATGTGAGGATATGGCTTATAAAGACAACAAGCTTCATGTTGATCATTACATCAACATTCTTGATTTCTCTGGAGATTGCCCTAAATAAAACCATTCGAAGAAAACCCTTCTCTGAATCATCATCCTTTTTGCTTCGTAGATATATTTGGGCTTAGGCCCATTTATATATGCTCCAGCCCATTAAACATTTCCTTTCCTTTGGTTCAAAATCAAACCCTAGTTTCTAAAAGTATATACCCCCTCCAGCCAAATCGGAATTATTTTGAAGAGACGCGACAATGTCTAGAAATCGTTGTGATTGGTCCAAGCTTTGTCCTGATGTTTGCGGATCGATCCTCGAACGTTTAAGCGCTAAAGATTTTCATCGAGCGAGAACGGTTTGCTCAAACTGGTATTCCGTTTCAAGAACTTGTAAGCTGTATCCATGGCGTATTCAATTCAACGAGTGTTCTACCTCATTGTTCGATCCCGTAGAAGACAAGAAGATTCACGAAACAGAACATCCCGGAATCGAATTTTCGAAAAGCTATGTTATGGCTAGTTGCAGCAATTGGCTCCTGGTGGTTGATTTTCTTGTAGATCTATATCTTCTGAATGTGTTTACTAGCGAGAGAATCAGTGTTCCATCGATGGAGTCAATGTTTCTTGGTCAAGCAAGATTCCAAGGAGAAGACGACTGGGAACAATTCATCAAGCGAACTAACATAGCCTCCTTCAGAAAATCGACGGCTTGTCTTTGGATTAACGAGAGAACAAGAGACTATGTTATAGCTTGGAGTTACAAGGAGCATTACTTGTTCACGTACAAGATCGGAGATGATTCCTGGTGTAATCTTGAAGGCACGCAGTGTAAATCTATGGCGTACAAGAACAACAAGCTTTATGTGTATACCTCTGATCATTACATCAAGACTCTTGATTTATCTAAAAATTCTCCTAACGAGATCGTGGAAGGTAACCCTTACCGTAGTCATCGTTTTCACTTTGTTTCGAAGCCTAAGGAATACATATGGAAGAAGAGAATAGCGATTACGAGCTCTGGAGAGGTTTTGATCGTTGTGAGCTTAAAAGGTTTAGCAGAGAAGCGTTACTTTTACGTCTTCAAGATGAATGTTGGAAGTGGTAATTGGGAAAGAGTAGATTCTCTTGGAGGTGAAATGTTGATATTTGGTCATGGGCACACGATAAGAGCTCCCATCAAAGAGATCAATGGTGAGGGAATCAAGGGTGATTCGATCTGTTTCGATGATGATGATCTTATGCCAGGTAGTGATTATTTGAGTGCCTACAGAAAAATTAACTGCGGTGTATTCGATCTTGCGACAAGTACAATCACATGGTCTAAGACGTTAGATGCTCCGTTCTTGAAGAGTTCTTGGTTTGTTCCAGGATATGATCAGTCTTGATCTGAGACTTGTTTCTCCTTATAGTGTATTTATTGTCTTAAAATGGCTCAGTTAGCTGAAGCTTAGCTAATTTGTTGACTTTGATTCTGTTAACGACTAAATTATTCTGATTACTGTAAGGCTTTTATTGTTTATTTTTATCTTTTGCGGATGTAGCTAGCATATGATTTTCTAAGATAATTTGTGGTTAATGTTTAGAAATATCTTTTGCAAGAACAAGTAACTTTTAAGCTCATAATTTTTCAGGCAAACTGTCTTTGGTTAATTAATATGAAAACTCAATTAAGAGGCTTCGTTTAGGCTTCGGCCCATCATACAACGGTTTTCTTTATTTCTCAAAACAAAACCCTAGTTTCACATTCACCATGCAAATGCAGTCTGAAAGATTCGTAGAGCCGACAATGTCTAGAAACCATGGTTGGTCAAATCTTTGTCCCGATATTTTGCGACCGATACTAAAAGTCTTAAACTCTAAGGATTTTCATCGAGCAAGAACCGTTTGCTCAAACTGGTATTCCGTTTCAAGAACATGCATTCCTCCTCTGTATCCATGGCGAATTCTATTCCGTAAGCCTTCTACTTTGTTGTTGTTTGACACAGGAGAAGAAAAAGTTCGTGTATTCGAACATCCCGAACTCGATTTATCCGAAAACCATTGTATCGCTAGTTCCGGCAGTTGGCTTCTCATGTTAGATCGACGTCTAAATTTCAATATATTGAACGTTTTCACTCGCGAGAGGATCGATCTACCAACAATGGAGTTATCTTTTCTCGGAAGTGAGGACGACATAAAAGAGTGGGAATGCCTCGTCGGGAGTTACGACATTGTCCAATCAAAAAAATCGACTGTTTTGTGGATTAACGAGAGAACAAGGGATTTTGTCGTCGCGTGGGTTTACGAGCGAAACTTCTTGTTCACATTCAAGAAAGGAGATGAAACGTGGCGAAGGAGTCTTGAAGGCACAGAGTGTAACTATATGACGTTTAAGGATCACAAGCTTTATGTGTTGACTTGGGATAACTACATCAAGATTCTTGATTTGTCCGGAGAGATCCCGAGAGAATCTCTCGAAAACCCTCTTTTAAATCATCAGTTCAGCGTCGATGTGAGGCCGGAGAGATCTATTTGGAGAAAGAGAATAACGATCACGAACTCGGGAGAGTTTCTGGTCATTCAGAGCTCAGGGGTGTTGGGAAAGAACTTTTTGTTTGAAATCTTTAAGATGAATATGGAGAGTAGCAAGTGGGAAAGAGTAGATTCTATTGGAGACGAGATGTTGATATTTGGTCATGGTGTCACAGTGAGATCATCTGTCAATGGTGGTTCTATCTGCTTCGTTGAAAACGACGTTAGGCACGGTAGAAACAGTGGTGTGTTCGATCTTGCGACAAGTACGATAACATGGGCAAAAGATGTAGGTCATTGGGATGCGACTCGGTGGTTTGTTCCAGGATATGGTTAAGGGTTAGTGAGAGTGAACCAGCATCTGAAGCAGAGTCGAGTTGACTTTGGATATGTTAAACCATTTGTGTGGACTGGTTTACTTTCTTTTGTTTTGAATTTTCTAATGTTTTGATTGTTAGCATGACTTTTCCTTCGTTATAAATTCGTGGTTTCATTGTTGATTAAGTTTAAGTTTATGCCCGGATAAGTTAACTCAATCCTCTAAACTTGGTTTATTAAACTAAGGTTATGACAAAAGGAAGAAGAAATACAAGATTCATTATTATTTTTTTTTAATTTCTTAATAAATAGATTAGTTAGTTAATGACGGTTTATCTTAAAAACTCGTCTTTAATTAGTTAACGGGTTTATCAGAGTAAGAACACGGAAACGGAAACCCTAAGAGCAGAATGATGGATCAGATCGAGAGAGAAGAGAAGATGAAATCTAGAGACCTCGATTGGTCAGAGATCTGTTCCGATGCACTGCGATTGATCCTCGAGAGCTTAAGCTCCCAGATTTCCACCGAGCAAGAACAGTCTGCTCGACCTGGTACTCCGTCTCGAAATCGTGCGCCGCGGGATCGCGAAACAGGTACCCATGGCTGATTCGTTTCCTGGACAAGTTCTCCGGCTCGAAATCCTGCAATCTCTTCGATCCCGGAGAATAAAAGAGGTACAGGACGGTAGATCTCGGAGCCGAGTTCCCCGGGAGCCGGTGCGTCGCGAGTCACGGCAGCTGGTTGCTGATGCTGAGCCCCCGACTCGATTTCTCCGTCGTAAACGCGTTCACCGGCGAGAGAATCGACCTCCCGCCTCTATCGCTCCGAGGCGAGGTGGTGAGGCTCCGGAGAAAAGACGACGGCGACTTCTTACTCGAGCACTCTTGGATGGATCGGGAGACGATCATCAACAGAGAGAGGTATATCAACACGGCTGTATTGTGGGTCGACGAGACGACGAGAGACTATGTGGTGTGTTGGATCTACAACGATCTCTACTTGTTCTCTTATAAGAAAGGAGATGATTCTTGGTGGCACCTTGAAGGAGAAAAGTGTTTAGCCATGGCTTACAGGGACCAAAGGCTCTGCGTATATACCTCTGATCGATTCGTCAGGATCTTCGATTACTCCGGTGATTTCCCGGTCGAGATCATCGAAGGAAACCCTTACCTGAATCATCCGCTTTACTACGTTCCTCAGCCGCGGGAATACGTTTGGAAGACGAGAGTAGCGATCACTAGTTCAGGAGATGTTCTGATCATTGTGAGCTTAAAGGCATTCCCTGAGAACCAAGAGAAGCGTCTGTTCTACATCTTTAAGATGGATCTTGAAGGAGAGGAATGGGAGCGAGTAGATTCTCTGGGCGATCATATATTGGTTTTTGGTGATGGGCACATATTAGCAGCAGCAAGAGGTAAAGAAGAAGATGTTGGTGGAGGAGGAGGAATCATCAAGAGCGATTCAATCTATTTCGTTGGTGATGATGTTTGGCCGCGTCAGAAGGAGAAAGCGTTTCAATGTAGCATCGGTGCTTTTGATCTTGCGACAAACAGTATAAGCTGGTTTCACTCTCCTTATTACTTGTTCAACACTCGCTTGCTTGCTCCAGGATCTGATAAAAAATGATCAAAACCAAAACCACACACGGCTCCTGTTTAGTTTCTTGTTTTTCGTTTCTCCTTTAACTCTATGATTAAGCAGAGTTTCAACAACCATGGAATCTATATATGACTTTTTTGCTCTGAGTTGTACATTTGATTATGTTCTTCATTAATGGCATCACATTAAGGTAAGAAAAAAACTTTATACAAGATGGATGTTGAAGGATTCTGATGGATTTGTTTTTGTATTCACTTCCTAAACTTTGAGTTATTCTGGATAAATTCAACTTCATCTATCTGCTGACTTCTGTTGCTGTTGGCTGAATGTTGTTCATGAACTTCTGTTTCTGATGGCTGAGGTTGTTCAAAACTTCTGTTGCTGTTGCCTGAGGTTGTTCATGAACTTCTGCTGCTGCTGTTGCCTGAGGTTGTTCATGAACTCTAGGCTGTCTCACAGGAGGAGAAATCAACTTCCAAACTATATTCAAACCCAGAAAAAAAAAAAGCCAAAATCAATATAGTTGGTAATTAGAAAGTTTGCAACTTTATCTCTTCATTTAGAGCTTATGTTAGATCAAGAACTGAAACCATTAGCTTTTTACATAATAACTTACGGTATATCGCTGCAGCAAACCACTCATTCACTATCTTCACCCACGTGCTTGTCCACCCAACATCAATGCTCCATCTGTACGATACAATCTCATATAGTCAATGACTCATGATCTCAAGTTTGTCGCAGTCTTGTTAAAGACAAGAGAAACTGAAGAAGAAGTATCGAAATATAATACAGATGAAAAGTTTTCTTACTCCCGAGTAGAATGTGCGAGGTCCCAGCTGATGAACAACATAGCAAAGTACATTGCTCCTAAGGAAAACACAAGATGGAAGAATCCATAGCTATATGGTATATCATCTTCTTCTTTAGCTTCGTCTTCTTCACGGAACTGGAACAGTGATTAGATTTTCAATGTCTTGAGTCAGAATTTTTTTCATAGCTGGAGATTGAATGTAAAAACTTACCCCGAATGATTCTGAATCAATCCCGGTTGAGAATGTTGCCATCACAATGGCGCCTATAGCTATAAGAAAACTCTGAACAAAGAAAAAAAAGACAAAATGTGGGATTGAGTCTTAAGTAAAGCCAAAACTCAAGAAAAGGCTTTTAAGCTCTTACCAGTATGGTAATCCAAACGGTATGACCATTTTGAGTATGCGCATTGCATTTCGTATTTGGAGGTTCACTGGTACATAACTTGAACTGTAAGTAATGTTTTGAAGAACCAAACTAAACAGAAATCAGATTTTGTTTTTGTTTTTACCTTCTGATGGCAGACCAACATAGGTAGACAATGTAGGAAACCATAATGCTGGAAGACGGAATTACTCTATTCACCTTGAATGAAAAAAAAAAAAAACAGAGATGGATCAAATCATTGTGTTACCATCGAGAAAAAAACGCAGGAAAAGAAATGTATACCTTTGTATACAAGGTCATAACCATTATAGAGATTATAAGAATAAATGTGGATGAGATGAAGAATAGATTTAGGACACAAGAAGTTGAAGCTGCGTAGAAGAAGTACATAACTGCGACCCCACAAACAGAACCGATGTAGAAAACTATCATCATGGCCAAACCAAAGAAGCAGCTGCAAGAAACATATAGTAACCAAAACAGGTGACTGATTGATATATCCACATAGAGACAAGAGTTTTGTAATGACTTGAGACTTGCTTACCTTTGCTTAGTTTGATCATGAGGCATCCAGTAGTTATTCCACCAAGTGCTGAATTCGATAATACTTACAAGCTGAAGAATAAGAAAAATCCTGCAAGAAATGGTATGAGAAACATGTTTTTCTTTTTACATAATTGTTTTTTATCAAGAGAGTAAACTTGAGAGATGAGTTTACCCAGCACCAACACGCGCAGTTTCTCCTGTAAGGAAAACAAATCTTTGTCGTGATTAAAACCCATCAGATCAAATGCAAAAATGGTTATAGTGAGACAAAAAAAAAAAAAAAAAAACATACCGTAAAGTTGGATGTAAAGCTCAGGTATGAAGAAAGAAGACACCATGGCTAAAACCAGCAGGAGAAACTTGAAGAACCAATGATCCGAGTGCCAACTGTTTTGAGCTTGTTGGAGTTTCATTGTGTTCCATGTTAAGAGGAACATAATAAGGAAAAATATCTTCATTGTTAAGGATAATTAAACTTTAATAACATTAACACCAATTATTATAACATTTTGATTCTATCAGCAAAAAGTTTCATTTTTCAGGATACGAAACATCCTAGACTCACTCGGAGAACCCCAAAAGTATGAAAACATTTACTTCCTTCTGGTCCACAACTACTAGCATCTGCATTGATAATATTCAAAACAAAAGTTTTATATCAGTGAACATCTTTAGAATCCCACATTAACATATAGGTATGTTAAAAGATTATATGACTTTACATGGGAGCAAGGACAGAGACTTTTGTCCGTAGTCACGGATGAACCAAGCGCATAGGTTTATAACCAAGAAGATGGTTCCGTAGACATAACGAGCTCTTAACGACTTTTTCTTCTCTTGGTAGTAAAAGAGACTCTTCTGTTCTATTTCCCTTATTGTCTCATCAAGCTGAGCAGCCTCTAAGTCAAGAGGGCTCATGACCTACAAGTAACTGAAGTTATCTAACAAGAAAATATCAAACAATGCTAATTGAGATGTTGCACTATACAAGACTCTACGAACTACTACATCTCTCGCTAATTTAAATCAATTTCCTTTTATCTTTTTTCCTAAAAGGTCTACATTTTAGCTGCATATGTATATTGATTTTGATTTTGATTCTTATTTTTGCAAGTATTCATGTAAAAAGAGTAAAAAATCAGTCCATATTACACGACCAAATAATTCAGACAATTAAAACCATCAACATTCGTCAAATATTTCTTAAGTCATTTGAAAAGTGTGTTACAGAATATTATTATGACTCTAAATAAATAAAAGATGCTTTTTTCAGAATTATATGGCAACTAGTATTATCTCCCGTGCTAAGCACGGGAATTTAATTTTACCTACAAATAAAACTAAATTTCAGTTTTATACAATAAAAAATTACAGATATAAATCAACTTTGACTTATCTCAAAGAAGAAAGACATGAACATTGAAACAATTATCATTGATTACTAATAAACAAATAAAAATTAAACTAAATTTTATTATAATAACATATTATTTCTAGGTACTGCAACATGACCATCATATTAAAGCTTTTTAGGAATAATTTAATAGCGAGAGAAGATCTGTGTTAAATCAGTAATATTTAAATATATGAAAATTCTTATTGGAAAGTAAATATGTAACAAATTGTGCATAAATTAAAATAGAAAAGAAAAAAAAAGAGCAAATTATTTATCTCAAATCAGTGAAAATCAATATAGAATGCGAAGAGCTTTGGATAGAGACTCATCACTCATATAAAATAAATCGTAACCAAAATTAAACTTGAGAAGATATCTAGTTTCTACATTTAATGAAGATGAAATTTTTTGTCCCTAAATATTTGTTGTCAACTGGTAGTAATAGTGTGGAAACAAAATATAAATATTAAAAAGAATAATTATTTTGTTTTTTGGAGAAAGTGGAGGAGTGGAGAAGGAGATAACCGCAATTAATTCTAGAAAATGAATATTACACGTGCAACTACAGTTATTTTTTCTTTAACTTTAACTGTATTAAGGAAAAATTATTTTAAACAAAAAAACATAACAAAAATTAATTAAAAATAAGAAAGGACACATGTCAAACCCACAATTCACAACTGACTTGTAATTTATAAGTATAAAGATGATATCTTCGTAAAACAACACAATATTAGTATGGATCTAATTCACACTCAAAATCTAGTTTAAGGATTGCCACACGCTTTATACATTGTCTACAAATCTTTCAAAAGAATGTGTGATTGAACATTTGAAGATGAAGTTTGTGGGATTGGACATTTGAAGGTGGGCTTCACAATCGAGAAATTACAACGTAATTATGATATCATATTATTATGGGCCTAGCATACACCAAAAACCTAGTTCAGTTGTAGAAAAATGTTTAAAGTCTAGATATGGCTTAACGAATATTATCAATATGGGCTAAACGCATTTATGTATTAACCGCAAATTTTCCAACGTTTTTGCTGTGCGACAATTCTAACAGTTGATAATAAAATCTAAATATTACCCAACTCTTAAGCACATGAATAGAATCTAAATTAAACCCAACTCTTAAGCATAGAATCAGATTCATAATTGAATATCTACGAAACTCGATTAAAAAAAAATAAGAAAACAAAATAGATTTTTGGTATTAAAAAATCTGACCTTATTTGGTTCTGACAAGAATCCCAACTTGAAGAAGTTTACGCAGAAGCAAAAGAAAAGAGAGAAGAGAGAATGCAAAGGAAGAAGGAAAAAAAAAAGAAAACGAAGCTTGAGAGTTGAAGTGTGACCCCAAGTGTTCTCACACGACAATCTCGCAAAGAGAGTAAACAAGAAGCAGTTCGAAAGTCAGATTTTAAAAACAATGGTTTCGTGTCTCTATGTTACGATTTTATTGTAATGATTAGTGAGTGCATCTCTGTGTCTAAGACAGATTCATTTGCTTTGACCATTATCTCTCTTTAGGCGTTTCTTATCTAAAAACAATTATGGTAACATGTAAATTTTCTACTTTTAATGTTTATTAATAAAATAAATTTATTTAATGTATATATTAATAAGGAATAAGACAGATTTTTGTATGGTTTTCTTAACTGTAAAATAACATGTGCTGGCTATTTTTTATTTAATGGTTAATGATTTTTAGAAATTTTAATCAAATCACATGAAACTTGTTCATTGAATACTTTTGAACATTGCAAATTTTCAAAATAAAATATGAAGAAACATTCCCTGAACATTAGGAAACGTTAGAATGGACAGCCACATCTCGATATAAAGATAAATAAACAAATAAATAACGTGGAACTTTCTCGAATTAAATGCATGATAACTTGTAGTTTAACTAAAACATTTGGAAGTGTGTTAATCAATATCGACATTAAAATTCCTGCCTAAGCAAATTTAGAGTTCTCGCTAAGCTAAATCATCATCATCAAAGTCTTTTTCTTCACTCTCTCTCTCTCTTATTTTACAACTTAATATTCCTCAAAAGAATTTAACCAGTGACGATACTATATGTTTAAGAACATTCTTAAATTCTATTTGGTTCAGTGGGATTTATACAATTCTTTTTATCTTTCACGGAAGTATCGGGACACATGCGTTGTGTGGGTGATACGGAGAGTTTGACCAACTAACCAAATCAAATCAACTAATTTCTTCTTGTTTATCCAAGCTGTAAATCAATCCAACTATATTAAGCTAATTACAAATTATGATATTCTTGATTATGGGCTTATGGTTAACTGCTATAAGTAGCACAGACAAAGAAGGGCAGACAAAAAAAGGAAGAAAAGTCTTTTTGGTTCATGGCTTTTTTGGGGACCCACCAAGGCTCCTAATCATATTACGCGATTTTGTACTAATTTAAGTAGACCTTCTTTTTTTTTTTTGTAATGGGAGATTACTTGTGCTACTTTTGGTAAAATCTATACTGTTTATTTGAACCACATATAAACACAGCTAATATCGTGTTAATGAAGAGATTAGAGTTTGGGTGATATGGTAGATTACTTGTGCTACTTCTGGTAACACATCTATGGTCTACTGTTTGAACCACATTAAAACAGCTTATATCGTGTTAATAAAGAGATTAGAGTTTGGTGATAGTTGGCAAGAATTACATCAATCTCAAGAATTTTGGAGACAACACAAAAGACTTGTATGTCAATTTTTAAAAAATATTTTATAAATCGACTGAATTGGAAATCCAGAAATCATGTAAAAATCTGAAGGTTCATCTCTCTTGCAAAGTAATTAGTGCCTTTTGGATGAAGTAACTATAGTATCACACAACAGTTTCCAAAGTAAACCTAGATAGGGTTTACGGTTCTCATCAGAAACCCATTCCTCCCATACCGCCCATACCACCCATACCGCCCATACCACCACCGCCCATAGCCGGAGACGCTTCCTCTTTCGATGGAATATCAGTCACAACAGCTTCCGTCGTTGTCAACAAAGACGATACACTAACCAATATAATACACCAAGAACAAATATTAGCAAAACAATGCAATAATAGACTTACAAAATCTGTAAATTTGACGATATATTGTCAAAACTTTGTGTACCTTGCAGCATCAACCAATGCGGTTCTGATCACTTTCACAGGGTCGATAATACCAGCCTTCACCATATCGACGTACTCTCCTGAAAATAAATGCGGAAAGAAGCTACTTCAGTATATCTAGTGAAATAATAAGGTGAGACCAAGTGTATTTACAGAAGCAAATTTCTTTAATGCATATGATGAAAATGTAACCTTTAGCAGCATCATAACCGAGGTCAGGGTTATCTTGCTCCAAAAGCTTGCCTACGATAACTGCACCCTCGACTCCGGCGTTGGAAGCAATCGTGTGAACAGGTGTCTGCATCAAAGAAACATTTTGTGCGTAAGATTCTATAACCTGTTTACGTTGGTGAAGATGAAAGATGTTGATTAGAGGAAAACCCTGAGAGCGTTTTGAATGATTTGGACACCGATCTTCTGATCAAAGTTAGCTGTGGAGAGCTTCTCAAGTTCTTTCGACGCGTACAAAAGAGCAACACCACCACCTGAAATAATTTCACACAAAAGTTATGTAAATTTATTTGTCTCACGAAACTTATACCAAAGTTTGTCTTAAGGAATTCAGATTATCGTCTTTTACCTGGAACAATGCCCTCTTCTACAGCTGCTTTGGTAGCATTTAGAGCATCGGTTACTCTATCTTTCTTTTCGCCAACTTCTGTCTCGCTCGCTCCTCCAATCTAAAAGCCCATATGAATATCCAATCATTGGTTCCGTCCATTAAAGTGCTCCAACAGAGATGTTAAGAGAGCAGTTTCATTACCTTTAGTACAGCAACACCACCAGAAAGCTTAGCCAACCTTTCTCGTAACTTCTCCCTGTCATACTCAGACTTGGTCGCTTCAACAATCGATCGTATCTGTGTGATTTGTTCAGAGTTAAAACATATTTCACATCCTTACCAGTTGGCAAAAAGATTCAAGGCAGATCCTAAACAATAATGAAGTGAGAAGTATAAACCGACCTGTTCGCATCGTTCTCCAATTGATTTCTTGTCACCAGCACCGTCAAGAAAAACAGTGTCGTCTTTGGACACAGTTATCTGTTCACAAATGAAAATCATGTGATATAAAGTGTATCTAAAGGTAAATGAGAAAAAGGAGAATAAGGGGCCACACGAACCTTTTTGCAGTTTCCAAACATACTGAGGTCGACTTTCTCGAGATTCATGCCTAACTCTTCTGTTATAACCTGTAAATTGAAATCATCAAAGGAACATTATAGCTTATGCAATGAGTGTGCGTGTGGTTGTCTTGGCAGAGAGTACGATAAGAATATTGACTTGCCTGGGCTCCGGTGAGGATAGCTAGATCCTGTAAATTGGCCTTTCGGTTTTCTCCAAAACCAGGTGCCTTCACAGCACAGACCTATATTGCGATGGCATTTACATCAGTCCAAGCATATTAACTTTCTAATAAGACGTACTAAAAACAAAAGGCTGAAAAAAAACCTTGACTCCACCACGAAGTTTGTTCAGAATTAGCATGGCAAGAGCATCGCTCTCCAAATCCTCCGCAACAATCAGCAGCGGCCTTTGCTTCTGAAAAAGGTCAGAGAAGATAAAATCTCGATCTTCAGATACAAAGCAACTTATCATTAGCCATTGATGACATCCAAGTAATCACCAAATCGTTTATACCTTGATAGCCAGTTCTAAGACTTTCACCATAGAGTTGATATTGGAAATTTTCTTCTCGTGGATTAGAACGAGAGGATCTTCTAGTTCCTGCAAACCATACCCATGCAGAACAAATCAAACACAAAGTTCCTCAAAATTGGTAAATCAACAAGGTGAGGGATACGAGTTCTTACACATTTTTGATTCTTCTGGTTTGTAATGAAGTATGGGGAGATGTATCCCCTGTCAATCTTCATACCCTCAACAACTTCCAGCTCATTAAACAAAGTCTTGCCATCCTGATATCAAGAGATGATGGATAGCATAAGTTAGTCACCATAAAGTAGGCAAAAACAAAATAAGCATATAGGGATCAAAATTCAACTCACATGAATCGTGATCACTCCCTCTTTGCCGACACTTTCCATAGCCTTTGCAATCAGTTCACCAATTTCTCTATCTCCATTAGCTGAAATTGTTCCAACTTGAGCAATTTCTTCAGAAGTGCTGATCATGCGAGCTCGGCTCTTCAAGTTCGTCACAACGGTATCAACTGCTAACTTGATACCACGTCTTAGGTCCATTGCGTTCATTCCAGCAGCAACTGATTTACAACCTTCGGCGAAGATAGCTCTAGTAAGGACTGTAGCACACGTTGTTCCTGTAAAACATACCAATCCCAAAAATAGAAATGAATAACCAAGTTATCAAAGAATAAAAAAACGAAAACTTTTTAATACAATGAAAAGGAACCCTTACCATCACCAGCAACATCATTTGTGGCGTTAGCAACTTGTTTGACGAGGCTAGCACCAACGTTCTTAACTCTGTCCTTGAACTCAATGCTCTTGGCAACAGTAACACCGTCCTTCGTCACCTTTGGTGCACCCCAGCTTTGTTCGATGATGACATTACGACCCTTAAAAGGATAAGAAAAAGTTAGAAAATGGTTTTAGACTGCTGTATCAGAAGACAGTGTGAGTGTGGGTATTATAAAGGCATCTCAATATCATTTCGTTTCACTTGAAATATTAGTTTCGTAAACATAAACAATCTGAAGCAAAAAGTTTATACCTTGGGACCCATAGTGACTTTAACTGCATCAGCAAGCTCCTCGACACCTCTAAGCATTGAAGCTCGAGCATCAACACCGAACCTTATGTCTTTTGCTGCATAGTTCCTAGTAGAATTGAGCCTGCTTCCAATCTAAATATTACACAGAGAACACATCAATACACACACTCAAAAACATCAAAAAGAGTTTAACTAGATGGAAAATTGAAGAACACGAACCTGGGTTGTACATTTTCTGGCAATTCTGTTGAAACAGGGAATTTATAAATCGCATCAGTAATTGAAATCAAGTTACAGAAATACATTAGAATAGGAAGAAGCTTGAGCCATCAATTTTAATCTCAGAGAAATCAGAAAAAGAAAAAGCAGCATTCAAATCGCATCCACAGGAAAAAAAAAAAGAAATATAAACCCAGAAGCCGAATAGATCTACCTAGCTTTTGAAGCAATGTTGGAGACAAGTCGATACATGTTGATAGATTCTCAATTTCTCACTCAAACCCGAGGAGATCAAAATTGCTTCAGATCGAACTATAAGAAGCCAAACTTGGACAATTCGCACTCCGAGAAGAGGAGAAATGTAGCAGAGCGAAGATTCTAGAAGCAGCTTAGGGTTTAGGGTTTTGCGTTTTCTCCAAGCTCATACCTTAACTGAAATTTTCAGCATCCGATTTGGATCCACCTCGAGTTTAATGGGCCTTATAAAGCCCAGTTCATTATTTCAGTGTTTTTTTTTGGTTCACAAAAAGAAGAGAAAAAAATAAATTTCCCGTTCAGTACACATTTCTGATTGTCTTCCCCAAAATCCCTAGAACGCTCGATTAACGAATCAAAAGACCAAATTTTGGGGGATCAAAGAGTGATCGATCGAGGTTGAAGATGACGGAGGCGATGATAAGGAAGAAGCCAGGGATGGCGAGTGTGAAGGATATGCCGTTGCTTCAGGATGGTCCACCACCGGGTGGGTTTGCGCCGGTCCGATATGCTCGTCGGATCTCCAACACGGGTCCAAGCGCCATGGCCATTTTCCTTACCGTTTCGGGTGCCTTTGCTTGGGGGATGTACCAAGTCGGTCAGGGCAACAAAATCCGCAGGTAAGTAAACGAGATGCGAATAGCTGCTCGCTCACATTTCAGTTTTCCTCTTTCGGATTTTTCTGGAAATGAAATTTTAGGTTGACTTGGGTGTTCCCTGTTTATGAAATTAGGCGAGTGGTTACGGATTTTTGAGTAATTTGGGCTTGAACTTTGCAATTTTCTGGGTACAAATAACCTCAAGAGTCTTCAATTTGTGTACTTAGTCTTAAATTTGGTTAAGAAAAAACGATCCTTTGAGCTGTGGTGTAGAAAGCAGTGTAATTGCAACTTGATGATACTAGTAGTTACTTGGTTTTTGGTTTTTAGGTGGTCACATCGTGAGTTATTGCTTAATTAGTGTTGATTTTGTGTAGTTTACAACTAGTAAGACAACACAGTGTTAAGTGTTTTCTTTCTTGGTGTATACATACTCTGCTAGGGATCCCATTATTTAGGGATTCGATTTCCTAAATGATGATGACGAAATTTTCAAAAATTGAGCTCACTTTATCAACACCAGAGTTTCTAATGAAGGTTATTGTGAATGATAGAGCGTTAAAGGAAGAGAAATACGCTGCCCGTAGAGCAATTCTTCCCATTCTTCAAGCAGAAGAAGATGAAAGGTAGACAAAATAAAATAAAGTCTTGTTTCTGTTTCCGCAATCAAACAAAGTCTTAAGTTCATTGAATCCTATGTTTTCATTGCAAATAGGTTTGTGTCTGAGTGGAAGAAGTATCTAGCTTACGAGGCTGATGTGATGAAGGACGTTCCTGGATGGAAAGTTGGTGAAAACGTGTATAACTCTGGTCGTTGGATGCCTCCAGCTACAGGGGAGCTTCGTCCTGACGTCTGGTAATAATAATATCAATGGCTCCTTCTGATGATGATGAATGTGTTGTGTGTTAAGCATTTTAGAACCTTCATGTGTCTCTTTCTTTTGATCTCTCTTTCTTCTCATCGTATAATAAGAGAAATGATATTCATACACAGTTCATGTATTGGTATTGAGGAACATATTTCTGTTTCTTTTTTCATTCACCTTTCTGCCTATTTGTCAATGGCAAAAATGAGTTTCTGACAGATCTTGTTCAATTTTTTTTTAATTATCTTATCAAGTTATAAACTTTCTAGATCAGTTGAGTTCTATCAAACAGTAGATTTGAAATGTAAACGGTTACATTAAATATACAGAAAGCCACATCCTCTTTACAACGAAAGAAACCCCAAAATGTTTTTCCACAATGGGGTATTCTTCCATGGAGTGGGCTAATCTCTTTGATTTTCACATAACAAAACTTAACCCTCTTTCTTTTTTCACTTTTTACCTCAGCTCATATACGTTTTTACATAGAATAGTAAAAGTCAGAAGTGTGAGATACAACGACGGTGACGAGCAGCAACAGTTTTGATCTGTTGCTTAGTTTCTTCTTTCCAGCTATTAGCGATATCATGAGCCACAATCATCGCATCAAGCGACGCACCTGAGAGTCCTCTTCTCGTGAACCCTACCGCATACAATCCAGCCTTCCCTTTCCACCCTTTTGGAAACGGGTTTTTCTCTATCCCAATCTCCGCCAAGTCGTTCTCCTGCATAACAATACACCAAACAACATTTTAGTATTGAACATCTTCCTATCAAACTTCCCTTAGCTGCCATTACCGGTGATTCTTTAACGTTTTAAAGATTTGATCTTTGAGACAAAATCTGAAAAAGACAAGTGTTTTCTTTGGGGGGTCTACCTTAAGCCATGAAGGGACATTGCTTCTGTAACCAGTGGCAAGAACGACGGAATCGATCTCTAGAACTCGGCCATCCACGAGTTCGACCTTTCCCGGGCAAAACTTAACGATTCCCGGGACGATTTTGATCTTTCCGGATTTGATTTTCGAAAAGGCTCCTATGTCTAGTACGGGAGTTTTACCGGCGGTGTTCTTCAGCTCTAACGGTCCAATTTCCGGCCTCTTAAGCCCGTACTTATCGGTATTCCCCATAAGCAATCTCGTGAGAAGGAGCAGAGACTTATCCACGAGCCAAACCGGCATCCATTTCAACATCGTTACACCTATTTCAAACGTCGACTTCCCAAGAATCTCTCTCGGCAACACATGAACCTAATTGATCAGATTAAAAACAGAGTACAACGATCAGATGCTCTGTGTTTTGTAAATGGTGTTTTGAAAACAGAGAAACTGCTGAGAATCTGAAGCTAAGAGTTTATTGAGTGGTTTTTATTTTACTTACAGAGCTACGAACGACCATTGATGGAGTCGCATCGTGGTTGGATAGATCAAGAGAGGCTTCCATGCCGGAGTTTCCACATCCAACTACCAGAACTCGTTTCCCACGGTACCTCTCGCCGGATTTATAATCGCCAGCGTGAAGAACATCGCCACCAAAATCTTCTAAACCTTCAAACTCCGGAACCACTTTCTCAGCATTCTCTCCCGTCGCCACCACGAGCCATCTACAAATATACTCGAACTCACAGGAACCGAGCATCCCGCTTCTTGAAACAGTCTTGACCCGCCACAGCCCAAACCTCTCGTCATATTTAGCTGACTGGACAGTCTCATTGAACTTGGGGTGGATATCAAAGTGGCTTGCGTAGGACTCAAGGTACTCAATAAACTGATACTTCGTTGGATACTCCGGGAAGTCCTCCGGGAAGGGTAAATTGGGTAGTTGGCAGAATTGTTTGGGGAGATGAAGCTTGAGACGATCATAGGTTCTGTTTTGCCACAGAGAGGCTATGCAATTAGCTCGCTCGAGGATTATAAACGGAACTTCTTGGAGTTTCAAGCCGGCAGCGACAGCTAAGCCGGATGGACCGGCTCCGACGATGACCGGCCCGTTGACCCAGATGCAACGCCGTGACAAGATGTCGTCGTCCGTTGGAATGAAGTTCTGAAGCATACTTGAGATGTTGACACAATTTGTGTTATTGTTATTACACATCTTTTCAGGAGTTACATATACTGTCTGGTTTGCAAGACTTTTAGGGCAAGAAAAGATGTGATGATGATTGATGGGGATTTGGTTTGTGTCTTTTTGGATTGAGAAGGAAGGGTTTAAATAGAGAAGAATTTCAAGCAATTTGGATTTTTTGTATTCCGATTGATTAGTATACTCATTTAATTTAAAGTTTTTAAATGTTCAAATGATAAGCTTGCAGCGGCATTTATTTATTAAATTAAAACTATATATTAAGAGGTTAACACTTGATGATCATCGAGTATATACATCATATACCGTAGCTATTATAATTATGAAATCGACATTTACAGAAACTTTGAGAGACATTTGAAATGTAGTAGATGAGAGATGAATAATTTAGTGTTATTTATAATAATATATATTTTTTGAATAATATAATGTAGTAAATGAGAGATGAAGTATAAAGTTTTTTGACAACGTAACAATAAATCAACATCTCATCTTCTTTTATAACTGGTTGAGCTACCAACATTTAGATTCAAATTACCAGTCATTATTTGCAATATAAGAGATTCTCTAGTGAAGTCTAAAAAATATTATATTAAAGAAAGAAAAAAAGACAGGATCATGATAGGGTCCCTTGTTTACTATTGCTTTTTCTCTTAATGAAAACGACTTCTACTTACGCTAATCAAAACCTATTGTTATCGAGCGTTTTAATCCGGTCATTAGACGCAAAGTGTTTGGTCGGAAGAACATCATACTGATGTAAATGTTATTACATTTTTCTTTCTGTGATAAAACTGCTAATTCTTATAAATGCATGTGGAATGTTTTCAGAAGATCTGCATCGATCAATGCACTGACCAAATCTAGGGTTAGATACGCATGAGGCTGAAAGAGAAAGGTGAGCTATATACATGTGACGAAGTGTAAAATTTGGGTCCTCGTGTCTATATAATTTGGTCAATTCCTCTTTAATTAGCGCTGCAATGAAATGTGTCAGTGCATAGTGCATAATGATACAATAATTAAGTCTTACACAATGATTAGGAGATGCTTGCTTTCTATTATTGTTTCTTTAGTAAATTAATGTTTTAACACTTTTGATCCATATTTTTGATCATCCAACTAAATCTATATGTGTGTGTATAGATGAAAAATATGCATTAATTAGAATCAACACAAAACAAGTGAAATTATGCCACAAGCTCAATGAACGTTTTTAATAATGGTTAAATATTTAAATATTTATATATTTAACCAAGTGGTGGTAATCTAATGGTTTCCTTAGAGAGAGAATTGTCCTGTTGGTCTAGGTTAGAGATCGTTTTTCCCACAGATATAAACCCTTGTTTTCGGAATATACCCTGAGTTATAAAAAAACAAAATAAATAAATATTTATATACGCAGTAGATAACTTTAACTCACTTCAACATTCGAGGTTATTCTCTCGAGATTCAAAAACCCAATACTGGTGCATGCATAATGCGGGCCCGATTACTAGTTTCAATTAGATTTTGTACATATATCGAAACAAGACCAAGTGACCAAACGTATTATGGTAAAGTAGTTAAGCTCGTCATGTTGATCCAAGTTGGCGACCGAGTTTCAGACGCTGCATGCGTTTATATATTACTAGCCATTATAGATATCCAAGATAAATAAGTGGGAGATTTGTTTAAATGATCTGTTTGACAATTTTAAAATGAATAGGGTCTTCATAAGAAAAATGTTAAGAGAAGTCCAAGATAAATATTAATTATTCTTCTAACCAACTTTTGATATTGGGTTACTGTTACAAACGTTATGGTGGAAACAGTTCACATATGACCGATTCAGATTCAGTTCGGATATTATAAATTTCCTCCAATCTATCATAAATGATTCACTTCGATAATATGGAATCGTGTTGCGTAAGAAACTAATCATCATGATTTAGGAACATACTTTTATTCAGGAAACCTCGATCGAGTGAATGATAGTAGTGGAGTTGAATCGGGCAAAGCTTTTTTCTCACCAAAATCTAGAATTCCTTTTTTAAGTATAATTTAAGGAAAAGGTGTGTAGATGCATGCATATGACGTGCCTGAATAATAGTTGTAGACTTTTAGTTACATAGATGAACTTTCGATTTAGTTAGTTCATTATGAAATTTATGGTTCATGGGATGACGAGATTATTCATTCTATCGATGAGTAGTTCTATTTCTATTTTTGAAGTGATAAAACTAAAATATGATCGAGTAAAAAATGCAACTAACAGCCTAGATTTAATAACACCATCGCATACTTGAATCGTTTTGTGAATTGTAATCATGCGTTTTGTATATAAACATCTTACAATATATAGTCGTAAATTTGACACTTAAGATAAGTATTGATTTCCATGAAACGACCAAACCATTTACCATATACACATCCTATCAGACATATATTGTTGAATCAAGTGGTGGGTAAGCATATGCATACACAATACAGATGATAGCCAATCATTGAACACAACTATATCGTTTTCGTTTGATAAAAGTTCCAAAACAAAAAAAAAAAAAAAAATCGTGTGAAGAAAGAATGATCAATCATAATTGCTTGGCCATTGTAACCGTTGTTGAAATTAATATAAGCAAGTTTCTGATATATAAAAAACAAAGATTAGTCAAAACAACCAACAAATTCGTCCAAAATACTGAAGTTTTTTAGTTATTAACATCAGCAAAATAGTGTAGTTATCTATTGCTAAAACTAATATCATAACGGCCTCTAGGCGCCAAAAAGATCAATTATTGCTAAATAGGAATTTCCAAAACACTTTTATATAATGATGCCCATTATTTTTAGAATTCCTGACAATAATCAGATTCTGCTATAGTCAGCTTCTCTTAATCAGGTGTCTTGATTAAATAAATCTATGTAATTGTGAAAACGAGACCCCATGTTACTATTTTCAATTTAATTAGCTCATTAGTAGCAACCTGATTTCATGCATTATCATAACACAATAAATATTTTCCTGATTTCTCTACCGATTTTATGCTTGAGGTATCAAGTAGGTAACATGAAAATATTCCAAAACTATCGTCTCTCTTAATTTCTCTAAGTGGACTATACGGCTTGTTTGACCAGCCTAATATTGAATGGTTACGGGTTATAGACTATAGTTAGCATTCGAAATCATATTCTATGTTGTTTATAGTTTAAAGGTTAATATATACTCTCTCTGTTTCTAAAAGAAGTTTTTATTTGGATTTTATTTTTTTGTTTTACAAAAATAGATGTTTTAAGTTTTTTATGCATTTTTTTTCTTAGTTAATGATGGAGAATTGTTAACTTCAGGAGAATTAATTGAATTTTCTAAATTACTATTGGTTTGAATTTATAGGAAATTTTTAATCACAAAAAATGATACATTTATAATCAAGTTTTAATATGTTTTCTTAATATATGTAAAAATTCTAAAACATCCTTCTATTAGGAACAGATGGAATAGTACCCAAGATTTACGCTAGTTGATGAAAAAAAATCCATGGACCGAACTGGTGAACATGGAAATTAAACAAGTACTAACTATCATAGATTCTTTAATATTAGAGCGCATTTTTATTTTGCCATTTGGACTTGCAAGACGTTGTTGAATGCTCATTAACAATACGTAAAAACAAACTGGAAAACAAAAAGATAAACAAGATATTGTATATACGGTTAATATATTAATCTCGTAAGATTTTAATTATTGAAAAAAAATCCAGTTAAATCATTTAACAAAAAAGACAAAAAATCCAGATACATCATTGATTTGTCATAGAACATTGATTACTTAAATATGAGAAAATATTATCTCATTTTTTTTTGTCATACACAAATAGAGATATGCATATATATATATACCTATATGAAATTTGTTTAAGAGAAATTTTCAGAAGGACCATATCATAAGATAATATAGTTTTTACAAGCTGCTTATTGTGACGTCGGCTTAACTCTGAGAAAATCAAAATTAAAAGAAAAACACTTGGTTCTCAATATTTGTTAGAAAAAAATCATTGCAAGAAAGAACACATGTATATAGTGTTTATGTATATTGTAGAATGGAGAAAAGGGACAAAAGACAGAAAATGATAAATGCAAAGTAACTCCATAACTATAATAACTGAATGGGTATGGGAGCTACATGTGATCAGAGTCTCATGTTTGTCGGATTTGATTGCTACGCTCTCTTTCTCAGTCTCAGGTGTTTTCACCGTTGGTAATTAACCCTTAATTTTTTTTTATTAAAGTACTGTGAAAATAAAATAGAGAACTATATATCTTTTGAATATAATTTTACGTTTGATTAAAAAATACACACGTCTCTAAACTACTATTTTTATAAATACTGTAGAATTTTTCCATAAATTTATTGTTTTCAATACTTTTAAGCTTGCTACTTTTGCTCCAAGTTTAATTTAACCTTTTAGGAAAAATGCATAAACATCCTCCAATAGTGTAACATCCTCCAATAGTGTACCGTAAGGTCAATTGCAAATCTTTTGACCCACTAGGGGTCTCCAGTTCTCGAACAACAAAACGAAATTGATTTCAAAAGCTTTAACTGGTGACCAAATAAATAACAATAGAAATGAATAGGAAAAGGAATAAAAAGAACAAGATAATAGGAATTATTGTTCCTTCTCATTTTTTATAAGAAATATATTAACATTATAATTCTCTAAAACATACGGAATGAGAAGGAATAATGGATACAATATATTTCTTTTAAATGGTGTAATTTTTAAGGAATGATAAGGAATTTAGTATTCCCTTCCATTCCTTATGGTCACCAGTTACAACCAAAGTTAGTTATACATAGAGAGGTTTCTTGGCCTACAAGTAAAATAGTGGCTGGCTTTAAACCTAACCACCCTGAAGAGTATAAACCTACACATGAGCTCAAGATGCCCTCTGATCAACCCTACGCGACCAAACCTATCGATGATTCTACATACCGTAAATCTGTGCAAGGGACTACTATACAAATACAATTGGTTTCATTGCCATAAATAGTCGTGTCAGTGGTGAGATGAAGAACGGATAAAGAGGTCTCAGTCCTTTAGAAACTGGAAGTTAGGGTTATCAGCGAGTTCGATCGCTGGTTTTACATTGGCAAAGTCCTTTTCTTGCATACAGTTGGAGATTTCATCGGCTGTAAAGGGGATGCTGAGTTTCACAAAATTCAATACCCAAGAGGTTATATATGGTGATGATAGTATCTGAATCATTCGGAAAAATATATGCGTATTTTAAATACCTGGAATCATTGTTTAACAAGAAGGAACGGCTGTCTTCGTCTTCGTCCTCATCAGTCATTAGAAGTTTCAAGTTGGAAATCACCTGCATCGATAGAAACATCAAGAAGATATTGAGATATGGAGATTTGCAAAATGGTTTATTCGAGAGATGTTCGGAGGAAACATACGTCTGGAGATACATTCTGACCCTCGTGGTCATCAGATTTGCAGAGGGTACATATTCTATACAATTGCTGAGTACTAAGAGCCTGAGAGATTAAAGAACGAGAGAGATCAGAAGAGGGTACATATAAGCATTCTCTAGGATAAATCATAGAAGCAGATAGTATAGTATTACCGAGCAGATGTTAGTTGTAAGATCATCATATGTAATTGTGGACTTCTGTTCTGTAACCTGGAAGAGGGATCCAGTAATATAGTCAGGGAAAAGAAAGAAGAGATAGTGTTGAAGAGTTAGCTGTAGTTTAGTTTAGAAAAAGACAGACCAGGAGCAGCACGGCTTGTCTTGTGTGTTTGAGTTCATCCCATGAAGATCCTATTAACTGCATTCAGGAGATTTAAATTGACAAGCGAAATCAAGAGAATGAAACCGTTTTGGTTATACTAAGATCATTTTTAGACAAATGAACTTATACCTCTTCAGTTGCCTGGCTACACCATGATTCTAGTTCATTTAGCCAAGCATTCACCTTTTTGCCCATGTTGAATGTGCAGCATTCTCGTTGCATAAGGCTGCAATTAGTCTCAGGTTACGTTTTTAGGTTTAATGGCTGATAGTTGATTTAAAGATTGATGGGAGAAGGTAAATATTTTACCTGTTAAAGACTTGAACGTTGATGCCTTGGAATGTTTGGCTGAATATCTTCTGAGCAAGAAACACAGGAACCTGAAAGAAGTTTTTTTTTCTTCTTTTCAGATTGGATATTGAGTAGATAGAATCAAACGCAAAGTTTTACCCTTGAATACAGAAAAGATCTTACGTAGTTTTTCTTCAGTGTGCCGAGAAGCCGATTCAAAAGATCTACAGTGCCTTGCCGAGCTTTCGCTGGTGATTTCTCTTCAGATGGCTTCTCTGCGGATGGCTTTGCCTGTGGATTCTCTTCAGATGGCTTTTCTGGTGAGTTATTTTCAGATAGCTTTTCCGGTGGAATCTCTTCAGATGGCTTTGCTGGTGAATGATCTTCAGACAGTTTTTCCGGTGGATTCTCTGCAGTTGGCTTTGCTGGTGAGTTCTGTTCAGAGGACTCGGCTGGTAAATTCTCTGCAGAGGACTCATGTGATGAATCTTTCAGTCCCTGAGCCATTAGTTGAGGAACTAACAAGTGAGATGAACCTATCTTGCAGAGATCATGATCTTTAAATTATGATTTATTTTTTCAAGAAGCCATAGATAGATAGGTGTACCTGAATGCAGGAAGAAAGCGCAGGCTCTAGTTCTCTTTTAACATTCTCTTGAACTATTCCATAAATCGTTTCAACGTAAGCTGTAAGCTGCTGCTTGAAAAGTAAAGCAGGCTGTCTTGCATCTACTTGTTGCACTACGTCACCTGAAAGGCTAGCCGAAGATGTTGAACGGAAACCCTGAGACATAGCCACACAAGTTACATAAACTCTAGGTTAAAAAGCTTCATGGCACCATTAGGCTATTCGTTGAGTCAATGAATAAGATCTTGTTACTTGTGTCATCCTCCCAAAAAATGAAGTAGGTTGAGGAGGTTTCTTCGGACTTGCACTGGTTGTGCTATGTGTTTTCAAGCTTCTTTGAAGCAAGAACAGTAGCGTAGATGTGTTTGTTAGCCAGTAAGTCAACAGATCATCATCTTCCGGATTCTGGAAAAGGGACAGAAAGCAGAACATGAGAAGTGTTTGTCAAGAAACATATTTCTTCCATTGATTCTTTCACCATATATACTACAAAGCGTAAACTTGAGGTTACCTCTATAGCGGAGCCAAATACAGGAACAAGACGATCAAAGATACTGGTTTTCTCTGCTTCGAATAGTTTCCAGTGTATAAAACATTTGTATATTGTAAATGCTGCAACAGGCTTTCCATGGCTGAAACCGACATTTTGTGAAACAAACTTGAGAAGCACGTCAACATATTCCTGCATCATATATATGAACATGGACACAACTAGTTAACCGAATGCAAAGAAGTATCACAATGGTATGATGATGACTTATGTTTTCGTCAGGCACATACATGGGGTTGTCGTTCAGTCTGAGGTCGTCTAAAAGACATTGTCCCGAACCTCCCTGATGGTATAGGAGCAAACTTTTCCTGTAAGAAAAGATCTTTCTATTAGAAAGCTCTAGTAAACAAATACCTGCAAATATGCTTAAGTGTATACAAGAACACTTACATGATGACCGTTCTCCATTGGCTTCAAGAGGGACGTGAAAGAGGAAGAGGTCAAGACTGTTCTTGAAAAAAATGATATGTAAGAACTTATATGAGAAATTGCTTAGAGAAATTTTACCGTAGGTCCAGTAAATGACACTTGGGGTGACATTTTCCGGGAAGCTGAATTAATCAGTGCTTGCTGTCGAAGGATTTTGTCTTCTGCTTCCATGTCAGAGACCTTTTCCTGGAGACTAAAGATTAAGAGTAAATTAGTAATGCATGTGTAGTATAATTTGAGAAATTAGTAATGCATATGTAGTATAAGTTGAGAATGCAAACATATAGCGAAGAAAATATAAGATTGATAACCTCTGCATAGTTGTTTTTAACTCTATTAGTTTTGTCTCTGTGTCTATAACCTGCTTAAGCCTCTCTTCACAAAGTCTATTTGCTTCCTCATACTTCTTCTCTGTTTCTTCTATTTTCTTTTCCATCAATTCTACCAGTTCCTGTACAATTTCAATAAAATTAAGAGAGACACAACCCACAAACTTGTAATGGAGAAGGGTTTTCATTTTCCGAAAAACTTACATATAATTCTTTGTTTTCAGCAGCAAGCTTCTTGGTCATTTCATTATCAGACGAAATATCCTCTGTTAAGCTCTCTTCTTCCTGCATTTGTATCCCCTCTTTTTGCTCGTTTGATGAATCATTCCCATCACTTTCATCATCTTCCTTCACTAACGAACTCACCAGTGCCTGACAAGCGTCGTCATAACATCAGATCAACGAGAAATCACAAACCTGAAAACACTAAAAGTAGCATGAATCATACAGCCCTACATCTTTACCTTGAGACGTTCATTCTCAGCTGCAAGGTTACTCACGGTCTCATAATCCGATGAAGCACTCTCCTTCAACATCTCTGTGATGTTTGAGCTTGTTTCTCCGTGTTCTCGGTCTAATGCATCGATTTTCTTCTCCAATGAACTTACCAACGCCTGAGAAATGTTGTGCTTGATGAGATACAGATTATGAAGATGAAGCAAACTCTTTTCCACACGAATCTGGATTGTGTTTCAAAATCAATCCCAAGAAATCTTACCTTCAATTGTTGATTTTCAGCTTCGAGATTGATGATTACATCTTGCTCAATGACAGGAACCTCCTGTTTTACTCGCTCTTCACTTAGCTTACCTGTTTCTTCATATTGAGTCTCGGATTCATCACTTTTCCTTTGTAATGAGCTCACCAAGTCCTTAGAAGTTATAAGGAAACAGAGCAACCACAAATCATACAGAAGGAAATCATAAAATTCTCTAACCTTCAGCCACAATCTAAAAAATGTTAATGGCCTTACCTTGAGATGTTCATTTTCTGCAGCAAGATCATGCGTCATCTCGAGATCCTTAGCAAGTTCCTCAAACTCTAACTGCATGTCTTGTAAAGCGGACTGCAACTTTAAGATCTCCTCACTTTTGGTTTCTTGAGTTTCCCCAAGCTGAAGTTTCATATCACTTAAAGCTGCTCTCAACTCTTCGACTTCTTGATCTTTGGCTTCCTCAAGCTCCATCTACATGCATCATTAGGCAGATTCAGATGTCTCTTACAGACAGAGAACACAGCAACAAGATCTAGTATATATAATATTTTAACATGTACCCTCATCTGTTTCTCAATCTCTAAGCATGAAGTGAGTTCTTCCAATTCCTTCTCTAACTTAGTCTTTGCGTCTTGGAGAGCTCCTGTTTCCTTAGCAGCCTGAAAGACCAAACAAAATCTTAGAACATATCCATTGAATCCAGTGAATTTGTTACTAAAGAAAGAAAGTCACCATTTTAAGCTTCCACAATTCTCGTCGTGCGACTTTCACTCTCCAGCCACACTGAGTGGTAATAGCTGCTTTCTTCACTCTTAAATACCGCCGCCGACACAAACATCTTCTGATTTGGCTCTGTGGAATCATATACTCAAAAAAAAAGTTCAGTATTTGAGAGATATAAGATACGAAAAAGAAAGAGATTATTGTCATCAAAACTTGCTTGAATAATGATTGCAGCTTTTCTCTTCTTCCTGTAATGAAGTTCAACACGAGCAGCCATTGCACGCAGGCCGGTCTGAACAGAGATAGCTGAAACACAGAGATTTTTATAGGCTGTTTGGGATATATATGTCCGAGCCTGCTTCTGAATTCTCAGAGATGCGGTTTCTCTTCTCATGGCCTCAAAGTGAAGGCGTGCAACATGTCCTGCAATCAAATTTTGGCGAAGTCTAATGAGAGACATGAAACTAAACTTGAAACCAACAATCAATTAGTTGCATACAAAAGTTTGTTTACCTCTACAAAAGGCTTGGATTACAGTTGAAGCAGACTGCAACAGAAGATATTTTTGACGTGACTGATAAGTAAGGACTTTCCTCTGAATGATCCTTGCTGAATGGCCAAGGACTTCAGCTCGGTGAGCATCCAGTTCTGCCATCTGACCTGCCCTAAGAAACACCTTTGTCTTCCCTATCTGTGATTTTATAAAATGTAGTAACAGAATTTATCATATAACCCAAATGTAGATGGTCTAAAGAGTCTTGTGCCGTGTAACAATGAAACATATCTGAAAGTGGAAATCACAATCAAATCAAGTGATCTAGAAAATGTGAGATATGAATATGAAAACACACCTGAAAACCTTTTAGGTCTACTTTCGCTAGTAGCTTTTTGCATGCATCGACTTCGTCAAAGCTTTAAACATAAAAGCCAAGTCAAATAGCAATAGACTAAGAATATGAAAGATTAATTTGCAAACAGCTAGTAGTGGTGAATCTACCTTCTATTCGTAGCCTCAGGTCCCAAAATCCGGAACCTAGTTAAAAACTCATGGAAAGGCTTTCTAGTAGGATATCCAGCACAACTAATCCTAATGGCTTCCATGACCCCCTGAAGCCAAGAAAAGAATGTTTCACAACATATTTATGTAAATGCCGAACAAAGTACTGTTGCAGTTGCAAAAATGAAACCATAAGGGTTCTCTGTAACATTAAGCTTACCCCACACCTAAGTTGATGCAGAACGTTAACGTTCTCGAAAATTTCTGGCTTAAGAACGTTATTTGGTTTAACGCAACGTATGTAGTGCGGCTCTGTTGTGTTCAACGTCTCGAGCAAAGACTGTAGTTGTTGCTGTATTTTTAGTACATATATCGTGAGAGTCACGGCAAGAATATATAATCAGAATTTGTTGAATTTCACAACTCATACCTTGAATTGAGAGCCTATTGATGAGAACTTTGATGATTTTGAGGATTCCTCTCGCGATTTTGGAAACAAAGATGAGACAAAGGAGCAGTCTGAAGAGTTCATGAGAGATTGATGTTCTCCAACAACATAGTCTTTGTTCTTGTCTAAAAACAGCTCAGTTTGATAAGTGACCTGAAAAAAAGAATACAGTCATAACTCCAAGTTTACATTTTTGCCAATAACTTCAAGAAAATACACATTTAACAAGCTCACGCTTTTGAGGAAATTTAAGATCACTAACATCACCAGCATAATGGCAGATGGTAAAGTCTGTACGAGCAAGTTTTGGTTTGGTAAAACGCTTGTGGCTATTAAATGTCTGGTATAGCTTTTGCGCAAGTGTATCATGTGTTGATCTTGGAAACATACTGTAAGATGAAAACACATACTCAGAACACTTATTGAAGAATCAAATGAAGAAAGTAAGTAAGAGATCGTTTTGATACATTACCAAGCCTCATCGATAAGAGCAATAATGCCACCAGGTTTCTGACATGAAGAAATTTTGATGTTAGAAACTGGAAATCAACATATAAATGTCTGAAAATTGTAACTACTATACTTACCTTTTCTATGAGATCAAGGACATCCTGATTATCAATGAACTCTATGTAACTCCAGTCAATCTCTTCTTTAGTATACTCTTCTTGCTCCATTTTGAACACATGCTGTAGAAGAGAAGGTACACATGCATGAATATGGATCAACATAATATGTGTGATCAATCAAGAATCAAATACTCTGAGAAGAACATCAGTCTCCAACCTGGTTGAAATGCTGTTGCAGCTTCTCATTTGTCAGGTTTATACAAAACTGTTCAAAACTACAAAATGTTTGTATTAGCAAAGAAAAAAATAACTACAAAAGGTTTGTGAAAAAGAAAAGTCAACGTTGGAAATGTAACAAATGCACTGTTATCCTATCAATTGAACCACAAAACTGCAATGAAAAATCAATAATCCGAAAATAAAAGCTCTAGCTAAGTAAATGAACATTTGGTGAATATAAGAGCGTACCGGTTAAGCACCTGTTTGTCTTGAAACTCTCGAATCCATAAATATCCAGGACTCCGATTATGTATTTTGAGCTTGGATCTTGCCCAATGGAATTATTGATCTTCGTCACAAGCCTGAGAGCAATAAATTTGTAACCTTTATAACACTTAAAATACCCAAAGAATGATATTAGTCCTTTTCAGAGAGAGACCGTTACTATTAACTTACCAATCAAACAACTTAGAATAGACAATCTTGGCAAGAGCATCTCTGCTTAGAGCTGCACCACCAGGATCAAGCGACTTTGTAATACTTTCACCACGAGTCACCATCACCCTTTTGCACAAGGAGTCCTCTAGAGCTTTCTCATCACACCTACCAACAAAGGACCAATCAGAATTCTAACTCTTGCAGAAAATAAATCTGTTTTATTCGAAGAACACAGAAGCGTATACATGAAAAGTTCTGCAGCGACTTTTAGATGGAACCGGGATTTATCGTCCTTAGGTTCTGCAGCATCTGATTCTTCCCCCTTTGCAAACTCTATGTTTCCTAGATGAAGGATAGCAGCAACTATCCGGAAAATTGCATCCTACAAAAAAGTAATAATGTAAGAAGAGTTATCCTCAATATCACTGATCATGTAAAATGACTAACAAGAAAGTAGGTACCTGCTCTTCAGAGCTAATCCCAACAACTTCCATAGCTTTCCTCGTAGCTAAATACTCCTTGGAATCATCAAGTGCACTCAATGCATAGCAATTCGATTGGTTTAGGTAGTGAAATGTGCTTGGTTTCCCTAACTTATACCGCTCAATTTCCTGAAATCTCATAGCAGAAGCTATGTGTTATCTTGAATCTCATATAGGGTCAAAAATTAGAAATGGAAGGGACCATGTTTACCTGTTCAGGCGCAGCGCAAAGCATGTAAAAGCAATGATAGTTTCTTTCAGGATCAGAAACTTGACAAACACGTGACCTCTCAAGCAAATAGGTTCTAATAGCAGCTCCTGAGATTCTTCCCATATGATTGAATTGAATCTCCACAAATTTACCAAAACGACTGCAATATGTTAAAGATGTTAAGTTGTGACTTAAACAAAATACACAAACAGCAAAAATCAAGAAAAGTTAAAAGACTTTCCACCTTGAGTTATTGTTTCTGACGGTTTTTGCATTACCAAAAGCTTCTAAAACTGGATTTGACTGCAGAAAAGAAACGTAAGAAGACATCGATCTCAAGAGTGAAACTCAATCTTTAATAAGAATGTCTACCTCCAAAACTTGCTGTTCAACAGATCGTCCTTCACTCTCAGCTTTACCACCCATGTATGCAAGATACTGCATGAGCATCTTTGTGCTCTCTGTCTTCCCAGCACCGCTCTCTCCACTCACCAAGATCGCCTGGCTTACTCCCTCGTTGATCATTTTTCTAAATTCAACATTCTTGATGATTGTGAGACCCCAGTCAAACAAACAAATAAAGTTTGGTAGAAGTGAGACAGAAGATTAAAGTTTCCATCCACGAAACAGAGGATGATTACCTGTATGCAGAATCAGCAACTGCAAAAGGATGTGGGCTTAACTCTCCGAAGTCTGAGCCTTTATATTGCTCCATAATCTCATTTCCGTATAGGTGAGGTAATCTTTTAAAGGGATTCACAGCTATCAGTATATTCCCTGTGTATGTCTGTAAACCATTCAAGAACATAAATTAGCTTTTGCTATAACGATTCAGTAGTCTTAAGATCAAAGGAATAGTAGAAAGCTTACATATATCTCATTTGCATTGTAGCGGGATTTGAGGTTGAGAAGAACTCCTGGTTCATGCAAATACGCAAGCTTTGTCATGTCGTCAACGCCAAGTTCAGGAAACTCAGGGTCTTTGGGGTAGACTGCATTTACCTTTGCCACAACCTACAAACAAAATGAATCAAAAATATGATAACTTTTTTATGTTCATCTTCATGTAGCTTAAGAACTAAACGAATCTAACCGTCTTGGTTTGGCAGATGACTTCGAGATCTTCATCGTTAGCTGTGACTACTTCTCCACCTATCCAGGCTTCATCTGTGTCTTCTACCCACACATGTGACCCCACAGCTACTTTTACTGAAGCAGCCTGATCAAAGCAGAGTATTATGGAACAAAAAAAGACAAGACAAATAAAAAGCTGTGTCTTGCAATGAAAACATGCAAGAAGATCTGTCTTCCTATTGTGTACACTTGTGAGTATAAACATTTCAACCAAATTAACTTCAAAACAATTTTATATATCGCATACGAAAGAAAAAAAAATGTAACAAATGAAAACAAAACACCGAGAAAACGTAATGCAGATTAGAGAAGAGAGTCTCGTACGTACCATTATTTAAGGCCAAATTTGGTCAGATTCTCTTAGAAACGATCCCGTCTGAAGATTTTTCAACGGGAGAAACATTACAAAAAAATCCTTGAGAACCCAATAAGAAGGTGTTTCCTTTGAAATCTCTCCACCATGGATCCAAACGATAAAATCAAAACACAAAATGTTCACAAACGTTTTCTCTCTCCAAGCTTCAAAAATCTATGATCGACGATTAAGGGGCACATTCAGTTTCACGTTTGCGGAACGAAACGCAGAGACCTTAAACCCTTCAAACTTTTCTCCTTCAGATTCTCTCTCAGGAAAGCTAAAGAGATTTTCCCTCGGAATTTTTCTCTCCTGATTTTTGTTTCTTCCTTGTTTGATGCTTCGTCTTTCTTTCCCCTGGTTTCTGGAAAAAAAAGAGAGAGCAGAGAATCCACGTAGGCGTGTCAGGTAAAAAAGATCATTAAGCTTTGTGATTCCGAAATTACCCCTATTAACTAACCGGATTTCGAATTCGAACATTCTCGTGGTCCATCCGGTTAGTGGTATTCGATTTCAATGGAGGAGATGATGACAACGTGGCGCAACTTCAGTGTACATACATGGAGCTGAGTATTTCCTTCACTGCTCTCTCGCTTCGCCATACGTTAATGGCGGATAGAGGAGCTCTTCCGCTTCTTCGTCCCTTGTTGTCGCCACCGGCCATATCTTCTAGTTTCTTAAACATCCACATATGGCGATTCCAAAACCCTAAATTATCCCCATCTCTTTCTCATCTCCTCTATTTCTCTTCCCCAAGCTCTGTAGAAGCTTCGGTGAAGGTAATTCCGCTGAATCGCCGGAGATTCAGATTTAAAATCGGCGCCGTAGCGGAGGAAAGCGGCAGAAATGGACGGACGGAAAGGAGGAACAGAGGGAGGAAACGGCGGCAGCTTTGGGAAGAACTCTTCGATGATAATGTTGAAGAAGACGATGATGGTGATGTTGGTGGTGGTGATGGTAGTGTTAATATTGATCTGTGGAAGATCTTAGAAGAAATTGTAGATAATGTCTGGATTTTAAAGGTATTATAGTTCGATAACTCATTAACTCTCATTTGAAATATTTATGCCTCTTCAAGTCTTTAACTATGAAATTGGCCTGACAAAAGAAAATGTCTCTGCTACTGTTAATGGAAAGTGCGTATTTTTGTTAAGGTTATAACATTGTTTACTGGTAATGGTTATGGAGATCGTAGAAGATGAGTTAATGATTGCTTTGCAGTGAATCTGAACTAGTTTTGATTTCAAATGGGAATGTTCATACTGTTTGGGTGGTAATTGTTACATGTAAACAAATTCAAGATTGTGTCTTTCTGCACAAAGCTTGCATATTTTCAACAATAGAGTATGCTCTCTTTTTGTTTTACGGATTGTGTTTGGTGTTTGTTCACTTTGTAGGCATTCAGATCGTATGGATATCTCCTCCCGTTCATCATCTTATCGCTTTTTCTCAGCACCGGACCAAAAGCTTTCCTCATTTCACTAGCCGTAGCCATCGGACCATCGCTGTTGTTTCTAGCGTTCCAGAAGTTGATTGGCTGGGATAAACGCAGAAGTGCAAATCAATTTGGGATAGAGATGGAGGAAGAAGAAGAAGAAGTGGAGAGAACAAGGAGCAGAGTTCGATACAACCCATCTCAGGTCAGAAACAATGTCAATGGCCGTGGAATCAACCGTGGTTCAGCTGGAATGGCTTCTAAGTTTGGTGGTTGGGACGAGTTAGACGGGCTCGGGAACATTTCCGAGCGGCCGAGAAGCGAACCGAGTAAGAAACCGATGAGGAAGAGGAAGAGAATAAGAAGAGAAGAAGCAGCAGAACCATTGTTGTTGAGATTGTTGGTGTCTTTGTTTCCATTCTTAAGCTCTTACACAAACATGCTTAAGTGAAAGAACAATTCCCATTTTAACCGTTACGTAACCAATTCTTGATTTCAATTAAACCGAACCGGATTGGTTAAAAGAAATAGCGAGGATTAATCTGAACCGTTTACAAACGTATGTTGTGCCTTCTCAATTCCAAGTTTTGTGGCTTTTACCATTTCTTTTCCATGACTTTCCTCTTATCAAGAACATTTGTTTCTCTCACACTCAGACCTTCCTGTTCGATTTCCATGGCGAATTTAACGACGAACGCGAAAGCTCGCCTGAGAGGCGTTGTGTTCGATATGGACGGAACCCTAACGGTTCCGGTCATCGATTTCGCGGCAATGTACAGGTCTGTCCTCGGTGAAGATGAGTACAAGCGAATCAAGGCGGAGAGTCCTACTGGAATCGATATTCTGCATCACATCGAGTCGTGGAGTTCAGATAAACAGCAGAAGGCGTATGAAATCATCGCCGATTATGAGAAACAGGGAATAGATAAGCTCCAAATCATGCCCGGTACGGATTCATCCTCTTGATTTTTTTTTCATTTCGAGTTTGTGTTTGCGCAGAGGATCTTCGGGATTTGGGTATTTCGTTGCTTTTAACTGTGTGTGAGGCAAAATATTGAATATTCAGCTGTGAATCTATTATCTTGTAAGATTGAGAATTCGAACTTGATAAAGTTACAATGGAGAAAGATTTGCAATTTCAAGAAAAAGTATCAGTTTTTTTTCCAAAGTGAGTCCTTAATGTGTTACAAGACTTTCTGGTCTATGATGTTACCAGAAAAAGTATCAGACTTTCAGATTTGTGATCTTGCTTTCAGGTACAGTGGATCTATGATGTTGAACATAAGTTGAGTACTATATATAAGACGATTTGCATTTGTAAATCTAGATATCATATTAAGATGAACTGAAGATGGAAGAAAAATGTCTACAGTCCTCAAAATGTTGTCTACTGTGTTTCTTCAGAAATTAGCGGTTTAATTCTCTTCTAATATGAGATCAATTGTGTTGCAGGTGCTGCTGAACTATGTGGATTTCTTGATTCCAAAAAGATAAAGTCGGTTTTTTCACATTCTTTTCTCTATAATTCGTGTTTGCTTATACTTGTAACAGTACACAACGTTAAGAAGATAACCAACTGTTGTCTCACTTTGTATATACGTTGTAGGAGAGGGCTAATTACACGCAATGTCAAGAAGGCAATCGACATCTTCCACCAACGTTTTGAGGTAAGCTTTGTGTAAGCTCCAAGTTATATAGTAGAACTAAAGACAGTTTGACAAATAAGTTTTCATTGTATAGGTTATCTTTTCTCCAGCACTGGGCAGAGAGTTTCGTCCGTATAAGCCAAACCCAGACCCGCTGTTGCATATATGTTCTTCATGGGACATCCAACCTAATGAAGTCATGATGGTTGGTGACAGCTTAAAAGATGATGTGAGTGGCTTATCTGATGCCAAGTCTTAGGTCAAACCCTTCTCAGACTATCTCTTTACATCATGATCGATCTTTCTTTCACTCAATTCTGCAGATAGCATGTGGGAAACGAGCTGGAGCCTTCACTTGCTTGCTAGATGAAACCGGAAGGTATGGACCAGATGATTTTTCTGTCTCTGGACTGCAACCTGATTTTAAGGTTGATTCCCTGTCCAAGATTCAAAACCTATTGGAGACGAACTTCGACCTGAACCCTTAGTATTTTTCTTCTTCCAAGGTCCATTATCCTGTAGTCTCAGTGACCAAAATAGTTTCCTACTCAACAAAGACTGTAGATTGCAGCAGGATCGCTATTGTAAGAGATACTACGTCGTTACAATGTATCTGTTCAGGATAGCTATAAATATCAAATTACAGAGTTCTACTCACTGGCCATCTTATGTTGCACACAGTTGTCTAGTTAAATCCAAAATTTCAATTCTTTGATATCATCTTTAATTAGTGTTTCTACAGCGAACCAAAAGACGCACATAACTATGTAAAGCTTAGCACAGTCAGGTCGTGGCACATTTATGTGTAGAACGATGCATAAACTAACATTTCTTTTTGACGGCTATCTAATGCCATATTCCCAGAATAATAGCGATTACGAATAAGATCAGCAGTGTAAAGTTTCCTCCCGGAAGAACCATTGACCTGCAAAATCAAAAGCTTTCCGTTTCATATCATTTCTGCAAAGAAGGTTCACATGAAGAAACAGAGGACTAAAGTCAAAGTTGTGTGTTATTTGAGTGAAGATACCTGAGCTTCTTTCTGGACTGTTGAGTATAAGCCATCGCAGGAGGCAAGACACCAAAGAGGAAGCAGTTTGCATAAACGCCAGCGAAATCCAGAGCTCTCGAGAACGTCGAGGGAAAGAATGTTGCAATTACAGCTGGAACTCCGAGCACAAACAGCATCACTACTGCTTCGAAATTCTCAGGAGCTCTTGATGGTTCGCTGTATGAAACTCTCCCATTGGTTCTCTTAGTACCCTCCTCCGATGAGAAACTTACCGACCCAATTCTCCCGTTTCCATTGCCATTTGATTGCTTAGACACAAGCTTCCATGTATCGAGGAGCTGCTTCGGGAAGCTAACAGCGTATCCGATTAAACTGGTGGCTAAAGCTGAGAAAGCAAAGCCTTGAACAGCAGATAGAGCAGAAGGGTTCACAGATAGAAGTAGAGAGATTGGGTCAATGGATGAAGAAAGTACAGGGACATTGATTCTTGCAAGCCCCAAAACAATGAGATTCCATGACAACACCATAACCAATGGCACAACACCGCCTACAAGAATAGCTCTCCGAGCATCTGAAACCGAATCACCTGCGAGATTGCATATGAAAGGAGTGATGACATGAAACCCTAGCGTCAGTACCATAACAGGAACCGCAGGTAAAACCGCAGAGACTTTCCAACACGATTGACCAAATGAGGCTAACACATTAGACCTAGCCACAGATAAACCAATGGCCACAAGTGAAGTTATAGAGAAGAGCATGAGGAAGCAGAGACACCTGTTGGTGATATCAATGGCATCGAATGGGAAAAATCCGATTAAGATTCCGGAAACCAGAGGGAACACAGCATTGGCCAAGAATGGGTTCATGGAAGGAAACCATAGAGACACAATGGAGCCAATACCCGAGACGCAAGCAACCATCAGAGAGAAACTCAGTGAAGCATAGACAAGAGCTACAAAGACTCCAAATTTGTTCCCAAAGGACTTCGTTGCAAGCCCTGTGAAGCTAACCTCTGCTGCATTGTCTTCTCCCATAGCTGCAAAGCTGAGCTCAGCCACGAGAAGAATGGAGGAGATGACGTAAACCCAAGAACAAAGTAGAGCGATGGTCGATGGGACCGAGCCAGATCTGATAGTTGCAGCTGGGAGACCGAGCATTCCGGGACCAACGGCGGTTCCGATGATCAAACTTACGGCAGCCCAGAAACTCTTTCCCTTCTTCGTTTCGTGGGTAATCTCCAAATCCTCGACCTTCTGTAAAGTTTCGATCTTTTCATCACCGGAAAGCTTAGAAGAAACGAACGTTGACCGAGGTTCATCATGGTCTCTGCATCTGACAACTAAACGTGAGTGGAGAGAGCCATTATGAGAAATGGGATTCCGATACTCTATGGTAAATTTCGTCTCAGGCGAACTCCGAACATGACGAGGATCGGAATACTTGGGAAAACTCCGGCGAGAAGCAAATGTACGAGGAAGGGCATTTCGGGGAAAAGGGGTGGATTTTGAAAGTGGGGGAGATGAAGAAATGGGAGCTAGGAAATGCTGGCGAAAAGGAAGAACCATTGATGCGAGATGTGCGAGATTCTCTGTCAAGTGGACCTGCGTAGATTTTGGTTAGTAAGGAAAAATTGGAATCTTAAGCCTTTGTTTGAAGATGATACCTCTTTATGTTGTCTAATAAACCAGACATGAGGGACTGGTCTAACCAAACGGATTGGATCCGGTTTAGAAACAAATGTCGCAGGAGCTTCCTAAGAAAAGGAAGAGAAATTGAAACCTTAGTTTTTAGTAAAAAAGAAAAAGAAATATAAAGCTTAAAATAGATAAATTCTAGGGAAACAAAAAGTGGTTGTTTAAAAAATTTCGGTTTGTAAACACATTTCTTTCGCTTTTCATAGGGGTGTGAGAGAGAGAAGAAGAGAAATTATGAAGCTCCTTCAAGAACCTCTCCTTCTCAGCCTTTCAAGACACTTTTTTTATGTGACATGTTTCTTGTGGAGGAAGGCAGTTCTTTTTCTGAGTAAAATTATGGCGACAGATTCGGTTATCAAGCTAAATCCAATCTCCATTGATCGTGCCCGCTTCAACCTCCGAGATTTTATCGGCATAAGCCCTAAAAGCATCTCTTCTTTGTGCTGCATTAGCCCAAGATTGATATCTCGCAACCACTTTAGCCCGAGGACACTGATCTCAGGCGAGGATGGTAACATATTGTTTCCCAAGAAAAAAAACACGGCCATAACCAAATGTCAGGTTAGGTCAGAATTATTTTCAAATTTTTTAATCTTTCCTTGATCAGATTAAGCAGTTTTCTTGAATCTATCCAGACAAGTCTTGGGATTGGAAGGAACCAAAAATGGTGGGAGAAGGAACTGAAACCGAACATGAAGTCGGTGACATCACCGGAAGATCTAGTCGGCTCTTTACTTAACGCCGGCGATAAACTAGTCGTCGTGGATTTCTTCTCTCCCGGTTGTGGTGGCTGCAAAGCTCTTCATCCCAAGGTAAACCGGTCTCAAAATCATCTGAAAAGAGTTAAACCGGAAACAACAGTTTTTAAACGAAAAAAAAAGGCCTTTAAGAAAATACTCTACCGGATTAACAATAATTATTAGTAGACGATTCGAATTAGGTCGTAAAACTGACTTCAAGTGTTATTATAGGATTAAATAAATATCTAATCAAGTTATGTAGACATGCATGGTGTGTTACATTTACGTAACTTCACTAAATAAATGTGACTTGGATATATATACACATTTCAGATATGTAAAATTGCAGAGAAGAATCCGGAAGTGGAGTTTCTACAAGTGAATTACGAAGAACAAAGAAGTCTATGCCAAAGTCTTCACGTTCATGTTCTTCCCTTCTTCCGCTTCTACCGTGGCTCCTCAGGCCGCGTTTGCAGCTTCAGTTGTACTAATGCCACGGTACGTTCGAGTTTGGAACAAAAGAATTTCTAGGCATTTGCGTTTCTTCCTTTTGCGTTTGACATGTTTAGTATGTTCACACAAAAAAAAGATCATATAAGCGCAAACTTACATTGGTTAGTCATGAATTGCACATTTTGTTTTTTTTTTTTTTTTTGCAGATAAAGAAATTCAAGGATGCGTTGGAGAAGCATGGGAGGGAACAATGTAGCATCGGCAAGGCGAAGGTGCTTGAAGAGAAAGAATTAGTGGCCATGGCTACAAATAAGGACCTGTCTTTTGATTATAAGCCCAAAACTAATGGAGAAAACCCGAGGGGAAAAAGAAACGGATATGTTTCTCACAATATCTCCAACCTCAAAAGATCAAAATGAAGAACCTTCTCTATTAATCATCCCTGCAGGAATTGTCTAGACATTTGTTTTTCTTATATATCGATTGCTGTTTTTTTTTCGGGTGTAATTGCTGTCTGATTTGCCTGAGAGATTATTACAATCTAGAGTATACTATAATGTAGGTCCATCTGGAATATAAGTGTGTTAATATGTATGTAACATTGATTCATGTAGTCTCACCATCAATAGTATACTATCTGTCTTATAGTGATGTAACACATGTCCAATTTTGTACTCGTCGAAATAAACGAAATTGTCCGATTTGGTTGTGATTTTTTTTTTGGGTTCTAAGCCAAATCTATCCAAGTCTTTATATTTGTCTTCAACAATTTATTCACATTTGTCTTTCTCTTATTGCTGCAGACCTTAATCTCCCCTCCAGAACATGTAAGTTTTTTAGTCCAACCTTTCCTGCTTATCTATTTAGTTTTTAATCTCAGTTTATGGTTTTTTAACTTTATTAAATTTGGAATGTACATAAATAAAATTGAACCATTAAATTTTAACATATCTAAAAAATTAATCAACATATAAAGTGACTAATTTTTTGGATAGGTAAAACCTCTGTTTGGAAATCCGCTGAGGGTGCTTGGTTTTCGCCTACCGATTTCTACAAAAATCGGAAATAAACCGGGGAGTTCGGCGATTAATTTTAGGACTTTTGTTATATAATATATATCGTAAGATATCATCGAAAATTGGTTTGGTGCGGTGGTTTGTACCATTTAAACTGTCTCTAAGGTCCCGGGTTCGAGTCTACATGTGCATTTTTATTGTTTTGGCTTTAATGAAGGTCAAAATCGTCTTTTTAACTTCATCTCTAACCTAAAAAATAAAAATATCGATCTGCAACTCAGAAAACGGCCGCCATTCACTGAGTTTTATTTTTTTCATCATTTTTCATTATTTTCTAATGATTTCTGTCAAATTTCTATACAAATTTCATAGATCTGTAAAGAGATGATGTCGTTATTTAAGCGAAATGAGTACAATAATTATTTTTTTGTTATAAATCAAGTTTCTATCCAAAATTCATAGATCTGTAAAGAGATGATGTCGTTATTTAAGCGAAATGAGTACAAATATAAATTTTTTGCTAATATTTCCGAATTTTCAATCGATTAGATTGAAATCGCGGCGGTCGGAAGCCGCCACACGCTTTTGTTCCAACTACTCGATCGCGGCGGCCGCATTTTCGAACAGAAGTAAAACAAATAATGACTTTGTTTCAAAACTAATATAACCGAAAAATAAATATTACCGAATGAGTTGAACCAAATGTTAATTTTGACTTTATAAAATTTGAAATGTACATAAATAAAATTGAACCAATAAATTTTAACATGTCCAAAAAATTAATCAACATATATAATGATTAATTTTTAAACTAACATAACCAAAAAATAAACAATACCAAGTGAATTGAACCAAAATGTTAATTTTAACTTTATCAAAATTGGAATATATGTAAACAAAACTGAACCAATAAATTTTTACCTATCCGAAAAATTAATTAACGTATAAAAACGATTAAATTTTTGTATAGGTAAAACCAATAGTGACTTTGTTTTTAAACCAACATAACTGAAAAATAAACATTGTCGGGTAAATTGAACCAAAATATTAATTTTCACTTTATCAAATTTGGAATGTACATAAATAAAATTGAACCATTAAATTTTAACATATCCAAAAAATAAATCAACATATATAATGATTAATTTTTTGGATAGAAAAAACCAATAATGACTTTGTTTTTGAACTAACATAACCAAAAAATAAACATTACCGAGTGAATTGAACCAAAATGTTAATTTTGATTTTATCAAATTTGGAATGTACATAAACAAAACTGAACATAAATTTTTACCTATCCAAAAAATTAATTAACGTATAAAAATGATAAATTTTTGGATAGTTAAAACCAATAGTGACTTTGTTTTTAAACCAACATAATTGAAAAATAAACATTGCCGGGTAAATTGAACCAAAAAGTTAATTTTAACTTTATCAAATTTGGAATTTACATAAATAAAATTAAACCATTAAATTTTAACATATCCAAAAAATTAATCAACATATAAAGTGATTAATTTTTTGGATAGGTAAAACAAATAATGACTTTGATTTTAAACTAACATAACCGAAAAATAAATATTACCGAATGAGTTGAACCAAAATGTTAATTTTGACTTTATAAAATTTAGAATGTACATAAATATAATTAAACCAATAAATTTTAACATGTCCAAAAAATTAATCGACATATATAATGATTAATTTTTTGGATAGAAAAAACCAATAATGACTTTGTTTTTAAACTAACATAACCAAAAAATAAACATTACTGAGTAAATTGAACCAAAATATTAATTTTGACTTTATCAAATTTGTAATGTACATAAACAAAACTGAACCAATAAATTTTTACCTATCAAAAAATAAATTAATGTATAAAAATGATTAATTTTTTTTATAGGTAAAACCAATAGTAACTTTGTTTTTAAACCAACATAACTGAAAAATAAAAATTGCCGGGTAAATTGAACCAAAATGTTAATTTTGACTTTATCAAATTTAGAGTGTACATAAATAAAATTGAACTATTAAATTTTAACATATCCAAAAATTTAATCATCATATAAAGTGATTAAATTTTTGGATAGGTAAAACCACTAATGACTTTGTTTTTAAACTAACATAACCAAAAAATAAATATTACCGAATGAGTTAAACCAAAATGTTAATTTTGACTTTATAAATTTTTTTAATGTACATAAATAAAATTGAACCAATAAATTTTAACATGTCCAAAAAATTAACCAACATATATAATGATTAATTTTTTGGATAGAAAAAACCAATAATGACTTTGTTTTTAAACTAACATAACCGAAAAATAAACATTACTATGTAAATTGAACCAAAATGTTAATTTTGACTTTATCAAATTTGGAATGTACATAAACAAAACTGAACCAGTAAATTTTTACCTATCCAAAAAAATTAAATAACGTATAAAAATGATTCATTTTTTGGATAGGTAAAACCAATAGTGACTTTGTTTTTAAACCAACATAACTGAAAAATAAACATTGCCGGGTAAAACTGAATCAAAATGTTAATTTTGACTTTGTCAAATTTGGAATGTACATAAATAAAATTGAACCATTTAATTTTAACATATCCAAAAAATTAATCAACATATAAAGTGATTATTTTTTTGGATAGGTAAAACCAATAGTGACTTTGTTTTTAAACCAACATAAATGAAAAATAAACATTGCCGGGTAAATTGAACCAAAATGTTAATTTTAACTTTATCAAATTTGGAATGTACATACATAAAATTGAACCATTAAATTTTAACATATCCAAAAATTTAATCAACATATAAAGTGATTAAATTTTTGGATAGGTAAAACCAATAATGACTATATTTTTAAACTAACGTAACCAAAAAATAAATATTAGCAAATGAATTGAACCAAAATGTTAATTTTGACTTTATAAAATTTGGAATGTACATAAATAAATTTTAACCAATAAATTTTAACCTGTCCAAAAAATTAATCAACATATATAATGATTAATTTTTTTGGATAGAAAAAACTAATAATGACTTTGTTTTTAAACTAATATAACCAAATATAAACATTACCGAGTAAATTGAACCAAAATTTTAATTTTGACTTTATCAAATTTGGAATGTACATAAACAAAACTGAACCAATAAATTTTTACCTATCCAAAAATTAATTAACATATAAAAATGATTAATTTCTTAGATAGGTAAAACCAATAGTGACTTTGTTTTTAAACCAACATAACTGAAAAATAAACATTGCAGCGTAAATTGAACCAAAATGTTAATTTTGACTTTATCAAATTTGGAATATACATAAATAAAATTTAACCATTAAATTTTAACATATCCAAAAATTTAATCATCATATAATGTGATTAAATTTTTGGATAGGTAAAACCAGTAACGACTTTGTTTTTAAACAAACATAATCAAAAAATAAATATTACCGATGAGTTGAATCAAAATGTTAATTTTGACTTTATAAAATTTGGAATGTACATAAATAAATTTGAACCAATAAATTTTAACATGTCCAAAAAATTAATCAACATATATAATGATTATTTTTTTGGATAAAAAAAACCAATAATGACTTTGTTTTTAAACTAACATAACCGAAAAATAAACATTACCGAGTAAATTGAACCAAAATGTTCATTTTGACTTTATCTAACTTGGAATGTACATAAACAAAACTGAACCAATAAATTTTTACCTATCAAAAAAAATAATTAACGTACAAAAATGATTAATTTTTTGGATAGGTAAAACCAATAGTGATTTTGTTTTTAAACCAACATAATTGAAAAATAAACATTACCGGGTAAATTGAACCAAAATGTTAATTTTGACATTATTAAATTTGGAATGTACATAAATAAAATTGAACCATTAAATTTTAACATATCAAAAAATTTAATCAACATATAAAGTGATTAAATTTTTGGATAGGTAAAACCAATAATGATTTTGTTTTTAAACTAACATAACCAAAAATTAAATATTACCGTATGAGTTGAACCAAAATGTTAAGTTTAACTTTATAAATTTTGGAATGTACATAAATAAAATTGAACCAATAAATTTCAACCTGTCCAAAATGATAATCAACATATATAATGATTAATTTTTTGGATAGAAAAAACTAATAATGACTTTGTTTTTAAACTAACATAACCGAAAAATAAACATTACCGAGTAAATTGAACCAAAATATTAATTTTGACTTTATCAAATTTGGAATGTACATAAACAAAACTGAATCAATAAATTTTTACATATCCAAAAAATTAATTAACTATAAAAATAATTAATTTTTTGGATAGGTAAAATCAATAGTGACTTTGTTTTTACACCAATATAACTGAAAAAAACATTGTCTGGTAACTTGAACCAAAATGTTAATTTTGACTTTATAAAATTTGAAATGTATATAAATAAAATTGAACCATTTAATTTTAACATATCCAAAAAATTAATCAACATATAAAGTGATTAATTTTTTGGATAGGTATAACCTCTATTCGGAAACCCGCTGAAGGCGCTCGGTTCCCGCCTACCGATTTCTACAAAAATTGGAAACAAACCGGGGAGTAGTCGGCGATTAATTTTAGGACTTTTGTTATATAATATATATCGTAAAGAGGTAGATTGAAAATTGGTTTGGGGTGGTGGTTTCGACCATTTTAACTCTCTCAAAGGTCCTGAGTTCGAGTCTACACGTGCTTTTTATTGTTTTGGCTTTAATGAAGGTCAAAATTGTCTTTTTAACTTTATCTCTAACCTAAAAATATCGATCTACAACTCAGAAAACGGCTGCCATTCACTGAGCTTTATTTTTTTCATCATTTTTCATTATTTTCTAATGATTTCTGTCAAGTTTTTATCCAAAATTCATAGATCTGTAAAGAGATGATTTCGTTATTTAAGCGAAACGAGTACAAATATGAATTTTTTGCTAACATTTCCGGATTTTTAACCGATTAGATTGAAATCGCGGCGGCCGCGTTTTCAAACAGGGGTAAAACCAATAATGATTTTGTTTTTAAACTAACATAACCGAAAAATAAATATTACCGAATGAGTTGAACCAAATGTTAATTTTAACTTTATAAAATTTGGAATATACATAAATAAAATTGAATCAATAAATTTTAACATGTCCAAAAAATTAATCAACATATATAATGATTAAGTTTTTTGGATATAAAAAACCAATAATGACTTTGTTTTTAAACTAACATAACCAAAAAATAAACATTACCGAATGAATTGAACCAAAATGTTAATTTTGACTTTATCAAATTTGGAATATACATAAACAAAACTGAACCAATAAATTTTTACCTATCCAAAAAATTAATTAACGTATAAAAATGATTAATTTTTTTGATAGGTAAAACCAATAGTGACTTTGTTTTCAAACCAACATAATTAAAAAATTAACATTACCGGGTAAATTGAACCAAAATGTTAACTTTGACTTTATAAAATTTGGAATGTACATAAATAAAATTAAACCATTAAATTTTAACATATCCAAAAAATTAATCAACATATAAAGTGATTAAATTTTTGGATAGGTAAAATCAATAATGACTTTGTTTTTAAACTAACAGAACCGAAAAATAAATATTACCGAATGAGTTAAACCAAAATGTTCATTTTGACTTTATAAAATTTGGAATGTACATAAATAAAATTGAACCAATAAATTTTAACCTGTCCAAAAAATTAATTGATATATATATATATATATATAATGATTAATTTTTTGGAAAGAAAAACCAATAAAGACTTTGTTTTTAAACTAACATAACTAAAATATAAACATTACCGAGTAAATTGAACCAAAATATTAATTTTAACTTTATCAAATTGGGAATGTACATAAACAAAACTGAACCAATAAATTTCTACCTATCAAAAAAATATTTAACGTATAAAAATGATTAACTTTTGATAGGTAAAACCAATAGTGACTTTGTTTTTAAACCAACATAACTGAAAAATAAACATTGTCGGGTAACTTGAACCAAAATGTTAATTTTGACTTTATCAAATTTGGAATGTACATAAATAAAATTGAACTATTAAATTTTAACATATCCAAAAATTTAATCAACATATAAAGTGATTAGATTTTTGGATAGGTAAAACCAATAATGACTTTGTTTTTAAACTAACATAACCTAAAAATAAATATTACAGAATGAGTTGAACCAAAATGTTAATTTTGACTTTATAAAATTTTTGAATGTACATAAATAAAATTGAACCAATAAATTTTAACATGTCCAAAAAATTAACCAACATATATAATGATTATTTTTTTGGATAGAAAAAACCAATAATGACTTTATTTTTAAACTAACATAACCGAAAAATAAATATTACCGAGTAAATTGAACCAAAATGTTAATTTTGACTTTATCAAATTTGGAATGTACATAAACAAAACTGAACCAATAAATTTTTACCTATCCAAAAAATTAATTAAGATATAAAAATGATTAATTTTTTAGATAGGTAAAACCAATAGTGATATTGTTTTTAAACCAACATAACTGAAAATAAACATTGCCGAGTAAATTGAACCAAAATGTTAATTTTGACTTTATCAAATTTGGAATGTACATAAATAAAATTGATCCATTAAATTTTACGATATCCAAAAATTTAATCAACATATAAAGTGATTAAATTTTTGGATAGGTAAAACCAATAATGATTTTATTTTTAAACTAACATAACCGAAAAATAAATATTACCGAATGAGTTGAACCAAAATATTAATTTTGACTTTATAAATTTTGGAATGTACATAAATAAAATTGAACTAATAAATTTCAACATGTCCAAAAAGATAATCAATATATATAATGATTATTTTTTTGGATATAAAAAACTAATAATGACTTTGTTTTTAAACTAACATAACCAAAAAATAAACATTACCGAGTATATTGAACCAAAATGTTAATTTTGACTTTATCAAATTTGGAATGTACATAAACAAAACTGAACCAATAAGTTTTTACCTATCCAAAAAATTAATTAACTATAAAAAAGATTAATTTTTTGGATAGGTAAAACCAATAGTGACTTTGTTTTTACACCAATATAACTGAAAAAACATTGCCTGGTAAATTGAACCAAAATGTTAATTTTGACTTTATACAATTTGGAATGTACATAAATAAAATTGAACCAATAAATTTTAATATGTCCAAAAAATTAATCAATATATATAATGATTATTTTTTTTTAGATAGAAAAAACCTTTAATGACTTTGTTTTTAAACTAACATAACCGAAAAATAAACATTACCGAGTAAATTGAACCACAATGTTAATTTTGACTTTATCAAATTTGGAATGTACATAAACAAAACTGAACCAATAAATTTTTACCTATCCAAAAAATTAATTAACATATAAAAATGATTATTTTTTTATAGGTAAAACCAATAGTGACTTTGTTTTTAAACCAACATAATTGAAAAATAAATACTGCCAGGTAAATTGAACCAAAATGTTAATTTTGACTTTATCAAATTTGGAATGTACATAAATAAAATTGAACTATTAAATTTTAATATATCCAAAAATTTAATCAACATATAAAGTGATTAAATTTTTCGATAGGTAAAACCAATAATGACTTTGTTTTTAAACTAACATAACTGAAAAATAAATATTACCGAATGAGTTGAACCAAAATGTTACTTTTGACTTTATAAAATTTGGAATGTACATAAATAAAATTGAACCAATAAATTTTAACTTGTCCAAAAAATTAATCAACATTAATTAATGTTTTGAATAAAAAAACCAATAATGACTTTGTTTTTAAATTAACATAACCGAAAATTAAACATCACCGAGTAAATTGAACCAAAATGTTAATTTTGACTTTATCAAATTTGGAATGTACATAAACAAAATTGAACCAATAAATTGGACTACTCTCTCTTTTTTTCTTCTCTCCTTGCCTATGGATTTCTCGTAGGAAACGGTAATCCCTCTTCCTCCTGCTTCCTCTTTTGATAATCGACGAAATTTCTCAATCTTTGTTTTTATTCTTTAGATCTAGTCTTTGTTGGTGATTCTCCTCGATACTTTCTCTCTCTTTTCTTTCTCGCCTCCGGATTTCGAATATGGAACGGTAATCTCTTTTCCTCTTTTTGCCAATATATATTTTATTTTTGGTCAATACTATTTAATAGTTAAACCATTTTATTATTCTATCAAACTTAAAATAAGTACTGTAATTAGAAAAAGGAAATATATATTATCGATAAAGAAAAAAAATATATACCTTCGTTTAGAGTTAAATTTCTTTTACAAAATTTTATATTTTTAATTATAAGAAAATTGCTACTAATGAGAATATAATAAATTTAAAATTAAGAATATATATATATATATACTAGATTTATGCTATGCATATAATTAAGTATTTTACAATCCATTCATATTGCCATAAAAATAAATAAAATTAAATTGATGACCACTAACTAATTGTCTCTATGCAATCATTTAATTTCAATTTTTTTATAACATTCTTTTTCTTTTCTTTGTTATTGGAATATTTGCATAATGTATGGAAATTACGAATACACTAAATATTTAACCAATTTTAATGTTTTCAATAAACAGGAAAGCAGAATCTCGAAATGATGGAAAGACTCCAAGCCCAGATGGTTGCAGGCTTCGAAGCCCACCTGTTGCTTCTGTCTTCGGTTCGATTGGGAGAGTGACTACTCTCGTCCCATTTCCAGACCTTAACTTTCCGCCGGATTCCCAACCATGTGCTTTCTTCTCCACCGATGCTCCACCGTCATTGGCTGAGAATCTAGAGGCTGAGGTGAATCCAAGCGGGAGCGTCTCTGTCAATGGAGTTTCACCTCCTCCTCCGCCTTCATCTCCATTCGCGAGCAAGCGATGCAAGAGATATGGCAAGTTCCGCGGAACCAGTTCGAATGTCCGCTTGATCGCCGCCGAACCGGACAACAGAAACCACCAGTCATTGGTGGTTCCACCGCCACCGGAATACGTTGCCTCGCCTGCTCCTACACCGAGAGTCCAGGGATCGAATAACCTCGCGAGGTTTGATACGCAAGAGCGCGAACAACAGAAACGTTGCCGATGTGAAGATTGTGATGATTTGATGAACGGCTTTTGAATTTGAGCATGTGTTGGGACCACATGACAAGTATAACTCTGATGGTTATCTTTTAATCATGGTTAAAATTAGATGTGCTGAATTTTGAATTGTGTCTCTCTCGTTCGTTCATATGATATGATGGAAAACAATGTAAAAGCATACTATCAACAAAACATTCTATAAAGATTTCTTGTTATAAAGTTTTGGATTTGTTTCTTCTTTTGTCTTTTTGCCTTTTATCTCGATTTTATTTTTAACAATTTACTTACTAAATTTCATTGAAATTTATTTCAAACGATTCAGATTTTAGTGAATTTGCAGGTCGTAGTTGACATTGTCGAAATGAACAAGTCGTTAAACTAAATTAAATTTGGTCGGATTGGCTTTACTTTATTTTTATGAACTAAACAACAAAAACTAAAAAAAATTGAAACACAAATGATATACGAGTTAAACACTTTAACTCAAATTTATTATAAAATCTTATAAATTAAGAATCCTTGAGGCGAAAAAGCATCCGAAACCACGCAAACAAGAGTCAAAATCAAAATGTTGTCGTATTTAACCGAAAATCCAATATCCGGTTTAAATCGGTTAATCAAATTGACATCACTTTGTGTATAAACTCCGGATATCTTCCTTCATCTTGGTCGTCTCGAGAAACGCATCGCCGGAGTGATCAACATCCATGGCTCTAAACCCAAATTCTTCTCTCCCCGATCCAACATTTCACTCGAACCACATCTTCGACATCATCTCTTTGAGCGAACACGTCTCGTAGTCGTAGCTCTTCATCCGAAGGTAAACCGGTCTCAAAATCATCTGAAAAGAGTTAAACCGGAAACAACAGTTTTTAAACGGAAAAAAAAGACCTTTAAGAAAACACTTTACCGGATTAAGCAATAACTATTAGTAGACGATTCGAATTAGATCGTAAAACTGACTTCAAGTGTTATTATAGGATTAAATAAATATCTAATCAAGTTATGTAGACATGCATGGTGTGTTACATTTACGTAACTTCACTAAATAAATGTGACTTGGATATATATACACATTTCAGATATGTAAAATTGCAGAGAAGAATCCGGAAGTGGAGTTTCTACAAGTGAATTACGAAGAACAAAGAAGTCTATGCCAAAGTCTTCACGTTCATGTTCTTCCCTTCTTCCGCTTCTACCGTGGCTCCTCAGGCCGCGTTTGCAGCTTCAGCTGTACTAATGCCACGGTACGTTCGATTTTATTCATTCTAACAGTTTGGAACTTGATTGTTTTGCATTTAGTATATTGTTTTTGTTCAAATAAGCTGACATCTATAAGCATTTCAAAAGAAATCTCTATGTTAATGGCATTTGCGTTTCTTTCTTTTGCGTACACACAAAAAAGGCTCATATAAGTGCAAACATAAAAAAAAAAAAATGCTTTTGAAAGAATCAAAACCTAACTTACATTGATTAGTCATGAATTGCACATTTTGTTTCTATTTTGGCAGATAAAGAAATTCAAGGAGGCGTTGGAGAAGCATGGGAGAGAACAATGTAGCATCGGAAAGGCCAAGGGGCTTGAAGAGAAAGAGTTAGTGGCCATGGCTACAAATAAGGACCTGTCTTTTGATTATAAGCCCAAAACTAATGGAGAAAACCCGAGGGGAAAAAGAAACGGATATGTTTCCCACAATATCTCCAACCTCAAAAGATCAAAATGAAGAACCTTCTCTATTAATTATCCCTGCAGGAATTGTCTAGACATTTGTTTTTCTTATATATCCATTGCTGTTTTTTTTGGGGGTGTAAATGCTGTTTGATTTGCGTGAGAGATTCCAATCTAGAGTATACTATAATGTAGGTCCATCTGGAATATAATTGTGTTGATATGTATGTAACTTTGGTATTCATTGATTCATGTAGTCTCACATGTCCAATTTTGTACGTGTTGAAATAACTGAAATTGTCCGATTTTGATTGTGACTTTTTTTTTTTTTTTTTTTGGTTCTAAGCCAAATCTCTAAGTCTTTCTATTCGTCTTCAACAATTCATTCACATTTGTCTTTCTCTTATTGCTGCAGACCTGAATCCTCTCCTCCAGAACATGTAATTTTTCTCCTGCAACCTTTCTTTCATATCTATTTGGAGTTTATTTAGTTTTTAATCTCAGTTTATGGTTATTTTTATTTTTATTTTGCTGCACAAAACTTAAAACAACGGTTTTTTTTTTTAATTTATATTCTAGTGTTTAGCAGGAAACCATTTATAGATTCAAAGCTAATTAAAAAAATTAGTTAGTTATCAAGTTTCTCACCATTTGGCTAGCATTTATAGATTCAAAGCTAATTAAAAAAAATTAGTTAGTTATGTTTCGAATTAAATACAAAAATTTGTAAATGAGCTATTGTTATATATGATACATATGGGGCAATACAGCCACGGTCAAAAGATACAAACATTTGGCATGCATTTATATATGATATATAGGAATGCGGAGATGAAAGAATTTTAAGAGCTACGACTAGTTGTGGAACAACATGCAGATTTACTTCGTTGTATTTTAAATTGGCGATTGCCAGGCAATACATAACATAATCGTGTGGATATGCTATGGGTGGAGACGATAGATAACTTAACTAAAAGAGTTAATTTTTGAGAAGTTGATGGTGGCTGGTGTAATCCTTATAGGTGTGATCATTTACCTTTGTCTTTGTTTAGTTAGATATTCTTAATTTGAATACTTATAATTACTTACCTTTTTTATTTCGTACTTCTCCACTTAAAATGAATGTTTTAGCTTTTGGTCTTGATCCGTAAGTGATGTAGAATTTTTACACCTATAATTTTCATAAATCATTAAACAGTAGAATATAAAATGTATTCAGCAAAATGTATCCTTTTTTAACTTTTTTGCTGAACAAAGCAAAATGTATGTAAAATACTAATAGTTTGGTTTTGAAAAATTAAAAATCATACATCACTAAAATCAACAGAATTAAAATTTACAGCTACAAAAAAAATTTATAGCTTTATTTCTATAGCAAAAAAAACTAAAACTATAACAGTATCCAATCAAGCCTTTTATGGTAGTTTTAAAAAAATTGAGTTTGCTTGGTTGAATTAAATAAATTTCTTTCTCAAAATCAGATTGCATATTAAGTTTACATACTAGAGAATTTAGTTAAAGTCTAAAATTTAAATTAAACCAAACCGTTTTATAAACCAATAGTGATTTTGTTTTTAAACCAATATAATCAAAAAATACACGTTGTCGAGTGAATTGAACCAAAATATTAATTTTGACTTAACAAAATTTGGAATGCACATAAATACACTTAAACCAATAAATTTTAACCTATTCAAAAAATTAATAAACGTACAAAAGTGATTTTACACATTATTATTATTGTTTAGAATAAAAAAATATCATATCCATCGATTCTCTGTAAGTAACATTTTTTTCATCGCCGCTTGTTCTCCTTGCTAACGCTAGTTCTCCTTACCATTGCTGGTTCTTCTTGTCGCTTCCTCTCTCTTTCTTGTAGGTAATCTCTCTTCCTCCATCTTTCACTTTTCACTGTCGACTAAATATCTTAATGTATAACTTTTTTTTTAGATCTCCTTGACGCCGCTGGTTCTGGCCACTTTCTCCCTCTTCCTCTCCTCACCCATGGATTTCTCGTAAGAAACGGCAATCTTTCTTCCTCCATCTTCCCTTTTTGACAATCGACGAAATTTCTCAATCTTTGTTTTTAATTTTTAGATTTACTCTTTGTCGGTGATTCTCCTCGACACTTTTTCTCTCTTCCTTTTCTCGCTGTTGGATTTCGAATATGGAACAGTAATCATTTTTCCGTTTTTGCCAATATATATTTTATTTTTGGTCAATAATACTATTTAGTAGTTTAGTTATTTTATTATTAAATCAAATACAAATTAAGTACTATAATTAGAAAAAGGAAATATATATTATCAATAAAGAAAGGAAATATATACCTCTATTTAGAGTTTTTTTTTACAAAATTTTATATCTTTTCAATTATACGATAAATTAGTATTAATTAGAATATAATAAATTTCAAATTAAAATATATATATATACTAAACTTATGCTCTGTATATACGCAGATTTATAATTAAATATTTTATATTAACCTTTTTCTAGAATAGATATTAACTTTTATCATTATATGAATCTATAAGTGTCACACGTATTTAAATAAATAGATATCACATGATTTTAACACCTTTTTACCATATTACACGTATATAAATGATATCATTTAATCTTATTTAAATGATATATAAACACTTTTCCATAAAATGTATATATCATACTAAAAATATTACAATTTTAAATGTAATTAAATTATATTTTATTGTAATTAAATCTTTAAACTAGTTAAATATTTTAATAACTACTACTAATTGTCTCTGTGCAATCATTTAATTTCAATATTTTTTTTAAAAAAAAAATTCATTTCATTGTAACATTATTATTTTTTTCTTTGTTATTGGAATATTTGCATAATGTATATAAAATTACGAATATACTAAAACAAAATTACAATAAACAGGAAAGCAGACTCTCGAAATGATGGAAAAACTCCAAGCCCAAATGGTTGCAGGCTTCGAAGCCCACCTGTTGCTTCTCTCCTCGGTTCGACTGGGAGAACGAGTGCTTTTGTTCCATTTCCAGACCTTAACTTTCCGCCGGATTCCCAACCCGCTGCTTCCTTCTCCACCGATGCTTCCACCTCTCTCTCCCGAATCAACCATGGAGTTCTCGAAGTAGCTGGACCGTCATTGGCTAAGAATCTAGAGGCTGAGGTGGAACCAGTTGACGATCACAAGACTAAAAATCCAAGCGGGAGCGTCTCTGTCAATGGAGTTTCACCTGATTCTGATCATACCCCTCCGCCTCCGCCTCCGCCTCCGCCTTCATCTTCCTCCACCACAGCTCATTTTTCCGTCGAGTGTAATCGCATCGCTGAGAATCTCACTTCTTCATTCGCGAGCAAGCGATCTAAGGGATATGGCAAGTTCCGCAAATCCAGTTCGAATTCCCGCTTGATCGCCGCCGCACCGTACGACAGAAACCACCAGTCATTAGCGGTGCCACCGCCTCCGGGATTTGGGGATAATCGCGTCTCCACCTACGTTGCCTCGCCTGCTCCTACACCGAGATTCCAGAGATCGAATGAGCTCGTGAGGTTTGGTGCGCTAGAGCGCGAACAACAGAAACTTTGCCGAGACACCGTTAGACGAACTCGAATGATCTACAATTCTCTCCAGATTCATCACATAGCGAAGGCGATGAAGGATGCTGAACCTGGTACCAAACCTAGGGTCTATGTCAAGGTTTCGAATCAGATGAAAGAGCGTGGTTTGTGGCTGAACCAAGGGAAACACATCGTCGGTTCAGTTCCTGGGGTTGAGATCGGCGACATTTTCTCTTACCGTCTGGAAATGTGCATGGTGGGCTTACACGGCGTGAAACAAGCCGGAATTGACTTTTTAACGGCTCAGATGAGCCCGAGTGGTGAGCCTATAGCTACCAGCATTGTCGTCTCAGGTGGTTACGAGGATGATGAAGACAGAGGAGATGTTCTGATTTATACAGGTCACGGTGGTCAGAAGAGGCCCCACGGACATTGTGAACACCAGATGCTAGAAGGTGGGAATCTAGCAATGGAGAGGAGTATGCGCTATGGTATTGAGATTCGAGTGATTAGAGGATCAAAGTATGAGAACAGTATTAGCTCTAAGGTGTATGTGTATGATGGGTTATATAAGATTGTAGGATACGAATATGATTTTGGCAAGTCTGGTTTCAAGGTGTTTAAGTTTACGCTAGTCAGAATCGAAGGGCAACCGGAGATGGGCAGTATGAAAATGAAGCTAGCAGAGATACTTAGAGACAAACCGTTGAAGGTTAGGCCTGATGGGTACCTAAGTTTTGACTTGTCTTGCAAGAAGGAGAATGTCCCAGTGTATCTATATAATGACATAGATACTGATCGTGGACCTATATACTATCAATACCTCTCGAAAGCTACTCTACATCCTCTAGCTATTGCTCAGTCAGGGATCAACATGACTGGTTGCGACTGCACTAACCACTGCACTGGAGATTGTCCCTGTGCAAAGAAGAACGGTGGTGAGTTTGCGTATGACCACAAAGGGAATCTGCTGAGAGGAAAACCGGTGATATTCGAGTGTGGGGGTTCATGTAAATGCGGTCCGAGCTGCAAGAGTCGTGTGACGCAGAAGGGAATGAAGAAAAAGCTTGAGGTTTTCAAGTCGAGGGAAATGGGCTGGGCTGTTAGGACTCTCGGCATAATCAACGCCGGTGAGTTCATCTGCGAGTACGCAGGTGTCACTCTCACGAGAGACCAGGCGTTTGCATTCTCGATGAATGGGGAGGAGGATAGCCTTGTCCATCCAGGTCGGTTCCCGGAAAGCTGGAGGAAGTGGGGCGATATTTCTCTAGCGGAGCCTGAGTATGCTCAGCCCAATGATCCATCTCTCCCTCCACTATATTTTGCAATGGATGTTGCCATGCATAGAAACGTGGCTAGTTACATTACGCACAGCAGAGAACCAAACGTGATGGCACAGTTTGTGTTACATGACCATGATAACTTGATGTTCCCTCGCGTCATGCTTTTTGCATTGGAGACCATCTCTCCGTTAACCATGCTAAGCCTGGACTATGGGTTTGGCCGATGAAACTGAGGAGTTTCCATAGCCTAAGGTAATTTCTCTAATCAATGTAAAATTCTTCGTAATTGTCCGCACCATTTGCATGTTCTTATCATGTCCAAAGTCTTACTGTTTTGGAGTTTTCCTGCGCAATTTGCATGTATTCTTTCTATCTCTCTCTCTGTCTTGCTTTGTCTTGCTCTATGGCATTAATCTGTTGCAATAATGATGCAGATGGAGAAATCTTTGACAAAGCCTTTCTCTTCAAATTCGATGTTCTGTCGTTTCTTCTTTCTGCAATATTTGGAAGACAAGGACAAGAGGCGTATATGTCCATTTTCAATGTAAAACATTCTCTTTTATCAATATGTACCTTTTTAATGTTATTAATGTGCTGAATTTTGAATTGTGTCTCTGTCGTTCATATGATATGATGGAAAACAATGTAAAGGCATATCAACAAAACATTCTATAGAGAATTCTTGTTATAAAGTTTTGTATTCGATTTTATTTTTAATAATTTACTTACTAAAATTTCATTGAAATTCATTTCAAATGATTCAGATTTTAGTGAATTTGCAGGTCGTAGTTTGACATTGACGAAACGAACAAGTCGTTAAACTAAATTAAAATGGTTGGATTGGCTTTATTTTTATGAACTAAAACAACAAAATAAACGAGTTAACACTTAAACTCAAATTTATCATATAATCTTTTAAATTAAAAATCCTTAGAAGCCAAAAGCCATCCGAAACCGAAACCACGCAAACGAGAGTCAAAATGTTCTCGTATTTAACCAAAAATTCCAATATCCGGTTAAAAATCGGTAAGAGTCGGTTATCAAATTGACATCACCTTGTGTATAAACTCCGGATATCTTCCTTCATCTTGGCCGTCTCGAGAAACGCATCGCCGGAGTGATCAACATCCACGGCTCTAAACCCAAACTCATCTCTTCCCGATCCAACATTCCACTCGAACCACATCTTCGACATCATCTCTTTGAGCGAACACGTCTCGTAGCTCTCTTCATCCGGCGAATCCGCAGCCACGAGCCTGTACGCGTACACTCTCCTCTTCTGTCCTGGTCTGTAAGCTCGAGCCACGGCCTGCTGAGTCACCGATGGGTTCAGATGAACATCGAGAATCAGCACCCGAGACGCACCCACGAGCGAGATCCCTTCCCCACAGGCTTTGATCGATCCGAAGAAGACTCTAGCGTCCGGGGAATTGTTGAATCTCTCCATCGACGATTCTCTCTGCTCGTTGCTCGAATCGCCTGTGATTGTGAACATCTCTTTCCCTAATCTCCAGCCTTTCATCGAGCTCATGAGTTTCTCAAGAGTCTTGAGAGGGATTATGTATTGGCTAAACACCAACAGCTTCTCTCCTGCTGATTCGCACAGAGATAGAAGGTTGAGGAAGAACTTCATCTTCACACCGTCTCTTACATTGATCTTCTTCAGCATCCCATCTAGCTTATTCAATGTTTTGTTGTTATCAGCGAAACCCTTTTCTCCATTCGAAGGGTTCTCCTCCAAGAAAGTCTTGAGGCTCGGGTGTATATACAAAGCCGCACCGAGAGAGATCTGCTTGAACAGATCCATTTTCCTCAGACCCTTGACTTGAGCTCTCTGAACTGAGCTCAGATTCAGCATCACGGTGAACTCAGTAAGCCCTGGAAGCAAGCCGCGGAAATCTGCTTTGTGATAATGCAAGATATGACGGGTCATCTCTCTTAGATCCTTAATCAAGCTGGCTTTGCCTGAAGAGTCTTTACTGTTCTTCAATGTAAGCTCCACTGCAGCGAAGAAAGTCCCTTCGAAGCTACTCTGGTTCATGTGTTTGCCGCTAGGTATCTCTGCCTTGTCCATGATACGGTGAACAATCTCCCGAGTTCCAGGGCGCTTCAAGAACTTGGGACGAACGAGATTCAGAATGTTGAACACTTCCTCAACATTGTTCTGGAACAAGGTACCTGTGAGAACAACTTTTCTAGGAGTCTTGACACGAGCAAGAGAGATAAGCATGTTCGTCTCCTTGTTCCTCGATGTGTGACCTTCGTCAAGGATAAGCAGCGTTGGCCTCTCAAGCAATATCCGCTTACAGTCTTCTGAAACCGCCTCTGTGTTCGTATCGTCGCAGATGATCCTCGCAAACTGTTGGTACCCAAGAAAAAGAATGCTTCTTTGCTCAACCCATTGTCTCAAAACATCAAGTTGCTGCTTCCGAGATTCTGCTTTCGCGCTGTAGAAATCAAGAAGGAGAGTGTTCTCGACGGCCCACAAAGTAAACTCTCTCTTCCATGACTCTATGATGCCCTTCGGTAGCACGATCAACGGTTTAGCCTGTGGATCCATAGCCATGAAGCTCTGAAGAAAGCTGATGAGCAGAAACGTCTTCCCTGATCCAGGGGCGTGAGCTAGTATGCACCCACCTGGCTCATCCGCCCCAAGGTTGTTGCTTAAAAACTTGAATCCTTCAATCTGGTGAGGCCTCATCTCCTTCTCATGCCTTGGGTGGATGAACATTTTCTCTCCCAAAACTTTCGTCTGAGAAGACCCGTTTTCTGTGAACACCCTGCTATTTTCCCCATTTTCTTCTTCACGCATGTAAGTTCTTCTTGATCTCTTCGGCTACATCAGGGAAGAAAGTAGATTCATGTTCTAAAGATTTAAAACAAAGTAAATATATACCACAATCAGTTTATCACAGTGTTCACTAACCTTGTTGTACACAACCTCGATCATGCTCTCAATGGGTGTCTTGATGAGTCCACAAACACGACACACTTCTCCAGTATCATCCTTGTAGATGAAGGAGTGCTCGCAGTCGTCGATTTGATTGAGATCATTATCTTGTGAATTCTCCACCGTTACCTAACCATAAACATAGGCAAACAAAATCAGCTGAAAACACTCATTAATAATGCACAGAGAAGCACATATCTGCTTCAGGAGTTAAATCTGTATACAGCTGATGGTCTATGTACAAGAAGTAACCTTGGATGATGATTCTTGAGCAAAGGCCATCTGCCTCCAAAGTTCGTCTTCTTCATCTCTATATTGATGAGTTCCACTGTCATGATCTGTAGAAACCTCCAATGAATCCTCCTCGTTATAACCTTGAGGACTCGAGTCAGATCCTGAGCAATTTTCGCTCTTCACATCACAAAAATGCAGAATGAGATCACAAAGGTTTAAACTTGGCATCAAGAGATGGAAAACAAACGTCAACTCAATGTCCATGAACAAGACTCATTTCTGCGTTAAAGCTTCACTTACAGTGACGGATTCTTGAGGCAACTCATCATCGGAATCGCTGATATGGATCTTCTTGACTGGTTTTTCATGTTTTGGAGTTTCGATGTCTTCCAGTGAGGTAGAACCATTCAAGATGTTCCTTTTGAGGTCACAAAGTCTCTTCATATCATCAGCAAGCCATGCGTATTTACTCTCTTCAAACCCATAAAAGAGATGGGGTAGAAAGAATGGATCAGGACGCTGGGCAAGTTTCGATTGGCTAATGCTCTTGCTATGCGACCTCAAAGACCAAGCTGTTTCAATCATCAATCACACCATTACAATCAGAACTGAACCAACCTAAATCTTAACATTTGCACCAAAAAGAAGTTATTCTTTAAACAAACCCAAAAAAAGGAACGATTTTATGTCAAAATCTCAACCAGGAGGAAAGCTACAGCCAGAAATTAACTTATGGAAGCAAAAACCCATGTGGGTTTTAGAACACAAAAAAACACTGGTTGAAATTTTGAATCAGCAGATTCGGCTCAGCACTAGAAATCAAACAAAACCCCCAAAATGTGAGATTTTTAACACTCTGATTCTGTATCTCTGGACCTCCATAAACAAAGATTTGTCCTTTTCTTCTCCGACCAGACCATTTTTAATCAGCAAAAAAGTAACAAAAAAAAGTCACAAGCAAAGAGAGGTTACAAAGGAAGAAGGAGAAGAGACGAGAGTGTAAGTATATATGTACGTACGCGTATTCCTCGCCCTAGGAAATGGATAGTGATCAGTACCCACCATGTGTGCAAGCTAAACAGAGCTTCTTAGGTCGAAATTCGAAAATAAAACCAAAAAAAAACCTTGTGAAAGACCCCAAGATGCAAGCTTTAGCATAAAGTAGAGAGCTTTCAAGCAACAACGACGAAAAGATAAGGTTTTTTCAGTAAATGCTAAGCTTTTTCCCCTTTCCCGTAATAGAAGTTACTCTCGGGTGGCAAAGAAGAGAGAGAAGAAGACGCCAGAGGGACGGTTTTGGGAGCTAGATAATGACAAAATAACATCTATACGTAAAGACTTTTTAAAACTTGCTCTTCACTCGTGTATATGCGTGTGTGTAAGTGTATGTTGTTAATTATCGCCTCATTAATACCATCAGCATTTTCCAAAATGTTAAAAAGCATTTCAAACGGAGCTTATAGAATGTGATTCGTTTTTATTTTTCATTATAAATTAATCTATAATTTTCTTATATTCACATGTATTTGGCTTAACATAGCTTTTTTTGTATGGTTGTGTTGCTGATGTTAATCACTTGATTCCAAATTTATAGTTGCATGTGAAAATTTGTAGTTAGACCTTCCTGTACAACACAAATATCTGCATTAAAATTAAGTTTTTTAAACAATTTTTACCAAGATTGAATCAATCAGGTTCGTAACAAGAAAATGTGATTACTGGAATTTTTTGAGTTTAGTGGTTTAGTGATCCTAGGTTCCTTATTCCGATGTGGGATTCTGTTGTATTTATTTGATGATTGTTGGGTTTACCACATTTATGAAGTCAGTCAGTTCTTAACTTTAATGAATTTGTGTTAAAATGATTTAAACCTTTTGTTGGTTTACTTTTTCTTCCAAATTCCAATACAATGAGTTTGAGTTGACGACAAGAAAATAAATAATTTAGGTAATTGAGTTTTCTCAAACTTTGTGTATAGATTGAATTATGTAGTAACAGTGGCGAATGGTGATGACTTCTTTGCAATTTAGTCAAAACTGTAAAGGAAGGATGAATAAAATGCTTCGATTGTACAAATTCAACTAAAATATTTAGACCAAATGATAGAAATTAATCTACTTTTAATAGTAATATTATTTTTATATTTTTTGAGAAAAAAGTTAGTGATACTCTAAAGTCTAAATGGAGAAAATGCCTCTTCTTTACTGGTTTCGCAATTGGCACCCTTTTATGTAATAAGCGGTTAAGAATTTAATTAAACTCTTTACTGTTTTGATTAAACCAATCCGAACCAAGGACTGAAAGCGGTTTACAGATCCGAAATCGGATAAAAGAACCGGGACATACTGGGAACAAAATGGAGAGTCCTCTAAGAGAGCTCGCCGGAGAGTTCGAAGTCCCCGGTTAGTAAATCGGAAAATGCTCATTGTGGATTGTCTCTCTTTTTATTATCTTTGATATCTATCACGGGATTGTGATCACCATCATTCTCGCCGAAGTTTTGGTGGAGCTTCAGGTTATTTCATTTGTGCTTTTTTCTTTTCTCTCTCGTGATTTTCGTAAGTAAGAATAATATGCTATATCCGATTTCTTAATTAGTTTTGACGCAATCATGTAAAAGAAAACAATCTGTTGAAATTGGATTCTAGGTTTTAGCACGGATTGATACTTGAAAGTTTAGCTATGTTCGAAGTTTGTTTATATATTCTCTTTAAGCACTTTCATCTTTGGTAAAGCTAAGGACATTAATTTATATAAGACACATTCTCTCTTTGCTGGAGCTGACATTTGCTTTAAATCCATTTTCTAGTTGAATATTGTTGCGGGAAATCATTGAAAATATTCATCTGTTGTTGTCTTTGATCCATGACCTTTCCCCATTGTGCAGCTTGAAACGGCACTGGCCTGGCTGAGATTGAAAAACAGGAAAAAGCTGGTGAAAGAGAATGTCTTGTATACATATGAAACTACTTGACAGAGATCCAAAGTTCAGAGGAAAGAGTGAAACAACCTCAACGGTTTCTGCCCTTATATGTACTAATAATCTTGACGGGCCACTTCGGCTTGTGTAAAGCAATAAGATGTGCCATTGCCAATCCAAACAACACTCCGGGCCAATACCCTATAACCACTCCTTTCCAGTTCAACACCTCTTCGTCGTCTTCTTGCTTTTGCTTCTCTGTTGGGGTTGCACTAGTGTCAAAGCAAGTTTCTTGGAGAGGAAGACCACAAAGCCCTGCATTTCCATCAAAGGAGGATTTAGGTTGCCCACTAATCTGTGTTCCTTTTGGTATTTCGCCTGTGAGTTGGTTATGAGAGACATTTATGTACGCCAAAAACGAGAGGCTCCCGAGTTCTTGAGGAATTTTCCCCGAGAGTTTGTTTCTTGACAGGTCTAGTGACTCAAGTTCAGTAACATTGGCGAAAGACATCGGAATTTGGCCGGTGAAGGAGTTGTTGGACAGGTTGACCGCAATGAGTGCCTTCAAAAGACCAATAGATTCTGGGATCTTTCCACCAAGTTTGTTTGCAGAGAAATCAATGGCGGCATAGAAAGTAAGTACCTTTACACGCTCCAAAGATAGACCTTTGTAGCGCAAGTCTAAAGTATCAAACTCCTGGTACAGAGCATTTGTATAGTCTCCCATATACATCTGCCCATCTCCGTATATCCTGTTTGATGATCCACTCCAATTTGCAAAGTAATCTGGTGACAAACTTCCTGTGAAGTGGTTATCTGATAGATCAAGTATCCGCAGCTCGGGAAATCCTAATGGTCCTTCAGGAGGAGATACAGGACCATGAAATGTGTTAGAACGGAGGGTAAGGACTTGCAAATCCGGCAAAACCTTAAGCCAGAAAGGAAATACGTCTTTCACATTGTTGTGCTCCACACTCAGAAACCTTAGAAAGGAACAGTTCACAAGAGACCTCGGAAGCTTCCCGCTTATTTGATTGTACCCAGCATCAAGTGTTTGCAGCAGAGAGTTGCTAGAAAACGTGTCTGGGATGCTTCCCTGCAAGTTGTTCTTCCGGAGATTGACTGACTTTAACTTACTAAGGCATTGAGGAATTGAGCCGGTGAAGTTGTTGTAGGACAGATCAAGAGTACGGAGAGAGCTTCGGTTGCAGATTGAAAGAGGTACGTCTCCTGTGAAACTGTTGCTCCATGCCGAAAATAAGATGATAGAGAGTGGTGGATCAGGAAGTGATCCTGTGAAGGCGTTTAAACTAAAAGCGAGCATTGTAACCGATGAGTTGCCAAGAGCTTCTGCAGAACCATCAAACCCGTTGAAGGAATTGTTCGAAAGATCCACTATGCTCAATCGAGGAAGACTCCATAGCCACTTTGGAACTTGCCCTTTGATTCTATTGTCAGAAAGGTCTAAACGCTCTAGGTTCTGCAGTGTCTTCAGAAACTTTGGGAACTCGCTGATGTTGCAGCTCTTCAACATCAACCGGTTCAGTTTTGGTGGAACATCAGAATCTGAGCTTATACCTGTCGCCGATAAAATATTACCGGAAAGCTCAAGGTTCAGCAAAGATTTGAGAGAGGAAAAGAGTCTTAAGTCTATTGGGTAGCTCACGTTTATGAATGATAGGACGAGATCTTTGAGAGTTATTAACTTTGAGATAGGCTCTAGTATTTGTTCATCGAAATGGTTATGTCCAAGGAACAAGTGCTCGAGCCTTGATGATGAAGAAGAGTTAGAGACTTCAATGGGGCCAGTGAGATAATTACCACGGAGATCAAGATGTGACAAGAAAGGCATAGTGAGCAGGGAATAAGGGATGGATCCAGAGAACTGATTATAGGAAAGGTCTAAAATGGAAAGCTTGGTGAGATTCTGGATAAGATGGAAACTACCAGTGAGCTCGTTATGTGAAAGATCAAGATTGAATAAGTTGGTTAGGTTACCAATTGAGGAAGGAACTTGACCCAAGAAGCCATTAGAGGAAAGAGACAAAACCTCTAATCTGTTGAGATTGCTGAATTCAAAAGGGAGTGAAGAGGAAGTGAAGTTGTTGTGAGAGAGATTAAGGTAACGAAGATGGTTAAACCTGAAGAGGCTACTGTTTGGTTTGAGATTTCCAGTGAAGCAGCCACTTGGGAGCTGTAGCTTCGTGACTGCACCAGTCGCGTTATCGCACCGGACTCCGTTGAGATAGTCACTGCGGCTGCAACCGTTGGATTCAAACTCGTTTTTGAACTGCAGAAGAGCTTGGATCTGGTCCAGGCGACAAGCAGCAAGTCCAACAACAAAAGCATCTATCATTAAGACGCTTGAAGCCAAGACACAGCAAAGTAAGAGTAGCAGGAGCAAATGAAAACGCAGGCATGACATGGTCATCATGATATCTTTTTTTAGAAGAATGATAGTTTGTAAGAAAAGAGACAGAGAAGATGAGTCAATAATATATATCCCTTGTTCAGCGAAGACCAAGATCCAATGAGATAATTTTAAGTGAAATCCACTTTGATGTTGATACCTCTAAATGTAATTTGTGTTAGGTTCACATATGTTCACAATCAGTGGCGTAACAGTGACGGGAATGGCATTAACTAATCTGTTCAGTGTTTGGAGAAAACTTAGTCATTTGATTGAATTTGAATAGTCTCAGACTTAGTCAAATTATAAACATACAAACTACATTTACGAAAAGAAAAGAAAATTCTTAAATATCCAGAGGAAAATTAATTTGACAGCTATTAATGGTTCTTTTTGTGTGTGTTAATACAATCTCCTGGATTTGTTAACGTTATAATATACTTGTTCTGACACATTTACCCTCGAGAGAGAAAAAATGGAAATATTGTCTCACCAAGCCGTTTGTTCTCGATGAGTGAGAGTGAATTTTACTTGTGATCGAAGGAAACTTCCTTTTTTGGTTGGTGGTCGCTACTCTCTTTATAATATCGGATTCACTCTCAGTTCCATTCACTTTCTCGTTTCCATATTTTTGATTACCGAACCTGAGAGTGAAAAGAACCCTAGCTTTTTGCCTCTTTCCAAATTCATTCTTTACGAAAATCAACAACAACGGATAGAGAGAGATAGAAGAAACACAGAGAAGACGATGAAGACTATCGCGATTTCTAATTCCGACCTCGACCGCTCTGTGTGTGCCGCACTTAAGGCCGCTAATGCGAAAAGCAACGATGGCGTCGAGAGATGCTTTGATATTCTCCGATACTTGAAGAGTTTGAATCTCTCCGTCAAAGAACTCCGCCGCTCTAAATCGATAAATACTTTGGGGAGTCTGAGAGATCACGGAGACCCTAAGGTTCGAGTGGGAGTTGACGCCTTGTTCAATTCGTGGATGAAGACTCTTTATTGCAGCGGAAGAGACCCTCCTCCTTCTTCTACTTGCAACAAATCTGTTCCTCTGCCTCTCAAGAAACCTGCGCGTGTTCTGAGAGGATGTTCGGAACTCAAGAAGAAGAAGAAGAAGAAGGAACATCAAAAGATCGAGTCTTTGGGGTTAAAGAAGAATCAGGATGAGATATCTGATGTTAAGCGGGTTGATCATCGAAAGTCTTTTGCTGCGGCTAGGCCTCTTCCGACACAAACACAGATCCGTGTACCAGTCAGAGTATCTGAAAACCCTAAACCGTGTCCGTCTTTGAAGAGCGTGAGAGACAATACTTGCAAATCTATGACTGTTCGAGCGTTCTCAAGATTGAACAAGACAGAGGATCAGCGATCGCTAACTCATGAAACTGGAGGGATCAAACAAAATCTGAACAAGTCTGATGATGGTTGCAAGGCAATGAAGCAATCAAGGGAGATGTTGGAGCTGTTCGAAATAGCCAAGAAATCAGCAGATGTCGCTAATGCAAAAGGAATTCTCCTGGCTAAAGCAGAGGCATCAGTCTGCGTAGACACACTAAGGCGGATCATGGAGAAACTTGGGCATCTTACAAAACACAAGGATCGCAGAATCTGCAACTCTGCATCAGCACTTCTTCAGCACTGGAGGCAGAGTATCAGAGAACAACAACGACATGATTCCAACGCCAAAGTGAGGAAATAAACCATATTAATCGATCTAGGCATGTTTTGTTAGAAGAAGCGTTTGTTTTCAGCTTAGTGTTAATTGTTAACTGTTAAGATAAAAAGTTTTTAACTGTTAATGAATGTAAATCGATTATGATTTCTCATCAATCTATTTGTTTTTTGTAACTGAAAATGCATTATGATGACTCAGCAGAGCAAAACTCATAAACAAAACCCCTGAAAACGATATTAGATAAGCTTCAAATATTTACAGTGTAGTGAAAGAAATTAAGAGCATTCTCTTCCATAGTATAAGCTGAAATCGCAACCAAAAAATAAAATACAGCAACAAAAAAAACCTAAAGAAAAAACCAGGACAAACCATTAGAAGAACCAAGAAACATACACAGACTGGATAAGATCAATCTAGCTTCTGTTTCTTCCTTATACTTGCTTCAGAAGTATCTCAGACTTGCAAAACCCAAAAAAAAAGGAAAACCCTGTAACAGCGTAGTGTGGAAAAGAGAGAGCTAAACGGGTTGGTTTCTTTGTCTTTCTTTCGGTTCTTGAAGTCTTGCAGCTGTATCATATATACATTAAGATGTTTAAGTTCCAAGATTATCGCTTCCATGTTTTGTAAAACCAACAAGAGAATTCAAGTCTGCATACCGAGTCCATTAGCTTCAGAGGTTTTCATCACTCGAAGTCTTTTCACCGAGGTGATGAACATTCTAAGATATACACAAAACCCCCAATTTTAGATCATCAACATTCATCATACATAATTAGATGATAAACTCAAGGTTTTTAGATCTGTTACCTCCATGGAACATCACCAACAAGCATCCAATCTCCTTCCTTGTCTTCATAAGTAAGTACAAACTCAGACGATCCATCTAAGAGCCTCAACGGTTTGGTGAACTGACCCGTTAACCCGATGGTACCGGGGTTAGTGCGAAAGAACATATCTTCTAGTGTCTGCGCCAAATTCTCGTAAGAAGAATGAGCACTCAGATCGACTTTCCTTCCTATAGCAACTCCATCCATATTCACCTTTATAAACCCAACTTGCACTTTCCCATTCACTTTCTTTGTCACGTCTTTAGTCTCATCATCTTTCACTATCTTCTTACCAGCTTCTTCTTCTTCCCTCGCCGACTTTGTAGCTTGGTTGTTAACCAAACTGTTCATCCTGTGAGATCCAATAGGTGGCCATCCCACAACTTGACTGCTACACACAAAGCAAACATTACTCAGAACTTTGAGAATATCAAAAATGAACCAAGAGCTATTTCCACAACAACCAAAAACAGAGCCCTTCTTCCTACATAAGTTGATTGTGTTCGTCTCAATAACTGAGCTTAGCTCTAGCAATAGCCAAACAATAAAGAAGAATCTTGTAACTCCTAGACAAATTCTGTAAAGGAATCATAAGTGAGCTTAGCTCCTTTAGCAACGGTAATCACTAAAAAGTCTTTAACTCTGTTCTGAGAATATCAATTTCACATCACGCATAGAGATTAAAACACTTCTTTGAAACTGTTCAAATTTTATTTCCCCTGAGAAGAAACGCTTATAAAAGGATTAAGCTTTTTTTTGTAAGTCTAAAAGACGAACCTTGAACGAGGAGGAGATGCACCAGCGTGAGAAGCAGAATCAGCAGCTCGCTTAGAGCCAACAGAAGGAAAATCCTTAGCAGTCAAAAGCCTCCCACGCTCTCCCCACGCGCCGCCACCGCCTGGTTTACCAATCTTGGCCGCCGTTCCACCGCCTAGACTGAGCCCTAGACCCAGTTCCAGCTCACTCTCACCTTTCCCCATCTCAAGCTCAGTAATCATTTAGAGAGCGCAGCAACAAAAACCCACAAAGAAAAGAGTCCTAAGAATCCAAAGCTAAACCCAAAAGAGAGAAAGAGAGAGTCTTTTGGGAAGTCAAGGAGTAAAGAAAAAACCTGGGAGTGCAGAAACGAAAGGAGACAAAGAAAGAGGAGAGAAGGAAACAACAAAACAGACAAACAGAAAGAGACAGAGAGAGGATTTTAAGGGTTTTCTTGAAATCTGGAGAGAGTTGAGAATTGAGGGAGAAGGAAAGAGATGGAGAGAGAGGATTAGGTGCTGTAGAGAGTGATGAGAAATGGGACCCATATGTCTGGTAGTGGCCATACCAACAACAATGCCATTCTTCTTCTTCTTAAAGTCCTTTCTACTTTATTATATTTTTTATATCATATGTTTTATATATAATTAACAATTTCAACTTTTTCTTCCCGACATTATCAAACTTGTCGTGCTCCCGTTGCGTTATTGTTTTCTCTTTTGTTTATATAAACAGATCAATTTTTAAAAAACTATTTATTAAAAACAGTTGTTTTTTTTTTTTTTTTTGAAAATAAAAACAGTTGTTTGTTTGTCATCTAATTTGTAGAAAGCTTTGTTTAAACATCACATTTTCTTTTCTATTTTTGGAGGAATTTGTATTCGTTTTGATGATCGCCTTATGGAATTTATTTGTATTCCTCCGATCTTTATCTAAGTGGCCATGCTTTCGAAACAAAAACTGCTAAATACAGTATATGAAAATGTATAGCAAACCAGTTTTTAAAAAGAAACAAAAAATCGAATTTGATCGGTATTGCAATATATGAAGATAGTGGAGACACAACTGTTAAAATCTAATTGGAATGACTAATCATTTTTCTTCAAAATTTAGATTAAACTTAGAAAAAAACGGTTATGTCAACATCGGAACTTATATATTGTTATGCATCTCAGTATATGGTTCTAATGAAACTTGGTTTTCAATTTCAATAAATAGGAAAACACGGCTATAAGAAAACATATTTATTGATATAATATCCTTACTTCACTGATCGAAATTAGTTTAAATTTAATATTCATGTACTTGTTTTAAATAAATTAATTTGTCATTAAATAATGTATATGCCCCTTTCTTTTTCTTTTTTTCGTGGAGGATATGATTGATGTCAAATAAAGTGAGAAAACAAATATTATTGGCATAATAGGAATTATTAAATAAATAGTGGTGATGAGGTTATTCATCATCATGTTTCTTGATATGCTATGATGATCCTCTGAAAACTTTTTCAATCGCAATTGATGTGTGGAAAATTCTCTTTTGATCAAAATAATGACTAAATGACATTGTGAGAACATATATTTCATACTCTATTGATGGTTCTGTTAGAATAACGAACCTTATTTTTTAGTAATTTTACATTTTAAAAACAGAAATAATAATTTCGATAGTCTGAACAAAACAAAAAATAGGTTTTAAAAGAGAAATTATTTACCAAACAAGATGGACGACAAAAAAAAAGAAGAATATGAACCATACAGTGTTAAATTTCCATAAACTAGATATAATATTTTTTTTATCACCAAATAAGTTATGTGGTCTAATCTCAAGTGTTTTTGAGTATGAATATTTAATATCACTAGTTCAGGTTTAACTTACAAGAAGTCATTTATGTTTTAAATATTTGATATTATCAACTATAAATTCTAAATATCAAGAATATTTACTTATAGGCTTAAAATTTCCACGGTTTATAAAAAGTAAAATTTTAACAGAAACTAAAAAAAAACTTACACCTGTGTTTTTTTTAATATAGTAAAATCAGGACACCTGAACCTCTTCAAAGCGACGTGTTCTCTAAGTTCCAAGCACCATCAGTTAGTCAATATCAAATATTCGATTCTATGTTTTTCACGATATCATTCTACGTTTGTTCTAGAATTGCGTGTAATTTTAATATTCGAGTTTTTTCCTCTACTTATTTTTGTAATTTTAGGAGTCGTTTTTATTTTGTTTGAGCTATCTGTGTCGTTCCTTTATAGGACAAAAGGCACGAACATTGCTTTAACTATAAAGTCGAAACCCAAGTGGGCTGTGGGGTTGTCTAAAAAGGTAAAATAAGAAAATAGATTGAAAAGAAACATTTGTTAAATCAAAAAAAAAATTATACCACAAGCGTGTGATAATACGAAGTGCTAGTGAAAAAAAAATACTGAAGCCCTTGATATATATATATCCCGATGAGTATTATTAGCTTAGAACAATGTTTTTTAAAGCTTTTCTCAACAGCCTGGATTCTAAATCTATCTAGTGTTCGTGTATATTTCAACTAATCAAAGTTCTATATGGCACGAATCAAAATCGATCTAATGTACCGTGAATTGTGTTCGTCTCTTGAGAACATGCAGCAAGTTGTTGAGAGTCAATATCATTTGAAATCATAAGGAAAAGACAAAAGGAGATTCATGATATATAATTTGTAATCAAATGTTCAGGATAAATGATGGAGATAACCTCACGCTTGTATATATATACTGAAAAAGGTATAAACATTCGAAGTGTAGCATATATGACATTTTAAATCACTTCGCGCATGTTTGTGTAACTGTGTAACAGTAGATATATTTGTTCCAATTGTAACATATATATATATATATATATATTCTAAGAAAAACTATGAGATTACATATTGGTTTGTAAAAGGATTGGATACTGTAAAGTAAGATTGAGCACTACTAGTCTTGACTCGTGATTTGGAAAGTGATAAATTGTTAACATTTTCATACAAAACCATTTTATAGATACTAAAATCAATATGTACAGAAAAGTTGGTGTCTTCTTAGGATCGTATGAATATCGTATGACGTTGAAGAAAAAGTTGGTGTCTTCTTAGGATCACACATTTTGTTTCGTTCATTTCTTAATTACCAAAATATTCAGATCGAAAACAATCTTTTCAATTGCATTCGTTTCTTGAAACTTTAATATTTTTTCGCCGAACAAATTTAACTAATTCAACAACAACAACAAAACCATTTTTAACACATACATCGTATTTATATATACTACTAAACAATTTTAGCAAAAACGTTTAATGTTCTTAATATATATAAATTATGGTGTTTGGAGTATTTGACTAGCATGATTACATGTCATGTCTAAAGTTAAGTGTTAATGAGCAAGACAAAAACAAAACTTAGAATTCGAGTAGTATCATGGGAGACGGACTGTGGAAAAAACAAAATACCTCTGTATGAATAGAACATACTATTTAATTGCAAAACAGTAGAATGACAATTTTCTTTTTCATGAAAATGATGTATATAATAAAAAAAATATTATTATATAAAACTATGTTTTCCAGTTGCACCAAAAGAGAAAAGAATAAAATTAAAAACTATAATTTGTATACTGTAGAATCATTTCACTATTGTAAAATTTACCAGTTACCAATAGGATCTTCAGACACAGAGATACGTGAGAGAAATGCTATGGGAAAGTAAAACAAAAATATTGGCCGTGAAAGACGAAAGAGGGTGTCGTTTTAGGGAGACAAAACGACAAGGGCGCTCGTGGATTAGACCAAATCTTTTATTAATTAAAAACGACACGCTGTTCAATGGTCTTCGCGGACCACCCGGATACCCGTTTAGTGCACAGACACAAATTCCCTTTTTTCTCGCTCTGTTTCTTTTTCCTCTCACGCGCCACTTGCCCACATTATACTCACGCGCTATTTTGATACCGTCAATTTAAAAATTCTTAACGAATATACAAAAAATAATCCAACCTTTTAAATATCGGTACGGATGTTGGTTTCGAATTTCGCATTGGTCTCTTGCTGGTATCAGACTTCATTCCAAACCGGCCTATGAAAACTTATTAAACGTCGAATATAATACTATGATTTTGACATTTAATGATAACTATGGAGGATTAGAGGATTAAAGAATGAAAATGATAAAAAGAAAGAAGATCAAATACTATCGTTTAGGAGGATAGTAAAACTATCGAAATTACATTTTTATTTTAGACAGGTTATGCTTATTATCTCAAAGGTTTTTTTTATTAAAATTGGATGTTTTATTCAGGAAAATTAGTTGATATAACCATATAAATGTTTAAAATTCAGAAAATAATCATATCAAAATATGTGTTATTATATTCCTTATATATTCTATAATATATACCAAAAAACTATTCGTTTAAATCATCAAATAAATTGTATTATTATATTATATTCAATTGGTGTAGTATGTTATTAATAGTTATACAAATATACTGTTTTTATACCATACTATACTATCATTATGAGAATTGAGTCAACATTGTATGAGTATCTACTAGCTTCTCATTGTATGAGTATCTACTAGCTTCTCATCCTTACCAATATTATCATCTCGAGAATTCACTTTCATATAGGACATTCTCCAGCGCAAATTCCACATCTATAGATACCCGAAAAGTAAACTGGTCATAGTATTTCAAATAGAGTACACTACTATACTATACTCAGTTGGTGTAGTATACTATTGAGTAATATATATGACGTCAGCGAAATCCCAAATAATTTGCATTTCATATCTAAGAGAAAAGGTTTGTTCCGACATTTTACACACTCTCATGATTAGTTGCTTTATTATTTAAACTTTATGACTATATTTTTTTGATACTTTTACTAATATAGTTAGATTGCAAATTAACCCTTTTATTTATGTCAATATTGTAAAAAAAATTAGAGCATGAGATATTTTTTCCAGTGACATTTAAAAGAAGGTACAAATTATCCACAGACATTTTCATTCACAGACCAAAAAATTAAAAAAAAATATTGATCGGTTTAAAATTGAAAATGTAAATAATCAGTTAATTAATCACAAATAACTCAAATCATCAGCGGAGGCTAAGCGGGGCAGCCGCTTGGACCCACCTTTCTTTTTCGACCCGTCAGGATCCGACCCGCCTCCACAGACGAAAGTGCATTCCACGCCGCAGATATTACTAAAACAAGAGAAAAGACCGTTTCCTCCTTCAGTGTGACGGCGGTTATGCTTCTTCTTCATCGCTGGAGTTTTCCGTTTCGAGCTTTTTCCTCCGCCTGCGTTTGCCGATCCAGGTACATTCCCGCTTCCTACATCGCTGCTCTGGTGACTTGATCCAAAATCGTAAAGCGGGGGAAGCTCCGTCCGCCATCGCTCGAGTTTTGAGCGGAGTCCTTCGATGTTGCTGTCGTCGTCGAGGCTCCACTCGCTGAGGATTGAGCTCTCTGTGTCATGGGCTTGCGATCTCTCTTTCGCCATCTTATTCGCTACTTCTGAAGGCGACGGACCTAACTCGGATTCCGTTAAAATCGGCCGTCCTGCCAAATTAGATCTCATCGGCGTACCGAATTGCAGAGGTGACTTCATCGGCGTTGCCATGTAGTTAGATCGAATCGGAGTAGATCCGACGATGTTGGATCGTAACGGAGTCGACACGATGATGTTAGATCTCCTTGGAGTCGATCCAACGCCGGTAGATCGCATAGGACTAGATGCAGCCATGTTAGATCTGATCGGAGTTGAAGCGATGATGTTCGATCTCAACGGCGTCCCGTGCCTCGACAAGTACGGGGAAGCGCGACTGCTGGTGCGATCGTAGTCCCTCGGTGGTGGTCTCGGTTTCTCGATCATATGCGTTGATCTTCTTGGAGTTTTGCGTGAATGTTCGCTCGAACGATAAGGCGACGCGTTGTATCTCTCACTTCTCGGCCGCATCAGATTGTGTTGCTCCTCCCTTGGTGATTGTTCTACGAAATCGAGTTCGAACGTATCGTATCTCTGCCTCGGGATATTGGGTGTTTGGTAAGGAGGCTCGTAATCGTTGGATTTCGTCTCGTCGGAATCCGTCGTCGTAGTGTGGTGCCCCGACGTCGTAGGCACAGTTTCCGATTCGCTTCCCGCTACTGCGCTCACAGGCTTCCGATTAGCCAAACGGCTACGCTCAGCTCTGCTCAGAAGATCGGAAACAACCATCGAGCTCGTATCACTCCTAGTACGGCGGAGCACCGGTGGCCTCGAGACCACGGATTGGTACTGTTTCGAAGACGGAGACTGAGGATTCTTTGAGCTCCCTTTGAAGCTGTTAAGATGCAAATTCTGCAAATGCGAATCGTCATCGCCCAGCAAATCTCTGTAGCCAACTGCAGAAGAGTCCATATTCGTGTAAAGCGGCATACTACGCATAGACCCGTCAAGGATTCCAACACCAATGTTCAAAATCCCCTGAGGACGACCAGATGGCCGGCGAACTTGAAGCGCCACGAATCGCATTCCGGGAGGAGGAGTACGGCGATACTCGTCATTGCTTCGGTATCCAGGTCGGCGATTTGGAGGGATGAGGTTGCTGATGAGGACACGGATTGTGCCTACGTGAACATCACGGAACCAATGCAAGGCGTAGATTTCGACCACGACGGCTGAAGTGTCGGCGTAGAGGAAATCCTCGCTGACTCGGAAGACGAACTTGTCGTTCCAAGTTGGGTTTGTGCCACCGGAGTAATCGACGCGGGTGGTGAGTTTGCGCTCAGAGTGAACCCAAGCCACCGCGTAGGTTTTCATTTTACGGGATACAGGAGCTAGATCTTGTGCAGAGATTATGTTGAGCTCTAGTAATTGAAAAGATGGAAACATCGACATTGTTTTGGGGGCTACAATCAATGTGAGTTATTTCAAAACCAGTCACATTCGGAGGAAATTTAGTTGATCATTTAGGAGAACTGAAAGAGCCATGAAATTGGAATATCAAATTCTTCATCAACCCTTGAGGAAATGGATGATTCTCAGAGTGAGATGGATCGTTAGATTTTTTATCGTTTGGTGGAAAATGTCCAAATGGTATTGACCATTGCTTCTCTTCCATGTTTTTATTGACCTTTGAAGCAGAGAGAGATGAGAGAGGAGAGAAGGAATCAATCGTAGGTTCCATTTTTGGATACATTTTTTATAGAAATTGTGTGAGAGAGAGATTACAATAGGCGTTGTTATTCGTGATATTCATTAGTAGGATTTGTAGAAGTTTGCTATATTAGGAGTGAGTCATGGTTTAATTAGGATCAAGTTGTTAATTCTCAATGATAATATTACACTTTATACGATAGACACCTAAATGTTTCTGGCAAAGTGATTCACTGAGAGATTTAACGGTTTCCAGAAAATAGAATCTTCCTTCGCACATATGATCATCTGTCAAATTGCTTTTGTGGCTTATTAGGTGTAAGAATTTCATACATGTGATTGTTGTTTCTACTCTAGAGATTGGGAAAAAAATAAAAAATGAATTTTACATAACCTCGACAATAATTTTTTTTATCTATCAAACTATTGAGTTGAGAATAGTGTTTTTTGGATAAAATACAGTACAGACGTTTCTTTTCTTTTTTTGTCAAACTTTCCTTCATCCCTTTTGTAGACGTTTTACTTTGAGGAACTGGATTTATGTGTGTTTTGGTGAAATTTACGGCGAGCCTATGTTACCAATGGGCTCTCTGATTTAAAGCCCAAGTTGAGTAGTCATGGGCCGAATCGACCGTCATTGTAATGTGCTTTGTCTGGTTAGAGTCGAGGTTTTTTAGTGTCGCTCTCTCTCTCGTGGTCGTGGTGTGAGGCTTTGTTCTGTTTTATGGTAATAACATGTTTCCTAAATTGGTAATGTTCTCTTGTTATGCAGAATTTAAGTTCTCATATTGGAAGTTTCAAAATGGACCACCCTATCACCATCTCATGATATGCAATTTAATGCCAAAACAACTACAACAAGTCATCAGGAGCCATTAAAACTTGTGCAGAGAGTATAGATGTTTGATCCCAAAAGCCAAATTGAGTACTACTATAATTTTCGTTATTCCCCCAAAACAATTAAATACTAGTGTAATCACACGTCTCCATGAAATCGTATAAGCAAATTTTCAATAGTTTGTCACTCGAGGCCCACATGATATTACAACCATAAACAAACACACATTCAGAAAATACAAAACATAACCCATGAGGTCAACGTTCGCATTTCCCAATATTTAAAAAGCACACGATTGTCTTCTGAGAAAAAGAAAACCAAATATGTCGAAAACAATGTTTAAAATTCCCACAATAATACAAAACGCGGTGGAATCCTACTCGTTTCCAAGGGTAAAAAAGAAGAAGAAATAATAATAATTATTATTATTATTAAAGTTTCTTAACGACCGAGATTTAAATAAAAAGTACCAATAAACAAGTTGGCAGAAAAAAACAAATTGACAGGAACTCAAAAAGCAACTTAACAGTCTAGAAAACAAAACATTATTAAAACATTTTTTTTTTTTTTTGAACTTTCAATATGTAATATGCGATGGTGAAAATATAAATATTCGCAATATATTATATATTAAATGAATGAAAAATAGTAGTATAAGTCTAATTTTCTGTATGAGATTTAACCATTTTTTAACTAGGTCTGTGTTTCTGGTTTCCAAGGGACATGCTATACCAAACTTTTAAAAAAGCTAGGAATTAAGACATAAGGCTTGCACAATTCCATAAAATCAATTTCATTTACAATTTTTTTTAACAGAATTTGAAAACATATCGAAGTACTTGATGCCCTCTTGTAACATAGTTTAATGTTCCCATCTCTCCCATCATCCATCCACCACAATATTTGTTCACCTCTCAAAAATATTAAATAGAATAGCAATTTGAAGAAATCCAAAATCAGGAATTAATTGCATGCACCTCGGCATTCACATTAACGTTTGCCTCTATTTCGGGGTTTGGACTCATTTTGTTGTCTTCATCCTACTTATTTTCAATAATCTGCCAAAAAATAATAAATAATTAGACTAAATCAATTTTTGCCTTTATTCTTCTTCTCCACATGTGCATGAGTATGCATGCATATGCATATGCTTTCACTTTCACAATCCATTTTTTTCTGTATAAAAAATAATGAGTGCGAAGATTTGGAATATCAGATAGAATCTTACAACCAAATCTTCGAAACCACTTTGCTCAAATTAGAAGGAGCATAGCTTACATGTTCTGACTAATCTTTGTTTATACTTCATATTAATGCGTATGAATTACGTTACGTATGCATGTGGTTATATGCGTTTATACGTGTATGTATATATTTATACATGTATGTGAGAGTGTGTATGTATTTAAGAAGAGAGAAAAAGAAGAGTACCGTCATATTTCTTCTTCATCAAGTTTTTAACGAAAAGCAAGCAAATGACAAGAAATCCAACACCAGCTGTTGCTCCTACTATTATTGCCACCGTTTTGCCTGTTGTTCCTATCACCATTTTATTTATTTTAATTTCTTTCCATTAAAGCATTAATAACAAACCAAAAAAAAAAAATGATCTAATTTACTATAAAGTTCATTTCATAAACGTTTACCTACACTCTGCTTTTTTTTCTGTTCCTAGTAAGTGAAAGCTTGGAAGAGTAATTGTTACGAAATGATAACAAAATAGATTGTCGAAAAAGAAAAAGTGAAAAGTAATTTTTGGAAGAAAAACAAAAATCGCAATTGGATTGGAGCCTGAAAACGAAAGAACAAATCTCACACTGAAGCCTTTGAATTAAAGTTGAAGATTATTTTAGTCAAATAAATATATTTTATTTAAATCGCATACTTTAAACCAAAAACAAACAAAAAAAGCAACACTTTTTCGAGATTTTCCTAGCAAAAAAAAAAACTTAGATTTTGAAATTCGCTGACCAAGAAACCCAGATTCCAAAAAACCTTCGGAAAATCCAAAACAAGAAAAAACAGAGAGAATCGAATCTTCACCTGTAGAAGAAGAAGAATAAGAATCCGAAGAGCCAGAGGTACGGGAAGAAGAAGACGGCCTGGGAACACCATTTGGGTAGTAATTATAAGCGATGAAACACTTGTGGAGATAAATCTGACCAGAGTTCGAGCTTCCGCACTCGACTTGAGCCTTCTCTAATGCATTTTTGATGCAGCCGCTACAGTCTGAATCTCCCACATCGCCTTCGCATTGTCCTAAAACGTAAACCGATTGGTACGTCGTCGCGTAGAAGCCGTGGCCTGAAACGACTCCGTTTTGCATCACCCCAAACGCAGTGTCTCTCCTCTCTTCGAATCCTGTTCCGGCGATGTTGTTCCTCCCACATGTCTTGAATAACATCTCCATCCCTGAAGAATTACCAAACCGGAATGAAAATGATTCAGTTTCGGGTTCGGTTTTTATAGTGAACCGGAATCAATCCACATTAAATGGTATACTAAAGTCCAATATATTTTTCATTACTGAACCGGCGAAACCTGATGCGCATCCCCGGTTTGATATACACCGGTTCAATGTAACCACAATATTCAAAAAAAACTGAGGTTTAAACCGAAGATTGGGTTAATACCTGAAATTTGGGCAAAGCCAGAGATTTCATAGAGGAGATAACAGCCGGTGAGCTGAACCCTAGCGGCAATGGTTTTGCCACAGAGCTTACCAGAGAGAACAGGAAGACGACTGACACAGTTGTAGCAGTCGTTGTTGCTCAAGTCTCCTCTACACTGGAAAAGACCAGTAATGGTGGTTTGGCTCGTTGTTCCGGTTGTGGTTTTGTAGAACCTGCTTTTCGTTGACTGTGAGACCAATGAGCCGAACATTGCAGAGAGGGACTGCGAGTATAGACCAGATGGATCTGAGAATTGCTGTTTCGCGCATCCTTTGTAGATCAAGTTTGTGTAGTCTGGTGATGCGGATTTCACTAGCTGGAGATCTGAGAACAGAGCCGTGGAGACTGTGATGATGGTGATGATGGTGCAGAGAGACGAGAGCTTTAGTGAAAAACCCATTCTTTTTTTTTTTGTTTCTGTTGTGTGGAAGAGACTTGGGTTAAAATCAAATCATTGTTTGGTGTTTCTTCTTTTTGATGTTGCTGTAGACTGTAGAGTATAGTGAGGGGGAAGAGATTTTATTTATGGGAAGTATTAAAGAGATGGGTAATGAGAAAGATTGAATCTTTTTGGGGTTTTTTGGATTTTTTTTACAACTCTTTTGTTTTGGGATTTTGTAAAATTATGTGACTGGTATTGTTTGGTGGCTCAGTAAAAGCTCTTTTCTGGGTTTCTGGTTTTGTGTTTTAATGGTGAAAGAGAGAGAGAGAGAGAGAGAGAGAGAGAGAGAGAGGATTTTTCTAGGCTTTCGATGACCACTCTTTTCTCTCTCTCTACAGATGTGGAAAACAAGATTAGGATAAAGAAAGAGAAATAACGCAATTTTATTTTGTTTATTTTTTCTTCAATATATAAAACAATCAATCAACAACACTCTTCAGCCACCGGTCTAAAGAGAGTACAATATGTGTTTGGTGAGTTGCAGGATTTCAGTAAGTCCGAATATCATTATTGATTATCAACTTTCACTTAAGACTGTCAATTTATTCCCTAACCCCCTTTTACACCTAATTTATGAAACTGATTCTTGCCAAAAGTGTAATCATTGATTCGTTCTCATTGTGTTATATTCATATGTATATTGAGAACTATACCATCAGTTGAAAATACCGGTGAGTTATTCAAAAATATACGAATAATTAAATAGCATTACTTAAGAAACACGTGGTTAATAGTATGTTAACACGAATTTGCAAAACAATAAAGAAAGAGTCCATATTTTGCAGATTTTGATACGAAAAGGAATCTTATATTCGTAGGAGAATGTAAATATTGTGTGCACTGTGATTTTTGACCCAAGTACAGTCAACGGACAGTTCTAGTTAACATTTAAATTTGGTCATTCATTTGGTTTTGACACGTTTGGTCTCTCATTTCCTTTCTTTCTTTTGACTGGTCCTCTCGCTTCTTCGTCATAATTCTCACTTTTTACTAACTACTCTGTTACAGAGACAATGAGATATCATCATTGTTGGAATATGAGCAAATTAGCTGCAAATATGCAACAACCACCTTAATCAGGAATAGAGCCCTAAGTAGTACCAAATTCGGTTTAACCTGATCAGTTTAGGTTTCTATAATAAATAAAGAAACGTCTTAATTTCATTTAGCTTCCATCATTGGCAACAGAAATAAGAAATTTTGTATATGTTTTCGAAGGTACAAAGAGAGAGATTAGAAGAACCTATTCGATAAGAGAAATAGAGTAAGAGAACTCAAGTGTGTGCGAGTGTGATCGTTACGAGTTCCAAGAAGCTCCCAAAGAATCACAACTCACAAATCCTCCCCATAGCTGAAAAAAAAACTGTAAGATACAACAGAAAGTTGAGATTCGAGGGAGATATAACCGGAGATTAACATTTGAAATTTGCTCTGACTGAGCTTTTTAACGGATTTCTTCACGAGTCTTGTGCAGAGTCATCATCGGCGTTGGGTTTTACGTCACCAGGAAGACCGAATATCCGTAGGTTACGGTCCATTGAACCAACTGCAACGTATTGTGCATCTTGACCAAACTTCACACATGTAGCTTTACCTGTGCAAGTTACAACAGTTATGGAAATTAGGAACGTAATCGCTGTGCTGTGACCATTCAAAAGAGTTGATTAAATAGATCTCTTACCAGTGCCGGAGAGATCTGGGAGTGTCTTGATAAGGTTCCATTCAGCTTTCACACTCGCCGTCTGGTATAGTCTACATTCGTTACAAACATTTTGTTAAAAGTATATAATAACCAAGTGCCAGTAATCGTATAGCACAAGTCGCTTTTGAATATTTTGTTAAGCTGAGCTTGGCCTCTTTGACCAATTAAATTCCAAATGCGCGCACTCACCTGATATCTGATGCAGCAATACCAAGATAAGATCCACTAGGATCAAACTCCACTGCACACAAAAAAAAAATGTATTTTCATTCAGTTATCTTATTATACATGGAGATTTGTCTATCAGGAACGGGATATAGTAGTTGCATACCAGAGTTTGCGTCTGCAGATAAAAATGACTTGAAGTTCCTTAACTTTCGCAGGTCCCATAGCCTAACACCATCCTCGGCAGCAGTCTGTGCAGAACAAGAAAAAAAAGCATTCATGTAACAGAATCGTAGTTGCACTTTCACTACTCGGAGTTTGTTCAAAGTACTTACCGCGAGGAAATAACCATTCTCAGAGAAAGATATAGAGGTAACTTCACCGGTGTGACCATCAAACTTGGCCACATTTGCCTATTATCCAACAAAAATTTGATAATTAAATGAAGACTAGTGGACATAAATAATGATTAATGAATTATAAGAGGTAACAGAATCCGGAAGGCCAGAGTTTTTACCTGACTTTTAACATCCCAAATCTTGACAACAGACTGAGAAGTACCGGTTCCAAGAATGAGACCATCGGGATGAAAAGCAGCAGCTGTGTAATCCACTTTCTCAGAATCATCCGACACCTGAATAAACACAAGAAATATGAAACGGGCTCGCCATATATTGACCTTATATAATATAGAATAATTTCGGTAATATAGCTTTTAGGCAAAGCTGGAAAGGAAAACACGTATTAGTTGGTTCTTTGTGGAAAGAGATTAGGGACCTTTGCAAGGCATAAGCCAGAGGAAAGATCGTAGAAGCACCATGTACTGTCAAGAGATGCCGAAACAAAGTATTTATTTGTGGCATGCACAGTTACAGCTCGCACCTGGAAAAAAAGCAACATCGCTTTTATGTTAAACAAAAAGTATATGAAGAGTGATCATTCAACATATAATCCAACGGACTGTAAGATTTCTTCAAATTCATTCTTACCTCTGCAGAGTGATCATTCAACGTATGCCCACAAGCATAGTTCCCATCCCCAGAATCCCGCCAGATACGAACCGTCTGCGGGTAGGTAACTAGATTAGTAATAGAAAGATACATATCTAAACAAATGGTGATTTATATCCTCTGAGAAACTGAACAAAATGTCCAACAAATCGCAGAGAATTCTGGTGTGAAAGATCAAAACGTCTTTCTCCATGCAGCGAACCAGAATTATTTAAAGATACCACCATGACATCTACAGATTTAGATTTCATGGCTACTAGTGATCTTTTCACACTTCAAGTAAACAAATGCATACGCCAGCTACTATTTTTCAGAACAAAGGAAATACACCGCTAGAATACAAAACTCAAACAGAAATAATGACCAAGCACTATTCATAAAAACAGGAACTAGGGAATGACAATGTATCCTGACTTACTTTGTCAGCTGAAGCAGTCAAGACCAGATCAGTGTCACCTACAAATTTTACACTTGTAACCTACAAAGGGACAACACATATCAAGCACGGAGCTACATAGAAAAGTAAAACAGATATCTAGTATCTACGGCAAAAGTTTAAATACCTTTTTCGAGTGACCAGTCAGTGTTGACAAGATCTGCCCTGAAGGGCGATCAAAGATTACAGCAGTTGTATCAACTCCTCCAGTAGCAATGACATCCTGATTACCGCAATAACAAGAAATAATACAAACTATCACACACGACGTCTTGGCATGTAAGAGGCATACTAAAATACTATGCTAAAGAGACAGAACAATAATATGCTTATTCACAAACCAAGGACTCATGGTGTATTCAAATAATTTATGAGAAAGACTGCCTGTCAATTATCACCATACTATACAGCGACTTCCAGAAACAGAGGAATATAAGAATAATGTGAAGTAATAAGATAATCTTCCGATGAAAACCTTAGAATGTAGGATGTCCATCGAACAAATTCCCGGTTTGTTGGTCTTATGAAGTGGGTGGCTTGATAGCTGAGTGAACCTCTCCAAAGCATCAGTTGAAGCCAATGTTTGAGGAATCTATAGAAAAGATGATGAAACAATCAATTGAAGCCAACAGCAGGAACCAACGCAAGAAAAAGAAAACATGATACCAAAAACTCCAAAGTACATTTGCCAATTGACTGGAAAAGGCGAAGAAAACATGCAAAGAGACGCAGGAAGTAGCAACATTTTTCTTTTAAGTTTCAAACGCATACTAGGATCTAAATAGATAAATATAGAGTAACATATATTATAAGCCACTACTTCCACATTTGACTGTTACAAACAAGAAAAAAATACATAATAATTGCAAGTCGTCAGGTTTTGCCTTCTAACCTTCAAATGCATGATCAAAGATAGATGGGAATATGCAGTACCTGTCGCTTTTTGCGCTTCTGGGAGAGAGCAGCATTGCAATCTGTCAATTCCGTGATAATGTCAGTGGAAATGCCAGGACACAACTTCTTCGCATCATGATCCATTTCTTCATCACCGGCAGCAGCTAGTATACAATAAAAGAGGATAGTAACATGTTACAAGAGAGAAAACTAACTCGCCAACATATTTTGAATAAAACGCGTACAATCATACCTCGTTTACCATTACTCAGAGCAGCATTAGCTGCCACAGCTTCTGGGGCTGCAGGTATATGTCTTTCAACCTCTGCAAGCAATTGGCGTGCTTCATCTCTTTCTTTTTTAAGTCTAGCAATCACTCGACAAGCTGAATCATGCTGCAAACAGAAGACAAAATTAATCCCATAAATTAATCTCGCACACTTTACAACGATGAAATGGTTAAGGAAAATATAACAATGTCACATTAACGTAGTAAAAATTCATTAATCATCAAGTGGTGCTACAAACACACAACCGAAATTACCTGATATAAGGCATGACTAAGCTCTTGCCTTGCAGTATGTAGTTGTTGCTCCAGTGCAAAGTTTGATAGCATCAAACCGTCCCATTCCTATAAGAGCAAAAAACAGATAAAACTTCTCACGCAATTACTTTGTCAAGTTCAATCTAACATTCTAACTAATGAACAACTTCTTTTGACCAGCAGTCAGAAGACGAGTAGACGATCCGTGTAATGACTATTCTAAAAAGTAGATGCCAATATGTGCAGTTAATCGAATCTTGAAAAATTTTAATAACCAACACTGAACAATGTATATAAAGTCTATCAACCAAAATCTACATGACCAATAGAAACAGGGGGAATTACACAAGCACAAAGCCAATAGAAAAAGGTAGGAACGAAGCTGGTGCACATTTTAAAAGCTTACATTCTGGAACGTCCCAAGCAATCCAGGGATGCTAGCTGTATGCAACGGTTTCGGCTTTATGACCTGCAGAATGGTAAAAGTAATCAAAACAGCGTAAACGAATCTCTTCAACAGTTCTCCGCATCAAATAATCAAAGAAATTAATAATACCTTCCCAGTTTTGACTGGAACAATGTCATCAATGGTGAGAGGTTCGCCAGTAACCGGGCACTTCCCATAATCCTACAAAGAGAAAGAATTTTGGATTGA